AGAACATCAGAGAAATATTAAATTATCCCAACTGCAACTGTCGGCAGTAGCAGAACATGCGTGCCAACAAGGACACTCAATTGATTTTGATAATGTTGAAGTTTCGTGCAAAACTAGCTACTACTGGCCAAGACTAATTAGAGAATCTATCGAATTGAAAGAAATCAAAATAATTTAACCGTTCTGATAGCTACCGCCTTAGTGCTGCGTGGAAGCGAATCATCAAATAATACATTATTTAAATAGCCCTACCGTTGGTAGGGCTATTTAAATAAACACAATAGACAGAAAGGACAAGTTTAAAGGGCTTGCATAATGCACATGCATAATGTTCAAGTTCATTTCAAGTTCATGTATTAGGTGTAGCCCTGTGAGCCATTGGGCTCTTGAATCGGGCGCAACCGCAACAAACAAAAAACAAAACATGAACAAGAAAACATCTTAAAGTGAATATGTGGCTAAGTGCAAACAGAAAATCCAGGAAAAGACAGAAAAATATTCCACAAAAGCACCGTACACCAACACTGTGTGCAAAAATCCCAGTGGGATGCAAGTCAAACAACAACAACAAGACAACTTAGATTAAGGCCATCAGTCTAACTCTGTACTACAACAAACATGGCCAAACCAGTATTTTTTTCGAAATCACCAAAATAAAGCAATGAAACAGTGATCATAGGAACTGTGACGGAATTTAACAATAACGACAAACAACATGGACCACCGAAACCCAGTGGCGGCTCCTGCAAAATCTCTCAGGGGGGGCAAATGTCTGGATGATTGATAAGGATAAGGTCCACCCATGCAATTGATACATTAACAGCTTAAGCATGTAAAGGCAACTTCACTTCTTTAATATTAATGAAAAATAAAGTGACTCTTACAATACATCTCCTTGTTTGTTTCTATACTCACTATTAATAGAATCCACTCAAGTTTCTTTTATTAAAGATTCCACTAGGTGGCGACAAATTATATTGTTGGATGAAACGTGCTTACATATGATGACGTAAGCACGTTAGTGCGAGCCCTCCCGGAAGCCATAGATAATGCATTGGAGCGCCCCCCGGTCGAAAAAAACATCTTTGAATGTAAGTCTATGGGAACATTTTTTTGTTTTATTTTTATTATTTTATTACTTCCCTTCTACGTGACTTTACCGAAAGAACCAAGAAGATCTATGGGAACACTCTGGGCGATTCTCAGCCGGAGTGAAATCGCCCAAAAAGAGGTGGTACTCCACAGAACGTGACATGACGCTGATTGGACTATATCCAGAGGCACAGTGACGGCTGGCGTGACTCTGTGGTTGAATGAGATTGGTGGTGCGTCGCCCAATCGCCCTAATGAAGAAACCGCCCCTGCCGAAACCACTCCACAACACAGCAGGCGCATCAATCGGTAAATGTAAGTTGACTCATTAATCCCACCTCCCTATCATTGCGCAAGAGTGCAGAAGCGTGGTCAACACATCTACACCTCTACATAAGGAACGAAACGGGAGGACTTTTCCACAAATCTGGCTGTCGCCTGATGAAGCTGGTTGTAATCACTGCCGAAACGTCGTACTCCGATTGTAAATGTTGTGGCTTGGCTCTCCAACACACCGGTGTGGCTGGACTAGTGACGAATTGGCACGTTCTGTTAAGGGGCCGTCCATAAATGACGTCACGCGATTTTGACGATTTTTGACCCCCCCCCCTCGTCACACGGCGTCACAAAAAGTCAGACCCCCCCCCTCAAATATGACGTCACAAAGCCCTGCCCCCCCCCCCCAAAACCATATTTCCATTTTGAATATAAAACATGCTTAAAATCGCTTTAAACTATTGTCATTGTAGTGCGTATTTAATGTGGCGCTGCACTCTGATGTTGTAGGAGTGTTGTTATAACAATTAGTGTTGTTATAAAAATTAGTGTTGTTATAAAAATTAGTGTTATAACAATTCTATATTTATTTAAAGTTGTACTTTTTGATGTGACGTCACATTTCTTAACCCCCCCCTCCCCTTCGTCACACATCGTCACAAATGTCTGACCCCCCCCCCCAGGTGCGTGACGTCATTTATGGACGGCCCCTTACGTGACAACCCTTACTAGTTGGCTGTCGGGTGGTGGCATGTTTTAACGACATATTTATATATTTACGCGATCTAACCGAAAAAAAAACCTTTATTATGATTATCGTTGGTTTGTTTATTGTGTTTACGATACGAAACATCACCAAACATGACATCAAATTCCACGTGTTGTTTGGTGTTAAGTGGACGGTTTTACTGGAGACCCTCAGCGGTGTCAGGATGGCCGAGCGGTCTAAGGCGCTGCGTTCAGGTCGCAGTCTCCCCTGGAGGCGTGGGTTCGAATCCCACTTCTGACATGGAATTTTTATTTTATTTTTTGCTGTTGTCGACGTCGTCGTTACCAGACCACATTTCATTATTCGAATGCTTTCGTCGCATTTTAAGCGGAGATTTTGTGAAGTTTTTAAAGCGTTTACCAACCACGCCGCTGGATTTAGGCAACTTTCAAATTGCTGTTCGTTGACGTATTATTGAAGGGTGTTGAATGAGTGCAGTGTACATTTACTGTCTGCAGTCAATGCAAAATCAGTGCGCTGCCATTCAATCACCCAGTTGCCTAATGACATCAACTTGTCGTACGTTTGTCTCGGTGAATTTAATTTGAATAAAAAAAACCCCCACGAAGCTTCACATCGGTCTGTTCAACAGCCTTCGACAAAAACCACGCTCGCTGTTAAAGGCGATGCTGTGTCACGCCACGAGGGGATGCTATCGGCACTGCGGTCACAGCAACGCCTCCTGCTGGTACCTGCGAGATGTGTAGAGGCGCAGCCCTGCAACTGCTCGCTCGCACCACTGCTGGAGGGCTGTTTGTAACATCTCCCACGCTGCTGGCGAGACGTGTTGCAAGAGGTACGCGTTACCCACATTTTGCCCCACGAAACGCGTCCTGCCGAACGATAAGGTGCCACAGTGGCGAGATGTTGACTACCTCGCCAGGTATACAGGAGGTCGTGAGTTCAATCCCGAACCCTGACGCCTGTTGTGTATTTGGAGTTTGCGTGTCTCTCTCTCTCTCCCCGTGGTCGCGTGGATTTTTCTCCGGGTCCTCCGGTTTTTCACCTCCACATTTATAACCAACATCACGCGTTCAGAGTATTTTGTTGTTGGTTGTTTGACTTGCATCCCACTGGGATTTTTGCACACAGCGTTGGTGTGTACGGTGCGTTTTCTGCAATATTTGCTGTCTTTTCTCGTGTTTTCTGTTTGCACTCAGTCACATATTCACTTTAAGATGTTTTTTTGTTCATGTTTTTTTTTGTTGCGGTTGCACCCGATTCAAGAGCCGAATGGCTCACATGGCTATACCTAATAAATGAACTTGAACTAGATTTGGTTGCTATACATTTCCACGTGATAAGCCATTTCAATGGGCTCTTTTGTGTGGCCGGGTCGTTTCTCAACAAGAGCTATTAGCTCAGTGGGCCTTACCTGGTAAAATAAAAAAAATAGTTTAAAATAGATTCATTCAAAATTCTTTGGCGACCACATGATGTACCACCACGACTCTCTCGGCCACACCGGGGACGCTTGATAACTGAATCCATAAGCACGAGTCAGCACTAATTCACTCCAGTCACTCGCCGGAGATCACTGGATCCGTGGTTACTGGTCACTAATTATTCCACACACGTTGAGGAATGGGTCACTCATTCACGGAACACACTCACCCACTAACCACATTGCAGGACACAAAAAAAACTCACTCACCCACTCGCTCATTCACGCACACACTCACCCACCCACCACACTGCAGGTCACAAAAAACTCACTCACCCACTTGCTCATTCACGCACACACTCATCCACTAACCACATTGCAGGTCACAACAAGTCACCCACTCGCTCATTCACCCACACACTCACCCACTGACCACACTGCAGGTCACAAAAAACTCACTCACCCACTCGCTCATTCACCCATACACTTACCCACTCACCACACTGCAGGTCACAAAAAACTCACCCACTCACTACACTGCAAGTCACTAAAACTCACTCACCCACTCACTCATTCACGCACACTCATTCACTCACCACACCGCAGGTCACAAAAACTCACTAATTCACGCACACACTCACCACACTACAGATCACAAAACTCTTCTCAAATTCTACCCTCACACTGCCCCACTTTGTAATTCCATTCTCGCGTATGCAAATATGTTCAGGCGAGAAATGCCAATGTCGAGGTCTGCTAGTCAAGAGAGGGCTTTCAGGAGAGAGAGCGTTTGTGTGGTATTTGCCATTCCTCTGTTGAGGGAGCACGAACGAGAATGGTTGTGTGAAGAGGCGATGTTGGCTATCAACAACAAGGCAACTCCTATGACTAATTGGGAATGGGACGCAAGCGTAGGTTTGATCACCCTGTCGCTGGCCGCCTTTGGGGAGGGTGTATAGTGTGAAAGGCCGAAACACCCTAGGAACCAAAGGTTCACTACTGACGATGCGCTCCCCAAATTTCACCAGGCTCACTGTTCATGAACTCTTGGAAGTGCTTGCACAAAGGATAGTAACATCTCCTCCTGTGTTCTTGGAATCTGTGATGTTCAACTTTGTAATTCCCTCACCATCATCCGTCTCTGTTCCCACCCCACCACGCATTCTTATAGCGTTGCTCCATTAAAGCAACGTGTTTCACTCTGCATCGTTTAGAATCTTTGTTCGTGCTGTTTGTTGCTGCCTTTTTGCAAACAACTTCCGACTAGATGATAAATAAAACGTCTTTGTCTCTGGCTGGCTTCGTGCCCGTCTGGCTGTGTGTGAAGCTGGGTTCGTAAGCGTGAACTTCACGCATCACCCACCCACCCTCCACCCCAGCCGTGTATTCGGGGGAGAGAAAAACGTTTTGCTGGCTGGCTGGTTGGCTTGGGGGAGGGAGGGAGGGATGGACGGTCACGTTCAATCAGATCCAAAAGCATTCCCTTCAACACATTTATTTAAAGTGTAGCAACATCACTACACATACACCTCATAAAGTAATCCGTAACGTTGACAGTTGTCTTTTTACGCATGTTTTATATCATGTGACACACAAACCCTCACACCTAAGTGTAAATTAAGTTAGCATTGTTTATTTTTGTCACAGTCTCAAGCCCATCTTATAACTTTTGGAATTTTAAGTCAAGTTTTACTGTGCATTTAAAAGTCATCTTCGACGTCTGAAGGACTAAATTGGTCAAATATTGAGTCCACTCCAAGTTATTGAATGTTGGCGAGTGGTGAACTATTTCCCTACTCCATCACTAAAAATATTATCAGTACGGCCAATTTGTGAACTCATAAAACATGTTATGTTCAGTACATATATTGGCAACTACAAATTACCATTCAAAGTTGTTTGTCATTGCACTGCAGTCGCTCATCGCGTTACTTTATTACCCAAATCTGCGTCTTCGATTATGGCACAGAAAGTTCGTTGTACCTCGTCAGAGTCAGTCGCGATTAGGACTTTTGGTTTAGTAGTTCACAGTCATAGCCACGCTCATTGTCACCGCCGACCAAAATTAAGTAAAAACCAAGTTCATTGGTAATTTCTAACTATAAAATCCACAAATGATTAGCATTGCTTCCCCACACACCCACTTTCCCCATCACTTCAAAAAGGCACGACAGTTGAACAGTGACTGCATGTAAGTGCAAAAGTGAGCACACTTTGTGTTGCTTGATTATACCACGCACGCCTCTCCCGGCTATCTACATGGGGTCTACTTAAGGCAATAGCTTCGAATACAAATGGCTACCTTCATTCCTTTTTTACTTAGCGCTCGCAAACAGCGCTGGGCTCTCCAAATTAATTACGTGAATCGACGAGACCCTTACCGATCATCCGGTGAGGTCAATCGACCACTCGGATACCACGAAAATAGTTTGGAGGAAATTCATTTTTAAAAAGTCTCTCCTCCGTTCCCATCATGTGTGCCACTGGAAGGGGGGTGATGGGACAGGAATTGGTGATTCCTTATCATCATCATTAGCCGCGTTATGCTGGGCAAGGCTTTATGGGGGGATTCCTGGCTACAGAATACGGCACGGGGGACGGCTGCCACAGCATTGTCCAGTGACAATGACAAAGCAACCACGTTGGGAAGTGTAGTTGAAGTGTGCAATTTGTAATGTTTTAAAATTGGGATATTTAGCAATTTTTTATAATGAAAAAGAAATGCTTGTGAATAAAAAAAAGTACCACCACGGCCATTGTTATACACATGCACACGCACACCGTCCAATTCTGCATTACAGAAAATATAAAAACCTGATTCTTCACACCCTATATTGTAAATATAACCAATAAAACAATCTTGTGTAAAAACCCACACACCCAGTTAACCTAGAAATGTCGTCGTGTCAGATTCCTTTATCCCAACAGCAAGTTTCCTGTTTTACATACATTGTAAAAATTGCACGTTTTCTTGTTTAAAATAGTAAAAAGAATCCCCTTGTAACTGTAGATTCCTTGACAACAGGTGCCATTAATCTCCATGTGCTATCGAGGGTTTTCAAATAAAGACACCAGTGAATCCATTGATAGATACATAATTAAAAATTAAGTTATATTCCAGGTAAAAGACACCCAAAAAGGTAAAGTATTGCAATGTGACCCAAATATACTCTCTAAAAAATCTAACATGTCACCTTTTTTTAATCCAATGCACCGTTTGATAAAGGCTTTTCATGACGCGCGAGTTCATGGGGATTGTTTTACCCATACTTCACCACGCTGGTCAGTGCGAGTTTGTAGTCATGGCTGAAAGGTCCTGTGGTATAGAGCCAAGGCATTATCCACTGCAAGGTGAAGCAATTCGTTATGCTGGCTGTGCAAAAACCTTCCGCTTTACATGAAAAGATAAGCAGTTTGAAATCCCTGCGCTCTTGAAAATACAAAAACGGACGTACTTAAAAAAATCTAGATTTCGGCCAGTTACTTCATAAGTTGATTTCAAGTAACGACGATTGTACTGATCGTACGTCCGGCCGCTGTAAACAGTTGTGCGAATTGATGGAGAGGTGTCCTGAAAATCCTGATAACCCACATAATATATATTGATATATATATCATTTGTGCAAGCTAACATATTCTGGCTTCGCTGGAACACTTTACAATCCACCTTTGATGGCGTTCGATTGTATTATCTCCGCGCAACAAACTTAATTAACTCGCTCACCCTGCTCTCGACAAAAGCTTGATAAACTTTCTGGACTGTGATCTTTGGTGGGTTATCACAATGTTTGCAGGACAGCCACTCCCCCTCAGCAGGTGAGTGTGGACATGCGCACGTGTGAGCGAGGACACGTTCACACATGACCGCAGCATCACGCGCATTGCCCATGCGCGTACAGACCCTGGCGCTAGCGAGCGGGCGTTGGGGGAGATGCGTGCACGGGCCCTGGCGCTGGCCGGATCAGCCTCCTTGCTTCTCAGCCGACGACTCCCGGAACGTGAGGAAGGAGTAAAGGACGCCTCCGCTGATGCTACCAAAAAGAAAGAGTAGCGTTGCATAAATAAAATCGAGAACAAAAATCATGCGTACGCACGCAGGCATTATATATTGCTTTCCAATACGTGGCTGTCGTTGGAAATGTTTTTTTTCAAGATAATTAAGGGAGGACTCGTATTGTAGGGAGAGGTACATCCGTAGGCCGAGATAGGAAAACGGGGCTCGTATAGCGGCCCTGTCAAGGTCAGTGCATCTTGGCTGGCTGGGCCAGGATACCCTGGCAGGTGCTTTTAGCACTGTTTCGCTTTTTTTCCCTTTAGGCATTAGAAAACTATTTTGGTCGATTTCCTATAGGGCGAATCCATAAAAGCAACACAACTTCATTCTCAAGTTTTGCTCATATCGGGATGTCTTTACAATAATTATCGTGCCTCTCTCCACCACCCCCTCTCCCATTAGAGACGGATTGACACACAGACGTATTGTTTACAACCTTAATTGGAAAGTGCTTTTAAAGACAAAACATCCCTGCATAAGCCTTCATTAGGCCGTTGGGGGGGGACAAGTGCTGTTAGCAAGCACTTACATGTTGCATTGCCCAAGCACCTACCAAATGTTTAGGCCCACGAAGTTGGGCCATGAGAAGATGTAGTCACCTCCCACCAGCATGCCGATATAGGCCACCGACACATTCTGCAGTGGCACACGCAGAAGGGAACAGAGTCATAAAAAAATTAACCCGTAAAAACAAAGTTTTTTCACTAAAAATCCTTTATATGCGTGGCGGCTAGAGTCCTCTCGTCCTCTGGCTTGAGATGGCTGCCACCTATGGGTCAGATGATTGCCTGCCACCATTAAGAAGTTGGTAATTAAATATAATTTTTTTTCCCTACAAAGTGTAAAGTTATGGAAAAAAAATTTCACGAAAATAAATTGTCCCGCACAACGAGTCTGTGTGCAAAATGTCAGCTCGATTGGATCACGGGAAGTGGGTTAAAAAACGACCGAAAGATTTGCACGGTCGTAAGCGTGCAAACAAGCAAGTGAACTTAATATAAAGGATTTAAAAAAACCCTCAAAAATACAGTAGAACCCCTCTCAACGACCAGCCTTGTTAACGACTAATCGCTTAACGACGGGCCTCCATAGAGCCCAATGAATAGTATATAGTGTAGTGTATAGTAGTGTAGTGTAGAAAGTAATGTATAGTATTGTAGTGTATAGTAGTGTAGAGTAGGAAACCCTCTCAACGACCACCCCTGTTAACGACTAATCGCTTAACAACGGGCCTCCATAGAGCCCAATGTGTTCGCTTACCGACCATTCCCCTGTTAACGACGGGCTGTTGTAGGTACAGTAGATATTAATAAATGCATTGATAAAAATTCAAGAAACCTTCAGGCAGCCGACGATGGTGGTGGTGAGGGCAGAGTTGTACTGTGTGCAAAGGATGATGGAGAAGAGCAAGATGAACCTGCGCTCATACACACACAAACACAAAAGACAAAGATCCCACATGTAGCCTTCACCAGATTCCTGGGGCAAGTGCTGTTAGCGAGCACCTGTGAGCGGAAGTGCAGCGGTTAGCGCGCTGCGCTGCAAACCCGACGACCCCAGTTCGATTCCCGCTTACGGCCAACACCAGTGACGATTATCTAAACTAGTCCTGAGCCTCCCCTAGGTCGACTCAGCCGCAAATGCGTACCTGGTGGATTGTGTAAACACTGCCACTAGGGAGACAAAGGCGGTCGGGTGTGGTGCTGGCCACCCACCCTCTTGTACGCCGTATCGGCCTTCATAGGTGCTCTCAAGCACACACATACACACAAGACAAAGACCCCCCGTGTAGCCTTTACCAGACTGCTGGGGAAAGTGCTGTTAGCGAGTAGCACCTTTCAAAATGGCCACGGCGCACAAGAGGTAGGGGTTGTAGCCAAATACAGCGCCCCGCCACCTTTGTCTCCCCAGTGTTGATGTGTTTGTTTGTTGAACTTCTCTCGCACCTTACGTAGCCAACCGTGCTCATAGAAGAGAATCTGAGGTGTTGATGTTGATGCACCACAACATTCGATGGTGAATCAACGTAGGGGAAGCCCAGGACTAGTCGAGAAATTCCCCACTGATTATGGGCACGTCTGGCACGTAAACTCAGGTCGCCAGGTCTTGTAGCACAGTGTGATTACCGTGATTGTTAACGGATCAACGTGCATGACTAGAAGAGCTAGCAAGATGATATTTCGTGTAAATGCAGCTGATATTGTAGGAAAATAATGCCTACAAGTATAACAATGAATAAAAATAAACTCCAATTGATTATTTTTCGTCCCCCCCTATTTGGGCCCCTGAAAATATAACGCGTTAGCACAACGTGCGAGACTGAACGATTACTCTCCGTTCATGCGGCAGGGACCCAGCGAGATAACATCGTCGCGACTCACCCCATGAGGCAGGCGAAGGTGAAGTGTACGACGAACCAGGGGTTGCTCCAGCCCTCAAAGGCCAGCGCCTACGGACAGAGGGGGGCGGCAGAAAGATGGTGTGGGGGGGGGGGGAACACGGGGGAGAGGTACAATACAAATACAACGCCGTTTTATAGAATACCAAATACAGTTGATTATCGATTATCCGGCTTACAACATTATCCGGCAGTCCCAGGCTGATCCGGCTAAACCGCTCCAAAGGCTGTAACCAGTGCGGCGTGTCAAATTTTATACACAGTACAATATAGGGTAAATACAACATAAACAATGAAAATACTGCAAGCATATACATTTTTCTACGACTAATAACTACAGTAATAAAACAGAAAATATACACGGCGAGGTGATCCGGAGAAAATTTTGCGTTGTGCAATTCGGTGTTCGCATCAGTCTGGCGATCGTCGGATATTAGCTATTGAAACAAGAGCGGAGTTGTACCACGAACATCACCCCCATGCAGAGTCTTCGAGATTGGAATTGGTAAGTATGGTACAGTAAATACTGCACGGTAACTTTTCACAGGAGGATATATATTATTGTTGATTTGTATATTTAAGCCACTTTCATATAGTAATAAAATTTAAAATACACAAAACATATACACAACACCTAAAAACATAATGTTACGCGAGAATGTGCAAAAAGAAGCAATTTTAAATAATTATGCGATTAAATTTCGATTTAAAGCTTTCGTGACTGCAGGGATTCATCTTCTTGGTTCTTTCGGTAAAGTCACGTAGAAGGGAAGTAATAAAATAATAAAAATAAAACATAATAAAATAATTCTCACGACGTTTCGGCCACAACGCAAGCAGCGACTGTCGAGGCGACAGACGCTGTCGCCTCGACAGACCTGGTTTCACCTGAGGACGGCTGCTTGCGTTGTGGCCGAAACGTCGTGAGAATTATTTTATTATGTTTTATTTTTATTATTTTATTACTTCCCTTCTACGTGACTTTACCGAAAGAACCAAGAAGATGAATTATGCGATTATCCGGGGTTTTTGGAAATCCGGCGCCGCCTTCCCCCTTGAAGCTGCCGGATATAATCAATGATCCACGGGGAGATGTAGGCAGGGTTAAGTCCATGGTGCTGAAATTATGACATCACTTGATTATAACAATCAAATCACAGCACCTGATGAGTTAAATGATGACGTCACCCTGCTGCTGCTCTATTTAAGAACGGGAGCAAGTGGAGGGCTTCACCATTCTGGCGAATTGCCCGATGATGCTGGATGTAATTACCAGAGAAACGTCGTACTACTCAAAAAATGTAAATGTTGTGGATTCACTCTTCAACACACCGGTGGGCTAAAGTAGTGACCTATTTGTCTTTTGTCAATGTGACACTTTTTTTTTACTGATTGGCCGTGTCGGGTGGTGGAGGGTTACGACACATTTAGAAATAACGCGATCTAACTCAAAAACTTTATTATGATTATAACAAATTAAACTAATAGTTCCAGTCTTGAAATTTAAGTACAGGCAGTCCCCCGGATTACAGAAGGGTTAGGTTCCCGAGAAATATCCGTAATCCCAATTTTCCGTACGTCGGACTCTGAACAATTTTCCCCCCCGACATCAAGATAAAATCCATTATCCGGGAATAGTTGTAGCCTCCCCTACCGTTTTCTCTCAGCAACCGTATCACGCTGCCGTCCGTTTTCTATCGCTACCTTATCGATTCGCTGTACATAACGCCCTGCATTTCCTACGATTCTTTCATTTCATCAATATCTTGCCCTAACAACTACCCACAATTAGACGAATGGAACATGTACTGCACTGTGTCCAATTGTTTATGAATACCACGAAGCATATAGAACAATTACATAACGCTACAAAAAATTCCATCTACCTTAATCCTCATGAAGCTCAGGAAGGCGGAGTTTTTGTGGTGAAGGTGGCGTCTATGCTCTAAAGCAGAGGTGGGGAACGTCCGGTCCGCGGGCCGTATAAAGCCCGCAAAATCATTTGTGTCTGGCCCTGCCAAGGCAACCGCAGGCGGGACTCGAAATTCAATAACAGGCTAATTTTTAAGTTGATGATTTTGTATGGCCCGCGAATGATGTTATAAATATGCAAATGGCTCTTGGCAGAAAAATGGTTCCCCAGCTCTGCTCTAAAGCAATCGCTTTACGCTTACGAGCATCGTTCTGCACTGTTGCAAGCACCTGGTCGCTTTCCAGTCATTATTGCAATGCAATTATGGCTAATGTTACACTGAAAGTTACGAGACTATGTGGCCGGGGGTACAGTATACTCATGGTAACAATGTAACGGCGTGAGTGCCATACAGTGCACCACTGCCATGGGGAATGTGTGCCCCCGCATTACGCCTCGCTCCGTTGTATTCATCCGAAACCTCACCGCGCTGCACTATTTGCGCTCACAGTATTTAATTTTTTTTTCATGATTAATGGGAGCATTTTCGCAAATTCGGATTTCTGTAATTCGGGTCTTCCGTAACCCGGGGGACTGCCTACATATTGGTTTGACTGCCACGCAATAAACATTACTCTGTGGGAGGGGAAGTGGGAAAATGATGTCCTCTACTGTGTGGACCAGAGTTCATTTTAAGGGATCTCAAGAGGTAGTTCTGTGACATCTGCTTCTGCAGGCCCGTTACCGTAACACGAAGGGTGCCGAGATCAAAACCAGGAGAAACTTAGGTAAAAATATAAAAAATAATGAAGGTGCCTCACCAGTTGCAGATCGCCTGTGTACGCGCACGCCAGAGCGGCAGGCACGATCATGAACACGGCGTTGTAGTAGAGTAGGCCGTATTTCCCCAGCTCCTAAACACGCAACGACGAGGAAAGTCGATCGGCATGTCGCACGTGGTAGGGGCAAAGTCTGGTCGGCGTAAACCATCGTCACGCGAACTCCGGTGGTCGTCCCTCGCAGCAGTAGCAGCGGCTTTTGGCTGGCCACCGAACAAAGACGGTCACCACATCGCACACTTTCAGATGCACTTCTGCAGACGTCTGCAATGCTCTTACTTCCAATATTATAACGCTACTGGGAGCTATGTAGTTTTAAATTTATATTGAAAACATATTTCTTGAGAACTGCTTTTTGTGTTTAGTTTGTTGTCCCTCCCCGACACCTCCAATTCGCACGATTGGCCACGTACGGTGTAAAAGAAGTTCAACATACGTACATAGCATGGTTGGCAACGTATGGTGTGAAATAACTTCAACATACATACGGAAGACTAGGCCAAAAATACCAACAGTGATGGTGTCGGCATGAGCAGGCAATCGCCGGGCTGCATCTTTACCTTTGTCTAAACATAACACAGAGAAGTAAACTAAACTAATAAACTATTTTTCAATTTACCAGGTAAGGCCCACTGAGCTGTATAGCTCTTTTTTAGAAGCGACCTGGCCACAAATGAGAGACCCAATGAAGTGGCTTATCACGTGGACATTTATCGCAGCCAAATACTCTAAACTTATTTTTCTAAATGTGGAGGGAAAATCCAGAGGACCCGGAGAAAAATCCACGCAACCACAGGGAGCACATGCAAACTCCAAATATGCAGGCGTCAGGGTCGGGATCGAACCCATGACCTCCTGTATATTAGGCGAGGTGGTTAACATCTCCTAGCCACCGTGGAGGAAATATAAACACTTGCGGTTTGGTGGCGCCATGCCAGACCGCTCGACTCGCCAGTCGGGTTGGGTGGGGGTAGAGCTGGGATTGAGCCATGAGAGGAGGGGGAGGGGGGTGTTTGATGGGAGGCGAGATGACAGGCGGTACACGGCGGTGTGGGGTAGCGAGAGGATGAGAGGTGAGAGAAAGGAAGGTGATGTGATCACGCAGTGTTCTTCATTGCAAGGCCCGCGGGCCATTGTGGCTGCTGGTGGCCTTTAGTAGGGCCCCTGGTGGCCTTTAGTACGGCCCCCGACAATACACAAATGTGCAAACATCCCCCATCGTCATCGTGCTGCTGTCAAACCCCAATGGTTTCAAATGTGTGGCGGCCTTCACACTGATGGTGTCTTATCGGTGAAAGTGTGCCGCCCCCAACTCCCCTCTGACAATTAGTGCAGAACACCGTCATAGGTGGGTACGAGGGGGTGTAGGAAGGTGACGGGAGGTCAGAAACATGACGGGCAGTGAGAGGAGGGGTGAGCGAGAGAAAGGTGAGAATGGGTGAGAAGACGTGAGAGGTGGTGCGAGAGCGGTGAGAGACGGCGAAAGAAGGCGAGCGTTCGTGTCCGGGACCTGGGAGTCGAGTTTCTGTTTGGTGTAGACGCCGTTTGCGGCGGTGAAAAGGTCGTTGGCCAGGATGAAGGTGTAGCCCACGGGGTCAAACGCCAGGTCAGAGCTGCAGAGGACCGACACACACACACACACACACAAAGAAAACAGCCGTCATTCGGCACTAAGCTGCGGTGACGTCAACACGGTGCTTGTGCCAGCCTTGGTGCACATTGAGGTCACGTGGAGTGCGGAAGGTTCGTTGGAAGAAGGTCATGGGACAGACCCAGGTGGTGACGTGGGTCGAATGGCTAGAGATCACTGGCAGATGCACCACCTGTGCTCCCCACTGTGCCACCTCGCTGCGTTTTAGCCGCTCGGTGCTCCGCTAGTTGTTGTGGCGAGCGTCGCTCCTCCTCCCTCCCAATGTTGTTGGAAGGCAACTGCCTCCAACTGCCCAGTAGCATCCTTCACGAGCCTCTCCACAGACGCCGATATTGACACCAAATTGATGCCGGTATCAAGATTATACACATGTATTGCATTACAATCCCTTGCTTCCTAACAACTGGTGAGTCGTGAGGGTTAGGTGGGAAGCGTCCGATGAGGATCATGTGTCAAAGAGTTATTATTATTGTTATGCGAGTGTCATGTCACCCCATCCATAGGATGGGCTGAGCTATTATTTAATTTATTGTTACGCTTGATTACACAGGAAAGTCTCGCCGAGTCTCAAAACTCGGCAAAGGCTTTTTTAGAACAGTCATGCCAAGTTTTCAGTCGGGGAAAATGTTGCTTGTGCGTGCAATCCTAAATGAAGTAATTTTCAGGAAATTTTCCAGCAATGGGATATTTTGGCCAATACCGCTTGCACAGCAATTTATTAAACTATGAGAGGAAACCAGGGAACCTGGAGCGGGAGAACACATACAAATAGCGTGCAGAAAGGTGCCCGAGTCAGGAATCGAACCCAGGCCATTCTTACTGTGAGGCACATATATTGACACTGCACCCCCCTGCTTGCCCACAGGCTATGAATAAAAAAACACCGTAGTCTTTGTGTTCCCATCACAGCTGGCACACATCGTTTGTGGGGTCAAGAGTTCATCCCCACCTGGCGGCGAAGATGGCCCCGCCCATCATCATGGCCACGGTCAACTGGATAGGGCATGACGTTGTTTTTCTGCGAAATCAAACAAGAGGGAAAGAGACGCGACAATGAGAAGGCAGGGGAGCACGGGCACGAGTCACGAGTCCAGTCCTCCCGCACAGCATCGGAGTTAGGGTGGGGGGGGTGGATCAAAAATGGACATTTGCCCAGGGCCCAAAACTCTGGAGGGGCTCGCAAGAAAATATATGAAACCCTTTCCCGTTCCGATAGCGCACGTGTACGTCATCAGTTTTTCTTCCGATACTGTTCAGATGACGTACATGGACGGTTTCGGTTTTTGTTGACGTACATGTATGTCATCAAAACGGAGCCGGAGACTCACCACAAGGCGGGAGGGCGTGTGGCACAGTTTGGTGCCAGCTATCATAGAGTGCGGTCGTGTTGCTACAGTTCTCTGCGGTGGGTACAATGTTTTGAAAAACAGCGGCACTACTCTTCTCTGAATAAAATTAACGCCCAACCACTTGCACGTTCCGAGATCCAACGGCGCATGGGACACCCACCCTGCAACTTGCAGACGTCTCGGAACAGGAAATAGTTAACAGCAAGGAAAAAATTCGCACACACAGATTATATTCCCAGCGTGTGTTTTTCACCGGAGGTTACTTAATTAACGATGACGTTACCTTGCGATTTAACAAAATGCGATGACGTTGCAAGTGAAAGAGCTGTCCCCCCCTTTTTATATTGACTAAAATGCGAGCCTGTTACAGACTCGTTCGGTCTGATTTTTTTCTATTTATTATAATTATTTTTACCAGGTAAGGCCCACTGAGCTGTATATCTCTTTTACAGAAGCAACCTGGCCACAAATGGCAGCTCAACAAAGTGGCTTATTACGTGGAAATTCAAAGCAGCCATCTACTCTAATACGCATGTTTATAAATGTGGAGGGAAAAACTGAAGGAAGTGGAGAAAAATCCACGCGACCACGGGGAGAGAGACATGCAAACTCCGAATATACAGGCATCAGGGTTGGGATCGAACCCACAACCTCCTGCATACCAAGCGAGGTAGTTAACATCTCGCCACCGCGGTGCCCCAAGTGGTACATTCACGACGCAGCCCTGAGAATTACAAACTTCAAGTTTGATTCACGTGCGACAAACACTCACCCGAGGATGAACATCTCGCCCACCATGGTGAAGAGGATGGAGAATTTCCGCAGCACCGTGAACATTGGGAGGCTGTGCAGGCACACACGACAAATATCCCACGCGTTAGCAAGCTGCACCTATGAAGAAGGCCGGCCTGACACACGAGGGGGGGGGGTGCCTTTGTCTCCCGAGTGGCGACGTTTACACACTGCACCCGGTACTCATTTAAGCCCGAGTCGACCTCGGCGAGGCCCAGGATCGGTTCAGATAAACGTCACTGGTGTTGACCTTGAGCGGGAATCAAACTCAGGTCGCCGGGTTCATAGTGCAGCGTGCTAAATGCTGCACTACCACTTCCTACTGTCCTGACTGCTACTTGCTCACAGCACTGCTGGCTCAATGACCTCAACTAGAGCAGGGGTGGAGAACGTCCGGCCCGCGGGCCGTATAAGGCCCGCGAAATCATTTCATCTGGCCCTGCCAAGGCAACCGCGGTCGGGACTCGAAATTCAATAAATCTAGGAGAAAACCTGGAAAAGCAGTTGCGAGTAGCAACAACATCATCAATACCAGCGAACATCACACGCCTCACCAAAGAGAAGCAGTTCCAGCCATCGCATTAGGGGTGAGATAATTAAATGTTCGACCAAATATAACGGGCTAATTTTTAAGTTGATTATTTTATATGGCCAGCGAATGATGTTATAAATATCCAAATGGCCCTTGGCAGAAAAAAGGTTCCCCACCCCTGAACTAGAGGGAGCTCTAGACAGTTCAGGCTATAGAGGGCCTTTGGCTTACTTTTTCGATGCCGGTCAGACGTCTTACGAAAAGTGGCAAAATACTTTACCCCATCCCCCAAACGTAGTGTGGCCAGAATGGCACCTGTTGCCCCACTTAACATCGTAAATCTTCCTTCAAAAAATATCCTGAAGAAGATTAGTGCTGGATACAGCAGTCACATTTGCAAATGTGCTTTGTAACTTCGATCGATAGTTCAATGTTAATGTATCATTTTATTGAGGAATTGCTGTGTGGTGTTATCTTGGTGTATTGTTTGTTGTTGTAACTTGCTGACCTGCCCATTATGGACATCTGTGAGAAAGATGCTTCATAGCTCATCGGGATTCCTCTTGCATTCGAAATAAAGATTCTGATCCACCTTTGTATCCGCAGTGCTGATGTTGACACACCGCAGCAAGTAATAATTTAAAGGCCGATTCAAATCGATGTTCGCTGCAGCTGGGAATCGAACACAGGAGGTCTGGCTTGCACTGCGGGTCCCCACTTGCCACTCCAACAGCGGAATCCTGCCCTCCCCCACTCTCAACCTCCCTAGATTGAATTGCTTTTTGCGTTTTAGTTTGTCGTCCTTGCCCCGAACCTCCGATTAGCACGGTTGGCTACGTACGGTGCGAAAGAAGTTCAACATACATACACACAACGTACATACATACATACAACACGTGTCACGCCCACCGTGCCAGCCCCGTGTTTGGTCCGTGCCGGCGAGCCAGCCCCACCTCGTTTGGACAGTGCGGGGTAGCCAGCCCGAGCGAGGATCGCGTTGGTCAGTGTGTGGGTGGAGTGCGACGTGACGCACCTGAGTCTCTTGGTGCTGATGAGGCCGGTGATGTGGTTCCCCAGGTAGATGAGTGGCAAAGGGAAGATCTGGAACGCAGGGGTGGGGGTCGCGGCACGGTGAGCAATCGTGGAAAAAACCACATGCAGTCTGACTCGACTCTCCATGTAACAACTGCACGCTTGCTCAAAAAAACCCGTCTGACTCGACCCTATTTAGTAGTAGTAGGTTTTTACCCTTTAAACTGGTACAAAACTGACACCTTTATACAAGGCATCATGTTTGCAATAACCACAACACAAGTAGTCAAAATGCAAACAAAAAGAAACAACTCTGATGATGATAATGACAGTGCATATCACTATCATCATCAGAGTTGTTTCTTTTTGTTTGCATTTTGACTACTTGTGTTGTGGTTATTGCAAACATGATGCCTTGTATAAAGGTGTCAGTTTTGTACCAGTTTAAAGGGTAAAAACCTACTACTATATTTTGCCACTGGTAAAGGAGGTCTCATAGTGTAAATGTCGACCCTATTTATTATATCTTTATTTTGTATTTACTAGGTAAGGCCCACTGAGCTATGTAGCTCTTTTTCATAAGCGACCTGGCCACAAATGATATCTCACCAAAGTGGCTTATAATCACGTGGAAATTTCTAGCGGCCAAATACTTTTAAAAGTATTATTCTAAATGTGGAGGGCAATACCGGAAAACCCGGGGAAAAATTTACAGGACCACCAGGGGGAGAACATGCAAACACCAAATATACAGCAGCAGGCGTCAGGGTCGGGATCGAACCCACGACCTCCGCTATACCAGGCGAGGTCGCTAATATCTCGCCACCATGACCCTCCGTGGAACAACCACACACTCTATAATAGTAGGTTTTTACCCTTTTAAACTGGTACAAAACTGACACCTTTATTCAAGGCATCATGTTTGCAATAACCACAACACAAGTAGTCAAAAAAGCAAACAAAAATAAGCAACTCTGATCATGATAATAATAAATACTCTGATAGTGCAGTGTTTGAGTTGTACGCCTTCTGGTGTCATCTGGTCCAACACCAATGGGGACTAGGCTCTAAAGAAAGCCGTCTCGGGTGTGGACCAATCAACTTCAAGGACAGTGCATATTATTATCATGATCAGAGTTGCTTCTTTTTGTTAGCTTTTTTGACTACTTGTGTTGTGGTTATTGTAAACATGATGCCTTGAATAAAGGTGTCAGTTTTGTACCAGTTTAAAAGGGTAAAAACCTACTATCATATTTTGCCACTGGTAAAAGAGATATCAGTGTAAACCACACACTCGGTCAATAAAACATTCACAGACTCGCACACCATAGTACAAACTCGCTTCGGTGTCACACTCACAGACTATTTAGATTATTTGGCTGGGATAACTTTCCACGTGATAAGCCACAATCATTTGTAGCCAGGTCACTTCTGAAAAAAAGAAGCTTATACTGTAGTTCAGTAGGCCTTACCTGGTTACATTAAAAATAGTTTACTTTCACGTAAAAAAAATTGCGATTTGTGTACCATTCCTATACTTTGTAAGAATATCGTGTTTTTGTATTGTTTGTTGTTGTAATTTTATGACCCGCCCCAACTGGCCATCTGTGAAAAAGATCTTTATAGCTCACCGGATTCCTCCAGTATGAATAACAATTCTGATTGATTCTGACTAGCTCAACCTCCCATGGACCGTGCTGGCTACCGTTGTATCAACTGTTCCATGCAGCCCCTGCAAACTCTCCCTTCCCATCTGACGTTGCTTACCGCTGTTGCCAAGTTGCCTTTCAAAGAGCTTCTTGGCTCAATGTGCCTTACCCGGAAAAAAAAAATGACTGACTGAAATTGCAATGAATAATTTGGTTTAGTTTAAGAAAATACAGAAATGTGACGAGGAAAATAAGAGCGGCACCTTTTTTGGGAGGTTTAAGTCGAAGTATGGGAAGGACACGAGACCACACGCCCGTCCCACGTGCAGCAGCACCACCGTCACCAACATCTGCACAACGGAGGTCAGCGTGTCAAGTTTATTTCAACCGAAGCGAGATCTCAAGGGTTACCAGGGTAGAAGTCTCCCTCGCACGAGTGATCCGGGTTAACCAAAATGGCAAAAGCATTGAAAAAAAGTTAAAGAAATGAATCAAAATAGAAATTAGAGCAAAAAAGACCCAACTGTGTCATAGGAGAAATTGGAAGGTCATCTCACCGGCACCGCGCGTTAAGCAGCACGCTAAACCAGAGTTCGGCAACCAAAATAACAATGAGCCATTTTTGTTCAAACGAAGGAAAAAAAATCATCCACATTTTAAGAGCTGCAACGTACATAAATATACAAGACAGCGGCCGGCCCTCAGTAAATAACTGTCACAAAGTAGCCCTTAAACAAACCGCATTCGGCTCCGGAGCCGGAGGCTGCCAACCCGTGCTAAACACGTTGAACGCGCGACATCAGCTGTGCGGCTCCGGTTCTGCGGTGGGAAAAGAAGCCAGCGCTTCCCAAGCCACGCCGGGTCGGCTCGGCATGCTCCAGCACGGCTCCGTTGAGAAAGTGAACATTTTCAAAAGAGATGTCCCATTCGGGCGACACGGTGGTGACATATTAACTATCTCACGTGGTATACAGGAGGTCGTGGGTTTGACCCCGAGGCTGACGCCTGCTGTATATTTGGGGTTTGCACGTCTCTCCCTGTGATTGTGTGTATTTTTCTCCGGGTCCTGCCGTTTTTTCCTCCACATTTAGAAACGTGCGTTTCGAGTGTATGGCTGCTATACATTTCCACGTGATAAGCCACTTTGCAGAGCAATCATTTGTGGCCAAGTTGCTTCTGAAAAAGAGCCATATAGCTCAGTGGGCCTTACCTGGGAAAATAAAAAAACTGAATGTCTGAACCTCAAGAGTCTCTGGGATGTTTTTTGCGAGCGTAAATCACCTGCCCGACGCCCAGGAACAGCGAAGAGGGAAACCTAACAACAACAAAAAGAGAACAGTGACCTCAGACCACACCGCACAGCGACGACAGTACAAGCAGGCAGCCTAAGTAATGCTCACGCATCTCACTCAACCTACTGGCTTCGACCTCCCAAGGCCACCAGTGGGGTTCAGTTGAACGGCTCCCGGTGTGACCAGGGCAGGGTGTTGTGTGCCCCTTCCGAACATGGATGGGGCATCGTACGGCTGCGCGACAGCCTCGCTGTGTGATGGCAGGGAGCAGGAGACCAATGGTGCACCGTCGTCTCCGGCTGGGAAGCCCGTCAGGGTGTGCTGGGCCGACCGGTTACCCTGCACGTGTTGGAGGAGGAGGCTGCCACATGGCTCTGTGGCTACGTGGGCCGACATCCACCTCACGTATAACACTGAGACAGATATGTAATAATTTCATTATTTCTCTTGTGTATCTGGTGCCCTGTGTAAAAGTAATATGTAAAGCACTCGTTAAATACAATAAAATCTCACCCTACTCTACTCCCAACACCCTCCGTCTTCTGTGAAAAAAAAAAAATTCTGTTCGAATCCCATGGTGTAAAGTGCAGTTTTGCGCGTATGTTGAACTTCTTTTGCACCGTACATAGACAACCTGCTAATTGGAGGTGTGGGGTGAAGAACAACAAACTAAACATAAAAAGCAGTTCTAAAAAATGAGTTTTCAATCAAAAATTTTAATATAATTTTGTTTACTCATACTCCACTCAATGTCAGGTCAACCTATTGACCTATAAAGAGAACTGCTGCCCGAAACGTCGTCTTAAAAAAAATTCCTTTCAAGGACACTGGATTACTGACGTACGTGTTGCGATTTGTGTTCACCCTTTCCCAGTTTTTTCTTACGATTCATCCCACAGACTCTTGAGATTAAGAATCGGGATTAAAAGCTAAAATAAGGCTCCCACAAAGCCATGCTGGGAGGGGGTGTGACACAGTTTGGCGCCAGCTATCGTGGAGTGTGGTCGTGTCGCTACAGTTCTCTGCAATGAGTACAATGTATATAAAAACTAAGCAATTTATCAGTTTAACACGTAGGCTTTCGCGACCAATGTTATTCATAATCAACGTTTTTGGGTTTAGATCGCGTTATTTATAAATGTGTCGTAACCCTCCACCACCCGACACGGCCAATCAGTAAAAAAGTGTCACGTTGACAAAAGACAAATAGTTCACTGCTTTAGCCCACCGGTGTGTACTCAAATTGTAAATGTTGTGGCTTCAACACACCGGTGGGCTAAAGCAGTGAACTATTTGTCTTTTGTCAACGTGACACTTTTTTACTGATTGGCCGTGTCGGGTGGTGGAGGGTTACGACACATTTATAAATAACGCGATCTAAACCCAAAAACGTTGATTATGAATAAGCAATTTATATTTTACTAGGTAAGGCCCACTGAGCTATATAGCTCTTTTTCAGAAGCGACCTGGCCACAAATGATAGCTCAACTTAGTCGCTTATCACGCGGAAAATTATAGCAGCCAAATACTCTAAACGTGGAGGGAAAAACCGGGATTCCCGGAGAAAAATATACGTGACCACAAAGACAAAGATCCCCCGTATAGCCTTTACAGACTGTAGGGGCAAGTGCTGTTAGCGAGCACCTGTGAAGGCCGGAACGGTACACGAGGGGGTGGGTGGCCAGCACCACGCCCGACCGCCTTTGTCTCCCAGGTGGCGATGTTTACACACCGCACCAAGTACTCATTTGAGGCTGAGTCGACCTAGATGAGGCCCAGGACCTGTTCAGATAATCGTCACTTGTGTTGGCCGTGAGCGCACCGCGCTAACCGCTACACTCCAAATATACAGGCGTCAAGTTTCGGATCGAACCCACGATCTCCTGTATACCAGGCGAGGTAGTTGACAGCCCACCACCATGGCACCCCCCACGACAGTGCTGAAGGCTCCCCAAATAAAATGAACGCCGAACTGATTGCGCGTTCCGAGATAGAGCGGTGCAGGAGGCACCCCACGCCTGCGACTTGCAGACATCTCGAAAACGGGAAAGGGTTAGCTGTGTGCTTGTTGCAGCAGCAGCATCTACATCAGCAGCATCAACATCTGCAGCATCTACAGCATCTGCAGCATCTGCAGCAGCATCAACATCTGCATCAACATCTGCAGCATCAGCAGCTGTAGCAGCAGCAGCGTCTGCAGCAGCATCTGTAGCATCAGCAGCTGTAGCAGCAGCTGTAGCAGCAGCAGCGTCTGCAGCAGCATCTGTAGCATCAGCAGCTGTAGCAGCAGCTGTAGCAGCAGCATCTGCAGCAGTATTTGTAGCAGCAGCAGCATCTGCAGCAACAGCATCTGCAGCAGCAGCATCTGCAGCAACAGCAGAAGCATCTGCAGCAGAACTGCTGCAGCATCTGCAGCAGCATCTGCAGCAGCATCTGCATCAGCAGCAGCATCAGCAGCATCTGCAGCAGCAGCATCTGCAGCATCTGCACCAGCATCTGTAGCAGCAGCTTCTGCAGCAGCAGCATCTGCAGCAGCATCACCAGCATTAGCAGCTGCAGCAGCAGCATCACCAGCATTATCATCTGCAGCAGTATCAGCTGCTGCACCTGCTGCGATGTTAAATTTGAATTTGGCGCCAATCGTGGCGTCACGCGCTCTCAGCCAATCAGAGCTCGACGGTAAATACCGCCGTTTCAACACTTGGGAGCAGCCGCCACCACCACCACCACCCCATTCATTGCAGCGATCGAAACGTGGCGAGTTTTACCCGTAGCTCGTGAGCACTTGCTTGTTCACGATGACGATGAGGAACGAGCAGAGGCCGTAGAACACGGCAGCGAGCAGCCGCGACACCCAGTGCCGCTCGATGCTCGGAGTCGTCATGTCGACGGCAGCCTCGCCTAGGAAACCCCGCGGGAAGCCTGAGTTAGGCCTCCGGCTGAGGCGATCTCTCGCGCGGTCCCGGTGTTGTTTTTTTTATTTGCTTTCGTTGATTTCGCTACGAAGCCATCGCTCCGAGTCTTGAGAAGGCGGGCATGTTTGGTATTATGCGGAAAGGGTAGGTTTCTAAGGGCGTCAAGTCGCGTACACGGACAAAAAACAAGATCGACGCTGTTTGCGGAGAACGCGAAGCTGTTGGTAGTGCGAGACGTGGCCCCTTTAAAAACTTCGGGGGCGGGGAATCGATTCGATGGTTATCGATTCCTGTTACAAAGCGAATCTCATCGATTTTCGCGTTAAGATTCGTACATCGATCGATTCGGCGATTCTGTTGCTCGATTTTCCGTTCACGAATTGTTTCTTGACAAGTTGAAACCTCTCAACGTTAAATATGAAGCCCTGCGTGTTAAACTTTAATATTAAGTCTTGATAACTTTGTAACGTGAATTTGTACAAGGAAATGAAATTGCTTCACCTGCTTTGGTGAAAGTATTCCCTTGTCGCGACTCCCCTTCTGGTGTGCACTTACTTTCTCCATGCAATCTTGGTGTAGCTGTCCAACGTTGCTAAATTATTTTGCACGATTGTACAATCTTGATTTGAAGCTTTCGTGACTGCTTGTGTTGCGATCGAAACGTCGTGATTTATTTTATTTTATACCTACGTGACTTTACCGAAAGAACCAAACAGTACGATTGTACATGTTATGGCTTTGCTGTCCAACACAATTGTGTGCTGTAGTAGTAACGAATTGGCATGTTTAACGATACATTTATGTATCATGGAACCTCCTTTGCCAGTGTCAAAATGTAAGAATAGATTTTCCCCTTTTTTCTGGCAACAAAACAGCTGTGTTAAGATGTTAAAACACCAAACTGAAACCTTTTGCAAGGAATCACGTCTGCATTAACCAGACACTTGTGGTGAAAATACAAACAAAAAACGTGCTCTGACACAATTATCCGTGGCTATTGCAGACATGATTCCTTGTAAAAGGTTTCAGATTGGTGTTTTAACATCTTAACACAGCTGTTTTGTTGCCAGAAAAAAATAGGGGAAAACCTATTCTTATATTTTGGTTCTGGCAAAGGAGGTCCCATGATGTAGCTGCTCACCCCGAGCTATCAATGCCCTGATAGTGGCATTGTCTTTGTGCTGTTCGCCTTTTGGCGTCCTCTGGTCTAACACTGTTTGAGACGAGGCTCGAAAGCAGGGGTCGGGAACCTTTTGACTGGGAGAGCCATAAAAGCCAAATATTTATAAATATATTTCATTGAGAGCCATATAGTATTTTTAACGTATAATAAATTAAATGTCTTACTTTTAATGCGACTTCTGGTGCTGCATGGTTTTGCTGATGGCCTTGTAGTCTGGTTCATACGTGGTGAGGTTGAGCTTCATGCAGGCGTGACCCGTGAAATTTATCTTCAAAACTAATTTCTGTTTACTTTAAAATGACACAGCATTATTAAAATCAGTTCCAAACTGATTTATTATTTTTTCTTTTTTTATTATTTTTTCAACTCAAAATTGTGTGGGAGCCATATGCCGTCACTGGAAGAGCCATATATGGCTCGCGAGCCATAGGTTCCCGACCGCTGCTCTAAAGAAAGCTGTCTCTGGTGTGGACCAATCAGTTTCAATAACAATGCACATACTGTCAAGAGTATGTTTTTGTTGGTATTTTCACAAGTATCCGTGGTTATTGCAGACATGATTCCTTGAAAAAGGTTTCAGTTTGGTGTTTTAACATCTAAACACCTGGTTTGTTGCCAGAAAAAAAGGGAAAACCGATACATTTATGTATGTATGCGATCTAACCCAAAAAACCTGTATCATGAGCGTGGTTAATGTATGTACATATATTCAGCAGTGGCTATATCATTACATGCTGCTGATACCGATGAAGATAATACATACCGTGTCAACCCATACGGTGAACCTGTATTCTTGTACAGGGAAATTGAGTTTTCAGGTCCACATGGTGTACAGCCGGTTCAATAGGGCCACCCTTTTTTTGTCTGTTTGTGTTTCTCCCTCATGATGGGACTTTGAAGGATGAACGTTGATATTTATAAGGGGCAAGGGGTGGCCAATAAGGTCTGAATTAGTCCGTAATAAGGTAGGCGCTGATAAGGGGTTGACAGGTATGATACTACACAAGTTGGAGTCGCAGGGATAACAGTATAGGAGACATAAAAAAATTAACCTGTAAAAACAAAGTTTTGCACTATACATCCTTTATATGCGTGGCGGCTAGAGTCATCTCGTCCTCTGGCTTGAGATGGCTGCCACCTATGGGTCAGATGATTGCCTGCCACCATTAAGCAATTGGTAATTCAATATAATTTATTTTTTCCTAAAAAGTGTAACATTTTGGAAAAAAATTTTCACGAAAATAAATTGTCACTCACAACGAGTCTGTGTGCAAAATGTCAGCTCGATTGGATCACGGGAAGTGGGTTAAAAAACGACCGAAAGATTTGCACGGTCGTAAACGCGCAAGCAAGCAAGCAAGCGAACTTAATATAAGGGATTTAAAAATGCAGTAGTGTTTTGTGAAAAAATAAATGACACTACTCCCACCTGATTAGCACTCTGTTAATTTGGTGACGTTAAGGTTTCACCTTTGGATGGGGGTTTGCTATCATTCTCAGCAAGGTCCTCCCTCTGCGACAATGGTATAAACCAATACTGTACTGACCCCGGCCATGGGAATGTGGAATGCAAACACTGGCTCAGGTGCTGCAAAAGGAGTTGAGTGCTACACCAACTCTCGCTTGAGTCGACACGCCCTGACTTTGACAACGTTTACAGTTCATCTTGAAGGAATTCAATTTTATTTCCATGAAATGTTGAATGTAAAATTTGACGTGGGGCGACCGTTGATGATCTGTAAACTGGAAATCTGTGAAAGAGCTTTACAGCTCATCGGATTCCACCTTTATGAATCAATATTCTGATCATCGTCCTTTCTTCAAAACAGGGAGGGAAAGGATCAGGATGCTGCGTCAGGAAAAAAGAAAAGTGTGGTGTTACTTTCAACAAGTCCAAAAGATAAATACAACTACATTTGCTTTTATAATGCGATATACACACACAGCATCGTAGGGCGCGTCAGAATACAGTACATATAACTCCTGAAAAGGAACATTTCTCATTGAACTGCAGCTCAAAAATAGGCTAAATGAATCAAAAGAGTATTTACATGTAATTAAAAAAATGTCTTACTCTTGATGTGACTTGGAATAGTTAGAGGCCGGGAACATGGCATCCGAAGGTCCTTGCCTGCTCCTAAATGTAGACGAATTTTAGGAACAAACAAAAGTCCAACATTTACTGAGCTGAAGATGCGATTACGAGCATAAGGTTCACGTCAATACAGAGTTGATGAAAGTGTGGACTACAAAATGGTAAATCTTTACCGCACACAGGGATTATCCGCCTCTTTATAAAGGTGGTGAAAAGACAATCAAACCAATTAACGTTTCACAAAATATACAGGGTTCGCCTTTATTAGCCACACACAAATACAGCAATTTTTTTTCAATAATCTGTTTTTGATAAATTACTTTTACACTATACACAGTGGTACCGTAATATTGTTTCCTGTACAATCCCGAGGCGAGACGAAACGCGTCCTCTTTCCTACTCGCACGACATCAAGTAATTTACAGGTGACCTATAATCTTAAAAGAGCGTTTCCTGTCAACAGTGGCACGGGACTAATCGTTGTCAGTAACATCAGCAGTCACTCGTCACTGACATGTAGCAGACCGCCGCACAGCAAGCCGCAATAACCAACTCGGGTGAGATTCTCGTGGTTTATCTAAAAAAAATTTCACTTTAGGTGTTTTGCTTTCACGCAATCAGCGGCCGCGGATTCACAACTTGTTGACATTTCCAGATCGCGCATCCACGTAGGTAATAAAATGTTACCGACGGTGATGGAGACGCGAGTGTGCATTCCCCCACCATTCTACAACCCCACATCCCGAAAGTTTTAACGACAGGCGTTTCAGTTGGATGAATGTTGTAAGTGAACAACTGCCTAGGCTGGATGGTCTCTCTTTCAATAGAGATCGTGAAACAGCAGATGGGCACCTGCCTGGTTAAAAAGTGTACGATTCCCGTCCACGTGTGAAAAGGTGGTAAAATATGGTCAAGGCGCAGCCCTGCAATCGCTTGCTCACGCCACTGCTGGCGGATGGGGCCTCCACTAGGAGCTCGACAGAGCGCCCCACCGCATCAGACTTTCTCCACGCAGGGCCAGACGTCTTGGAAGAGCTGCGAGTTCCCACACTTTACCCCAACGCACTCAACCTGCCGATCGACTTGTTTACAATTTGCACAACTTACGTCATCGAAACGCACGTGTACAGTACACTCGTTTTCTTTTCCTCCCAGGATAACCGGCGACACGAGATTACCATTTCTCGTAAATGGATTTCAAGGTCAACTCCATACAAGCGCGAAAAGGGACTGCGTTGACAGTGACAGACAAGCAATTCGTTTTTTGTTCTGTGTTTAAATTCACGGTATTCATCATCAACACCTCATCCCTCGCCCAGCGGCAGCTCGTTCGCCGCTTGTGGCAGAAGCCCGCGGTTCGAATCGAGCGGCAGCCCCGATTATGACTGTGCGCGGAATAATCTTAATGCTCCGCGCTAACGTCATCGACAAGAGTGGGGCTTCCATTGGGATTGTACGGCGTAGCGATCATTGCCGCTGACTGGCAAAGTGATGCCCCAAGGTTACTCTTGCAAAAAAGACGCATGCTGGTCCCTTGAGTTCTCACTTGGGGGAAAAAAACTACCCTATTCATCATCAGCCATGATCAATTGACTGCCGGGTGAAGACTTCCCCCCTGAAGCCAATTACCGTATAACGTTTGCCGTTATTAGTTTGCGCGGCGAATGTGGTGATGATTTTATTTGTGTTCACGTAAGCCATTCTCGTCTCATATTTATCATACTGCCAAAATAAATTGTCCGAAAACAATTGTTTTGGTGTAAGAAAAAGTGCCTCCGTACATCCAATAATCCAACGAATGCCATTGACACGGAACATTCTGTTTTAAATGGTGACTGGTACAGGAGTTGGTATTTGCACGTACGCATTTTCTTCTTCTTCATATCTACCCTGACCTTGATGCCAACCTTTTGCTGTCTATTGTGAATCCTAACAATATACACTTTATATTGCGCGTGTGACGTGTGTTCGCTTCCCAGGACAAAAACAGAACCCCCCCACCGGAATAAAACGTAATTTTAAAATATAATTAGGTGCATGACATTAACCAAAACAAAGCGCCATCGACTGTGATAATAATTAAGAGCAAGGTTCATGAGGAGCGTTCAAGAAGATAAAAAGACTAATCGGAGCAATTCAGAAAAGGCAAAACGTGTGGATCGAGCACATTCCCAAGAGGCGGGAGGTGGATGAAGACAGTTCTTGAAGGAAGGATGTTGGTAAAGATGCCATGAGGCACAAACAGTAAAATGCTGCTTGGCGATTGATAGAAGGATGGAGCCACCGGGGGAGCCCCCTCCCTCCCCCTCCTCAAGAGTGAAGTGGAGATGAAAGTCCAAGACTGGCCAAGATTGAGGGAGCTTGAGCCAAACACCTGCGCAATTGGGCATCGGTTTAAAAGGAATTCGAAACTGTGGTCCAGTGTCATGGAATGCAACGAAACGTCGAACAGAGCGATCGTCCACGCGGAGGCCTTCCAAACACGGAATGTAACGCCCGTACGCACGCGTGTAAACACTGCAACGTTGTGCAAAAGGAAAAAAACAACCTCCTCCTCCTCCTCCCCACAAGTATATAACCACCAGTCCCGGGAGAACAAAAACTCCCAACTGATGTTGTGAAATGAAGTGGAAGGGACACGCTCAGAGGCAAAACGTGCGCATGTGCGCAAAAGCACTCACCCTACATATAAAAAAACAACAAAAAAGCCCGTATAGCCATACCAGACTGTTGGGGCAAGTGCTGTTAGCGAGCACCTATGAAGGCCGGTACGGTATACGAGGGGGTGGATGGCCAACACCACGCCCGGCCGCCTTTGTCTCTCTAGTGGCGATGTTTTACACACTGCACCAGGTACTCATTTGAGGCCGAGTCGACCTAGGGGAGGCCCAGGACCAGTTCAAATAATCACCGGTGTTGGCCGCGAGTGGGAATCGAATCCGGGTGGCCCGGGTTCGTAGCGCAGCGTAGCGCTAACCGCTACACTACCGCTCCCCACATATACACACACACACACATGCAGAGATATGAAAACAAATATATTCTATATCACGCCGAAGGACAACTTGGAGATCGGTCCTATGGACCATTTCATTCCACTTTAACTGTCAGTCTATTATCCAGAACATAAGCCAGCCCCATCTCTTGTCTGGGTACTCCATCTGAAACCAGTCTGTCGGTCTGTTGTCTACAAATCCAACCATTGACCAGTCTAAAGCCCAGAGAACCCATTCAAGATCAGTGTCAGTTTTGTTTTGTACAGATACTCCGACTATTATCTAGAAAACCCATCAGAGACCAGTGTTTAATCTAGAAACCCCACTAGACACCAGTAAGGTCTATATTTTGGATACTCTGTCAGAGACCAGTCTCGAGACCCAATCAACATTCTAATGGCAACAGAAAAAAACGATTTATCAAACATGATTAAGTAGCACCCGACGCAATTTCATTTCTTCGCGGAAATAACCACTTTACAATCACGTGATGCCGACTTCCCAAAATAACATCCATTGCTCCGGCCCCCTGTGCATACTGTGATGATATCTGCACCAAAATGCATTGGTGTGGCTAGGATTTCTCACTCCGGAGTGGCTCAAACCAGTTTTGCAAGCTGCCCCGTGTAATTCTCTCATCAAATGCAATCCTGCTAAGTGCGATTAAATATATGGCATTCACCGGTGGCCAGCCAAAACCTGCGAGTTGGGTAGACGCCCATTAAAATACAGGTTTCCCTTGCTTTGTGCGGGTTTGGTTTGTACGATTTTGCTAAAATTCTGCTAACCTATTTCCAGCCCAAATAATCGACATGCCGTTTGATTCACTCGAAATGCGGCTATGCGGTTGGACGTGGCACAACACCGTGTGTGTACTGTGCGCTTTACATGCGTGTGGTGCATTGTGGGTTGGGCGACTGGGTTCGTTTTATGCGACTCAAGCTTTGTGCGCCCCCCTCTCCCTCTTTGTTTGGAACGCATCTACTACCGCACGAAGGGAAACCCGCACCGCATTCTACAACGCTCACAGATTCGCGCGCCACGCGTAAAAGCGAACCCGGCTTATGCGCGCACCACGCGCTTGTGCACATCACAGGGCACCCCCCCCGTTCTTATTGGCAGAAAGCATCTCACGGTTCGCTCTGAGAGACAAACAGCTGCAGGTTTTTTCTCCCCCCTCCCCGTGGAGATGTTACGATCCGGACTGATGGGGGTCCATTAAACGACAACAAAAATATTCGTCAAACATCTTTAGTGGGTGGGGTTGGTGCGAACGATAAAAGGCGTGGGCTGACACATCAATATCGAATTTCGTTCTCAACACTGGCAGAGCCAGTGAGGTGGGGTGGCACGTGCCCCCCCAATGATCCGATCGAAATCCCGAATTTCGATCGGATCATTGGGGTTTATTAGGAATAAATTGGCATTTTGCGACCCCCACTGCCACTGTGTAGCATATTATTACGTGCCAGGGACTCTATGAGATGATAAGACAATAGTCTGCGTCCAGAATTGGCAATAAGTAACGGCAAAGCAGTGATAAGTGACTCAGAATTTTGCGCAGTTGCGAATACAGTCCACGACTTCCCTGAAGGCATTCACCTTCAGCGAGCGCGATGCCGATCACACAACGCGGTTCGAATTCGACCCTCCATCGATGGCTGCGCCATCGCCGCACACGCGTCGAATAAAAAACAAGGGAAAATTCCTTACTTAATAACAACTCCTTACTTACTAACAAGTCCTTACTTACTAACAACTCCTCTATCATTTCTCATTGCTGGAGGGGTTGCCCCCTCTACCTGAAAATATTGGCTCCGCTATTGAAAACAACCTAACATCCAATATATATAATTTCTTTCTGCCTTGCCTTTTGTAGCACCAACAACCAACTGTATTAACTGAATCAAACATGTGGGGGGGTTGGGGTACGATGACGGGAGGCTAAACGAGTCGGGGCGCATATTTGAAACAGGTCTGACTGCTTTACGGTTCACCATGTCACATGCTTGCCAAATTCATGATGTATTAATCCCCCCCCCCATAATATATTTGACTGCAGGCATACGGGTGAAGTTGTGAAAGCACTCGACTCACAACTGCAACCACAAGAGTTCAAATCCCAGTTTGTTGGTCGACTCACACAGTATAATCGTAATTGTCATCATCATCATCATCCCTCTGGGGCCAATACGATTAGGACCACTTTGCGAGAAGCCAAGAGCGCTTGTGCCACCTCCCTTTGAACTTGGCCCCCATCATAGGAATGTGAAATTTACGTCACTGGCGCAGGACTGCCGACTCCAGTCAGCAAACCGGTCCCACGTTGTAAAAATAATTATCACCACAAAGGCAGCACAGTCTAGTTGCAGAAGTCATAAACCGATAGTGCCCAATATATTGATATTGGGGTCTCGTAAAAAAAAATAACCTCGGCAGAAATGAGCGCTGCCCCGCTTCACCGCGTGGGTCCACACTGAAGGGAACAACATTTATATTTGGAGTTTGCGTGGTCCAGCTAAGTCGTGAATGTACACCACTTGGGGCGCCGCGGTGGCAGAGATGTTAACTACCTCGCCGGGTATGCAGCTGGATGTGGGTTTGATCCCGACCCTGAAGCCTGTTGTATATATGGAGTTTGCGTCTTCTCTCTCTCTCTCTCTGCACATAGTCGCGTGGATTCTGGGTTCTCCGGTTTTTCCTTCCACATTTAGAATTAACATCACATAGACTACTTAAGATTATTTTGCTGCTATAAATGTCCACATCAGAAGCCATTTTGTTGAGCTATCATTTGTGGCCAGGTCGCTTATGAAATACCTCAGTGGGCTTTGCCTGGTAGGATGGGGGGATGGTTTACTTGTATGTGCTTGGATGATTTGTTTACCTTTATTGTACTTTGCACTACTACTATGTTTTTGTATTGTTTGTCGTTGTAACGTTCTTACCCGCCCCCAACATGTGCGAAAAAGAGCTTTATAGCTCATCAGATTCCTCCAGTATAAATAAATAATCTTATTTGTTTACAATTCCGAGCTTTGTAGAGGCTCGGAGTGCTCACAAGACGGCAGCCAAGCCTGTTCGGAATCCAAATACTCTGCCGAAAAGTTTGCGGAAGCTCACACCCCTTGCTTGCCTGCACCGTTTAGACAAAAAAACTAATTAAAATCCCTCTGTTGGTGATCCTCAAGTGATTATAGTGATATGAATGCAAGGAGCGTGGCTCTCGGACATGTTTTCGGATTTGTATTGTGCGTCGTTCGGTGTGACGTCCGACGTTTCACTCCCGAGTGCTGAGACAGCTACTTCTTCAATTACATTCCTGGGACGCTCCCAGTGAAAAGTTGGACATCATGCCGAGCAGCACAACCCCGAAAACACATCACGGGGTGAATACAGCACAAGCGCAAACACCTACAGAGCAACGTAAAGAGTTGTTTTTTGTTGTTGTTTAAATTTCATATTTATCCCATCACCCATATCTGATCAGCGTTCTAAGGAAGCATTCCTTTAGAACGCAAGGCAACTTCAACAAGGTTTCTACTTTACCGAGTCTCATCAGCAACATCGTGGCTTTATCAACTCATGGCCAAACGAGGTGTCCAACCCTAAAATGAAGAAACAGAAGCTGGATCTTCATCATTGCTCTGTGCCTTCTTTTCTCTCGCGAGCTGCATGCAGTCCCAGCACTGCAAGACCCACAAAAACGAAAGTTGGAATCATCGATCCGACTTTCGAGACGGCGCAAATCTTTTGTTTAGTTTCGGACTGATCGGAATCGTGCCGCCATGGGTAACGACCTTGCATCCCGTACAACTCCCGCTGAATGCGACGTCGCGTGGCATTGGGCGCCGTCACGACTGTCGGCACGGAGATGTTGTGAAACTCGTGCGCAACGGCGAACGATCCGAAAATCCACATGACGGTCCTAAACTGACCTTAAAACTCCACGACGTTTAAAATCTGAAGCCCATCTGTGATCGTGCACCTGTGTTGCGAGACGCTTAACCAAACATTGGGACACAATCGGAGAAAGCGGGGGGGGGGGGGAGGGGGAGAGCAAGCGACTAATATTGGAGCAGCCCGTACCCCCCCCAAGGTACGGAGTGTCGACTGAGATCTGGCAGCAGGAAAGAAGCGATGCGGTCGTGCAGTGTCATCGTAGGCATCGGCCGTAATGAATGCTTGAGCGACTGCTCAGCCACCCAGAGGATCAACCTCTCAAAGTGGACACGGGGGGGGGGCATCGCTGTAAATTAGGGGGGGCACATGTCCCCCCACCCCAAGACCCCCTAGAGAGACGCTACCATTCCCAACTTGAATGCAACTCGAACCACCCATTTTGCTCGAGGGGTAATAAAATAAAGGTCGCAGTGTGACAACAGCAACCTTATTAAGCAAACAAACATACCGGTCTTTCACTTATTTTGCTCGAGGGTGATAATCCTTTGCTGCAGGTGGTGGAGTTTATAGAGGACAAAAAAAATGCATGTCCGGGGGCTTTGAGGTAGGTATGCAGGTGAAGCAGAGGTGGCTTGCCACGTGGCTCAAGAGGGTCTCAATGGCCACGTCAGAGCACGAAGCCAACGACAAATGAGAGCCTAGGTTCGAATCCGGGTTTCCAGTCACAGTGAAACCGGGCCACTCGGTGAGCGAGCTGCGAGCGAATTAATTCCCTTGATTCTGTGCAGCAATCGCTGCGCTTAAAAGAAACTCCCAACGTTGAATTTGGTTTTGGCTCGGTTCAGCTTACGCCAGCTCTGAGCACCAAACTTTAACTGTGGGCGTATGTTGAACTTCTTTCTAATCGGGGGTGCGGACCGCCTGCCATGACCAGACGCCAACAACAACAATAATAACACATCAGGAGATTTTAAACCGAAAGTCAGGTGTACAGTGAAACTACCTTTGTTACCCAGCAGCAGTGGGAGCAGGGGGGCTAATTCTGTAACGTCCCCCGAGCCGGTTAAGTCTGACGATAAAACTCACGTGACAGTGAGAACTAAAACAACAAACGTCCCACAGACTTCTTCGCAACCGAGAGGTGGGGCGGCTCAGGAGACCGGACAGCGATAACGCACACACACACACACACAAGCAAACATTTACACTTCGTACAAATGTACAGCTTATAAAACAACACAGCTGCCTTTTTCTTTTTTTTTACCCTCTCAAAACGCGTTGTCGGCCTTCATTGCTTGGCGCCCCCAATGAAACACGGGACCCTCGGCGGGCGGGTGGGCGGGATCGCCGACCCGTCGTTCCATCTCCTGGGACGTCTCCCCACCCCGCCTCCCATCGATGAATTTCCACCGCGCCACGAACAAGACGGCGATTTCTCCGCAGTTCAATTCGGTGACGCTCACGACGACAACGACGACGACGACGTACGGCAGCCTCCTCCTCACGTCAAGTTTTTTTTTCTTCTCTTTTTTTGTTGTTTTGTTTTTTTCCTTCTTCCCCAAACACACAAAAAAAAACACGAGTAGATTTTTGTTGTTATTTTGTTCGCCCGTTGTCTTTGTTTTTGTTTATAAGACACCTGCCGGCTGGGGCACGGCGGGACGTGTCGGCACAGTGACGCCTCTCCTGAAAGAAGGCACAAATTCAGGTCGATTAAATTATTGTTCGGCCCTTCCCCCCCGCGGGTTTGATAATCCACTGAAGCGTTCAACGGCATTATAGATGAGACGTTCCCTACCCATGATAATGCAGGCTTTTTTATTTGTGCTTATTTAATACGGTTGTTGATTTAAGTACCTCACCATATTAATTTATTGACAGATGATTTGGCTTGTGTACATTTAAAGAGCATTCGAGAGCTTCCCCGAGGCTTGAATATGCATATTTTCTGGAGATTTCTGCTAGATTTTCTGCCGTCGCCTCCGTGACACGAATACAAACATGGATGTTTAAATTAGAGGTCGCTTCCTAGTCCCCGTGTTAACCAGGATCTTGTGCTGCCCTCTGTCCGCTCGAAAAAATAGACGACGCAATTTGGATGACGGTTCGGTGGGTGGCGTTCTACCCTTGAGCACACGAGAGAACGTGTGTTGGATTATTTTAAACGCAGTTTCTGAGCACAGGCCCAAAGGTCCAAAGTGTATAGTTTGTTGTTGTAACATTGTGACCCCGTGCCCCTACTGGGCATCTGTGAAGAATAGATTTATAGCTCATCGGATTCCTCTGGTATAAATATTCAGATTCTGACTGTGTCAAGCAGCCTGCAACAAACAGCACTGTTGTCACAGCTGCAATAGATAAGAGGTCACACGATGACCAACTGCTCATGTTTTACGGTGACTATAAAGCAATCGCGTCTCGAAACAACAACCTTGAATCCAAGGCCGTAGCCATGGAGTCAACATTGGGGGGGACCAAATCTTCCAGGGTGTCTGGGGGTCCCAACCCAGAAAAAGATTTAAATTTGAACACTCATTTCCTGCCTAAAATATTTAAAAAGTTCCATAACGCATAGGATGGACTTTTTATTCATTTTTTACAATAACGTCTAAGAGTGCATTGTATTACATTGCTGTTGTTTCTTTTTTACCTTTTCTTGTTTCATTGTATGTAATGGCAGAGATTAGGGATTCATAAAGTACAACCATAACCACAATCATATAAAGATAAATCTATGCATTGATTTATATGAGGACAAGTCCAGATATTGTGGCCAAGGTTTAGCAAATTGTTGTTTTTATATTTTTTTATAGCAATATATTGGGGGGGACATTTTGAGCATATTTGAATATTGGGGGGGGATGTGTGTCCCCCAATATATATTATAATTAGGGCCTTGCTTCAACCCATACAGCGTCACATGTACTCGCATCTCAAGAGACTTTGCAGGAAAGAAGGGGGAAGCCCTCACCCAGCAGTGGATTTACAAACGGGCTGCACACGTACGTGTACGTGCGTACGAGTAGTGTAGTGGTTAGTGCTACGCTGCACTAAAAAACCCGGCGACCCGAGTTCGATTCCCGATCACGGCCAATGCCAGTGACGATTATCTGAACCGGCCCTGGGTCTCCCCTAGGTAGACTCGGCCTCAAATGAGTACCTAGTGTGGTGTGTAAACATCGCCACTGGGGAGACAAAGGCGGCCGGGGCGTGGCGTTGGCCGGGGCGTGGCGTTGGCCACACACCCCCTCGCGCGCTGCATTCCGTCTTTCATAGATGCTACTCGCTAACAGCACTCGCCCCAACAGTCTGTTCAAGCCACATGGGGGGGGAATCTTTGTCTTTGTACGTACGTGTGGACGCGTGCGCACGCGCGCATCTCCCCCTCTCGGCTCACACGGGGCTGTCCTGCAGCAGCGGCTCCTCGCCCTCCGTCACGGGCGGCGAGTGCGCGTGGCCTCCAGCGTGACCCCCCGCGTGACCCCCCGCGTGACCTCCCGCGTGCCTCCTGTACGCGGGCGCCAGGCCCGTGTGCTCGGGGATGAACAGCGCCACGAGCAGCGCCAGCAGCACCAGGAAGGCGCCGAACAGGAACGGTGGCCCCGGGATGATGGTCTGCTGCGAGGGGGAGCGGGGTGGGGGTGTCAAGAGTCAACGACGACGAGGTGACCGGCAGCTCGGAGCCACCAGCCGGCGCCGCCCAGATCCTGAGTTCAAACGCAGGCAGCCGCCCCGTGGTGAAACCGGGGTTTCTCAAGTGCGGTGGAGCAACGGCACTCTCTCGGCAGAAGAGTCTGCAGCGGGGGTGGGGGTCACAGGTCAGGGGTACCATTCAAGGTTAAAAGTATCATATACAGCAGGTGTCGATAGGATTGTATCAAGAACCAAGAGCCAAAAAAACTACCCGTGAGTTCTGCAAATTGCCAAGTGTGTGTATATTGACAGTTATCGACACAGCACGGGAGACGTTCATTATTCTTGCGGCTCAGGAGATGGCAGTTGGCCAGTACTGGACTACAGGGTCAGAATACTAGATATTATTTAGCCCTCACCACCCCTGGTAGTTTAACCCTCGCCGTCCGATTCTGATCACAGTGGGGAGTGGGGGGGGGAAGGAGTAAGGGCAGCAGTGGGTAAAGTAATAGTGTTGTAATAGTATTGTAATCCAGGGTTGAAATCATACATGGCATTCTCACCCTTGCCGATCTCTTATAAGAGCATAAACCATCACGTGAACTCCGGTCATCCTCGCAGCGGCTCTGAGGTGGCCATCGAACAAGGATGGTCACCGCATCGGGGTGCTTTCAGATGTACTTCTGCGGCCGTCTGGAATGCTCTTCCTTCCGATCTTAGGAAGCCACTGGAATGGTGCACTTTTAAATAATTTAGAATGGAAACTAATTTGCTTATAACTGCTTTTTGTGTTTAGTTTGTTCTTCACCGGTGCCTCTGATTAGCACGGGTGGCTATGTACGAAGCGAAAGAAGTTCAACAGAAATATGTTTGGGGTGCCGCCATGGCGAGATGTTAACTACCTGGCACGGTGTACAGGAGGTCGTGGGTTCGATCCCAACCCCGACGCCTGTTGTATATTTAGAGTTTGCGTCTCTCTCTCTCTTCTCGTGGTCGCGTGGATTTTTCTCCAGGTCCTCTGGTTTTTCCCTCCACATTTTGAATCAACGTGCATTCCGTATTTGGCTGCAATAAATTGCTAAATGATAAGCCACTTTGTTGAGCGATCATTTCCTATACATAGCTCAGTGCGCCTTACCTGGTAGAAAAAAAAAATGTATAACCCCAAACTACCACCGTCACCGCGCTCCCCGTCACCTGCGTGGAGGGCCGGTGCGGCGTGCGAGGCTCGCCCTGGGGGGCAGCGCCGTCGCCCATGGCCGGCAGCTCGTCCAGCTCCACGTGGAAGAGGTAGAAGATGAAGCCGTAGAGTGCGGGGCCCAGGCCGTTGCACAGCCCCCGGATCCCCGTCACCATGCCCTGCACCACGCCTGGGGAGCCGCCACAAGAGGGCCGGCGCACGGGGGAGACACGCAGGTGAGACACACGTGTGAGACGGGGGAGACGGGCGGGTGAGACGCACTGGTGATATAGGAGGGAGACAGGGGTGACACAGAGGAGACAGGAGGGAGACAGGAGGGAAACAGTGGGGAGACAAGGGAGAGAGGAAAGACGGGTGAGACAGAGGGTGAGACAGGGGGTGAGACAGGGGGGGAGAGACGGGAGAGAGGAAAGATGGGTGAGACAGGGGGGGAGACAGGGGGGGAGACATGGGGGAGACACGGGAGAGATGGGAGGAGACAGAAGGGAGACAGGAGGGAGGCAGGGGGAGGCAGGAGGGAGAGGGGGGAGACAGGGTTGAGACAGGGGGAAGAAAGTAGAGGGGATGTAAAAGGAAGGAAGGGAAGAGATGGAGAAGGGGGGATGGAATGTGATGTGAAGGATCGAACGCAATGGGACAGGAGGGATAGGATGAAACAGCAGGGATAAGATGGAACGGGAAGAGATGCAATGAGAAGAAACAGGATGAGATGGGAAGTATAGGACAGGATGAGAGAGATGGAATGCAATAACATGTCAGTAATGGGACAGCAGGAGATGGGATGGGATAAGGAGATGGGATGGGATAAGGAGATGGGATGGGATGGGATAAGGAGATGGGATGGGATGGGATAAGGAGATGGGATGGGATAAGGAGATGGGATGGGATAAGGAGATGGGATGGGATAAGAAGATGGGATGGGATAAGGAGATGGGATGGGATGGGATAAGGAGATGGGATGGGATAAGGAGATGGGATGGGATAAGGAGATGGGATGGGATGGGATAAGGAGATGGGATGGGATAAGGAGATGGGATGGGATAAGGAGATGGGATGGGATGGGATAAGGAGATGGGATGGGATAAGGAGATGGGATGGGATAAGGAGATGGAGGGATGGGATAAGGAGATGGGATGGGATAAGGAGATGGGATGGGATGGGATAAGGAGATGGATGGGATAAGGAGATGGGATGGGATAAGGAGATGGGATGGGATAAGGAGATGGGATGGGATAAGGAGATGGGATGGGATAAGGAGATGGGATGGGATAAGGAGATGGGATGGGATGGGATAAGGAGATGGGATGGGATAAGGAGATGGGATGGGATAAGGAGATGGGATGGGATAAGGAGATGGGATGGGATAAGGAGATGGGATGGGATAAGGAGATGGGATGGGATGGGATAAGGAGATGGGATGGGATGGGATAAGGAGATGGGATGGGATAAGGAGATGGGATGGGATAAGGAGATGGGATGGGATAAGGAGATGGGATGGGATAAGGAGATGGGATGGGATAAGGAGATGGGATGGGATGGGATAAGGAGATGGGATGGGATAAGGAGATGGGATGGGATAAGGAGATGGGATGGGGTGGAATGGGAAATGATGGGATGAGACAGGAAGAGGTGGGATGGGACAGGAGATGGTATGGCACAAGGTGAGCGAGGGAGCCAGGGAGTCCAGCAGAGAGACAGAGAGAGAAGCGTGGCACACCGGCCAGATAACTCAACCAACGTCATTGGTTCATCAGGGTTGGTCAAGTGGCTCAGATGGCAAATACTCTTTCAAAGCACACAGCGTTGGTGTACGGTGATTTTTTTCTGCAATATTTTGCTTTTTTTTGGATTTTCTGTTTGCACTTAGTCACATAGTCACTTTAAGATGTTTTCTTGTTCATGTTATTGTTTTTTGTTTGTTGCGGTTCAAGTTAATTTATTTGGTATAGCCCTGTGAGCCATTCGGCTCTTGAATTGGGTGCAACCGCAACAAGCAAAAAACTAAAACAAGAAAACATCTTTAAGTTACTAAGTGCAAACAGAAAATCCAAGAAAAATCAGCAAAATATTGCAGAACAAGCACCGTACACCAATGCTGTGTGCAAGCACCCGATTCAAGAGCCGAATGGCTCACAGGGCTACACCAAATAAATGAAACTGAAAACTGAATATTGGCACAAGACAAAGGAAAGTGAAAACAAATGACGAAATGTGTGGTGGACACCAATGGGCTATCGGCCCATGAATCATGATGATGATGAACCGAGCACTAAATATGTTGATTGCCATGTGACAAACACCGCTTTGACAGCGCTGGGACGACTGCCGGAGCGAGTGCCGGGGCGATTGTTACCCTGCTGATCAGCGTCGGCGTTCCGTGACACGAGCGCCGACACGGCGGGGAATGTGATGCTGGACATGGCGGCCACGGCGCCCGACGCCCACATCATCCTGCAAAGACAAAGACCCCCCACACAGCCTGAACAGACCGTTGGGGCAAGTGCCGATAGCGAGCGGGGATGGGTTGTCCAGCAGCCCACACCCGGCCGGCCGTCTTTGTCTCCCGAGCAGCGATGTTTACACACCGCACCAGGTACTCGTTTGAGGCTGAGTTGACCGAGAGGAGGGCCAAGGAATGGTCACTGGTGTTGGCCGTGAGCGCAAATTGAACTCGGGTCGCCAGGTTCGTAGTGCAGCGCACTAACCACTACGTTACCGCTCCCCGCTACATTTCGCCGCTTGTGCGCACACACACACACACACGTGTGTATATATATAGAAACAAATGCAAACACGTACATGCAAGTTCAAGTCAAGTTCATTTGTTTAACTAGGTGTGAACGAGGTGGCTCATTTATAGGAGTGACCTGGTAAAAGCATAACCAACAAAGAAAATAACAGCAACGAAACAAAAGAATAATCATGGCAAACACAACCGTGTCACATGAAAAATCTAGCATATTGCACAACACATAAATCAATGTTAAATAATGCATTCCCTGTAGCATCAGCCGGTAATACGCTTGTACGCATGCACAAGTACACCCCACAGCCACAACAACAACCGCCATTCGCCCGTAAGTGTTGGCAACGTCACCACGGCACTTGCGCCAGACTATGTACACTTTAAGGCAACGTGAAGTGTCAAAGGCTCGCTGCTGGCAGGAGGTCATGGGACAGACCCAGGTGCCATGGGTTGCCTGGCTGAGAGGACTGGCAGATGCACCAGCTGTGCTGCCCACTGTGACAATTAGCTGCATTTTAACTGCCCGGCGCTGTGCCTGTGATTGTGTGCGTCGCTTATAAAACAACGTTAATACACATATGTACTCATCTGCATGCAAGTACACAAAAAAAGATCCCCCGTATAGCCTGTAACAGACTGTCGAGGCAAGTGTTGTTCGCGAGCACCTATGAAGGCCGGCACGGCACGCGAGGGGGTGGGTGGCCAACACCACGCCCGGTCGCCTTTGTCTCCCTAGTGGCGATGTTTACACATCGCACAAGGTACTCATTTGGGGCTGAGTCGACCTAGAGGAGGCCGAGGACCGGTTCAGATAATCGTCACTGGTGTTGGCCGTGAGCGGGTATCGAACCCGGGTCGCAAGGTTCGTAGCGCAGCGCGCTAACCGCTACACTACCGCTCTCCACAAGCAAATACAAAGTACACACACACATTCTTAGGTTTTTTCCGGTAAAGTCACGTAGGTAAAACATTAAAATGAATAAAAGTTAAATAAAATAAAAATCACGACGTTTCGGAGGCAACACAAGCCTCCGTCTTCAGGTGCCTCCGAAACGTCGTGATTTTTATTTTTATTTTATTTTACTTTTATTAATTTTAATGTTTTACCTACGTGATTTTACCAAAAAAACCTAAGAATATGAATCCTTGCAGTCACGAAAGCTTCAAATCTAGAATACACACACACACATGCACACCTACGTCCACAAACAGGTTGAATGGAACTGAAGGCTTTGATAAGGTATCATTTAATTGAAACTCACATTTCAGTTGTGAAACTAAGGTGAAAAGATATTTGTAGGCAACTCAGTTGGTAGCCTACTACTCAACTCCTTCAATCGCACAATAAGTAACGCAGACAATCAATGCTTAGTCCTGCCACCCAGCTACCAATGACCTGCCACAGCCTCTCACCCAACCACCTAATACCTAACCAAACCACACATTGTAACAAACCCAGCTACAAATTAAACCAGTCCTAACACTTTCTGTAAATGATGAGACGCTCATTGGACAGTTATATGCATGCCAGAGTAATAATCAAAATCCTACACGCAGAATGTTATATCGTGACAACATAATTGGTCCTCTCCCTTCATGACTTGTAATGATGCGTGTAAAGTGACACCAGTATACCGCGTGGTGTAGTGCTAAGCCGTGCGCATTAGACCACCAAGATTTCAAATGGTGGCCATATTATTTGATACGACAGCAGAATACAGGCACAACTGCACAATCACCGATTTCATCCTTGTTAGGAATCATCGGTAGAGTTTCGCCTTCAGGGCCTACTGCTACATTGTGCCAGAAGGGTGTTATGTTGACAAGCCAATCAGTATCCTAAACACGTGCATGTCCTAAAGAATTGTTATTATCTCAATCAGCTGTTCACACTGCCACCCACTATCTCATCTCAGACATTCACCCAACCACAGATAACCCCCCCCCCCCCCCCCCCTTTTTCGATTGCCACATCAAAGCCGAGCCAGAGTGGGGCCCCTCATGGTACTAGCGGATCTCCACTTGCCACTTGATGTGCCGGGCCGAAACCAAACCTTGTTGCGCTGGCCTCAGTATCTCCAAATCAGGGCGAGGAGCTCATAAATGAATCAATCATTGCATGTGACGTCAGTCGGCACACGGTGTGCACAGGGCATCAAAGCGTCATCTACATCTGTCTCGACTCGTTCACCACGCGCGACGTAAGTGGCACGGTTCTGCTTCTGCAGTGGAAAAACAAAAGCGCCTCCTGAGGTGCGCTGGGCTGGCTCGGCACAGTCATGGAGCAGTTCGGTTTGTGAAGTGAAAGAGAAATAAGACGGCAACTCACCAGGGCTGGGAGCCAAACCCGTACCACGTGAGCTGCAGCATCTGGAAGCCGAGTCCCAGGAGGATGGTGTTTCTGTTCCCGATTGACCGCATTAGCACGCTCAGCACAAGCGTCTGCGGCACCGTGACAGGTCAGAGGTCACGCAATAACGGGTTAGAGGTCAGGCAATAAAGGAAAAACGTTCTGCTGCATGCACACACACACACCCGGTAGCCGGGTCCCCCAGAGGTCAGGGTTTTGAGGTCATACTGCTGAGAACCTTCGTTCCAATCCAGACAGCTGCCTGTGATTAAACCGGGTTCTCAAATGTATTACATTGATGGTCTCAGCCTAGTCATCATCGCATTAAATTTGGTTCAGCAGTTACTTTAGCCAATTTACAGCTCTAAGAATGCAAAATGTGTTGTTGTCATGTGACAAACATTACTTTTATGTGTCATGTGGTTCTGCCCCCCGCTATGTGTACCAGACATCACTTGAAGGGGTCTCAGAGGTAGCTCTGCGTTATCCGCTTTTGTGGACCATTCCCTAACATGCAGGGCAGCACTGTTCTGTGAGAGTTCTGAAAGTAACACTAATAGCACAATCGGGATAAAAATTCTGAAAAAATACGAAACTTAAATAAAAAAATAAAGCTCACAATGTGCTTGTAGATTAACAGACGTGTTTACGTTGTTCGTCATCATCATACTCATCATCAGATACGATCAATCCACGAGCCATCGCCGTCTCTCACAATCATGCTATGTATTCTATGGTTCTTTCGGTGAAGTCACGTAGATAGGAAAAAAAATAACAGCAATAAAATAATAAAAAATAAAGTGAGTAAAAATATCACGACGTTTAAATCGCAACACAAGAGGTCGTCATCAGGAACTATCTACATGACTTTACCGAAAGAACCATAGAAGATGAATTCTTGCAGTCGCAAAAGTTGTAAGTCAAAATCATGTTCTGTATTCTGCAATTATCTTTTAGATACAGAACTATGCTGTGTGTTCCTCGCTGTCTGCTTGAAGGAGGAATATGATATTAACATTGCGGTAAACTGTGCCACTATAGTGGAAACCCATACATTTTTCTATTCTTGGATCTTTCGGTAAAGTCACCTGAGGACGGCTGCTTGTGTTGTGGCCGAAACGTCGTGAGAATTTTTTATTGTTTTATTTTTATTATTTCCCTTCTACGTGACTTTACCGAGAGATCCAAGAAATATGAATCCCTGCAGTCGCGAAAGCTTTAAATCGAAATTTAACCCATACCTTCTAATACAGCTTGAATGCAGTGCCATCACTAATTCCCTATGGCTCATGGGGCAGCATAGGACAAACAACCCATGCATGTATTTGTAACATAATAGATCACAATTGTACAGGATGGCCTAACAGTCAGGACACAGGGTTATTTTGTTTAACACTGGCATTAATGCATTTTAGTTGTTTATTATTTATGTAAAAATTTAATCTATTGCCATTATATTGATATTTATTGAACTTCTTTATTTTCAGATGACTTTGACAAAACTCGACTAAGAACCCTCAATCAATTGAGACAAAACACAATTGATGAATGTTCAAAGATTATACCTGCAATCTTAAAAAAAATATTCCTACATTTATTTCAAAGGGGAATTCATGCTTCATGAATTGATGTTAATGGAAGTCAGTTTGAACATTTGTTAAAATAAATGAAATAACCATATGTGATTTGCTACAATATCATAACCGGTGTGTCTTTACTTTTGGGCCACCTTGTATATTCCGGTACAGAGGACTGGTTAAAATATTACTCGTCGCTGATGCAAGCCGTAGCCAAGAAATACATTTGAGTTTCTGGGTTCAAAGGTCAGTGCGCCAACTACCGTGCCACCGTTCCATCCCAGCTATGTATTTAGCATAAATAGCTTTTATGTTGTGTTGTAAAATTTAAATGTTGTGATGAATAATTAAAATTTCGATTTAAAGCTTTCGTGACTGCAGGGATTCATCTTCTTGGTTCTTTCAGTAAAGTCTACGTGACTTTACCGAAAGAACCAAAAAGATGAATGATTTATATTCGCGACTGCAAACATAATTTCACGATTCGTTCGTTGCAGTACAATTTTCTAAATTCAGTTTCATTATTTGCTCATTTTCTGAGTGTTAATTTGTCGCGTTGCAGCAGCTGATGCGAGCGAATCGCTGTGAAAAGTATTTGCTGTTGGCAATGTGAAGCATGGTTGGAGGACTGAATGCATGTCTTACCTGTGCCAGAATTGATAAAACTCCGAGCTCCGCAATGAACGCAGCAACACTGCCAGCTGAAAATCCCATGATCTAACCGCACACACAAAAGACAAAGGTCCCCCTTCATACAGGCATGTAGACCGCTGGGTCAAGTGCTGTTGTAAGCAAGCACCTTTTAGGCCTGCATGGGGCATCCACATTGACGCACGCACACAAATACACACCCGATGTAGACCCTAACATACAAGACAACTGCTATCAATGGCGGAGCCTGGATTTTCAGGTGGGGGGGTGGGGGCAACCCCTCCAGCAATGAAAAATGATATAGGAGTTGTTAGTAAGTAAGGACTTGTCCCTTGCTTTTTATTCGACGCGTGTGCGGCGATGGCGCAGCCATCGATCGAGGGTCGAATTCGAACCGTGTGTGATCGGCATCGCGCTCGCTGAAGGCGAATGCCTTCAGGGAAGTCGTGGACTGTATACGCAACTGCGCACAATTCTGAGTCCATTATACCTGGTTTGCCGTTACTTATTGCTAACTATTGTCCTATCATCTCATAGAGTCTCTGGCACATAATATGCTACACAGTGGCAGTGGGGGTCGCAAAATGCCGATTTATTACTAATAAACCCCAATGATTCGAAATTAGGGATTTCGATCAGATCATTGGGGGGCATGTGCCACCCCACCCCCTGGCTCCACCAGTGACTGCTATTCACCACTAAGTGGCAGTGATGGAACCACAACGATTGTACCACACAAAAGACAAAGATCTCACATATAGCCTTTAACCGACTGCTGGGACAAGTGCTATTAGCGAGTACTCATTCAGGCCCGCAAGACACACAAGTGTTATGGTCGTCTTCGTCTCCCCCGTGCTGATGGTTACACACCCACAGTCTGAGGTCAACGAGTTCGTGACATAAATTGCTAATCACTGTACCACTCAATATACACAGACTCTTACAAACACACACATGCACAGAATATACACAAATACACAACCAGATACAACAGACGTCATTCACCACTAAGTGGTCGGGTCATGAACACAGCTCTTATGCCTAACTAACAAACATATGCACATCCAGATAAATACACAATTACATTCACACAAAAACACAACAACAGCCACCATTCTCCACTACGTGACAGTGACGTCACCATAGCACATGTGCCAGGCTAGGTGAACGTTTGTAAGGCCACGTGAAGTGTGGAAGGCACGCAGCTGGCAGGTTACGGGAGAGACCCAGGTGTTATGGATTAACTGAGCGAGATGAATGGGTGAGGCACCAAACAACAACAGCCATCATTCGTCACTGCGAGTGTGATGTCACTACTCTTGTGCCAGGCTCGGTGCATTTTGAAGCGACGTGAAGTCTCGAAGGCTCGCTGGCAGGAGGTCACGGGACAGACGCATTTGTTATAAGTTAGTAGAGATGACTGGCAGATGCAGGGAAAAAAAACACACAAACACGTCCGTACAAACGTATACTCACGCGAGTCTGGCCTCCTGCCTGCCCCCTCGCCCCATCTTGGTGGCGAGATGTTAACTGCCTCGCCTGGCATGCAGGAGGTCGTGAGTTCAATCCCGACCCTTATACCTGTATACTTTGGATTTTGCATGTTCTCCCCATGGTGGAGTGCATTTTTCTCCAGGTTCGTCCGGTATTTTCCCTCCACATTTAGAATCGACGTGCGGGTAGAGAATTCGGCTGCTGCTATAAATTTCCACGCGATGGTAAGCCGCTTCGTTGCGTGGCCAGGTCGCTTCTGAAAAAGAGGCTATATAGCTCAGTGGGCCTTACCTGGTAAAGAAATAAAAATGTGGTTAGCACTCTCACCTGGCGCAGGTAGAGGAAGAAGCTGGAGTACTGCCCGGCCTCGGGCAGGTAGGACAAGAACACCGTGATGCAGATGAGCAGCACTGTCGAGTCCTGGCCAACCTTACGCAGAGACTGTGCACAGCCACACACACACACAACGCCATGGCAGGGACAACACAAAGATCCCCCGTCGTGTAGCCTCAAGATATCTTCTTGGTTCTTTCGGTAAAGTCACGTAGAATGGACGGCTGCTTGCGTTGTGGGCGAAACGTCGTGAGAATTATTTAATAATGTTTTATTATTATTATTTTATTATTTTCATTCTACGTGACTTTACCGAAAGAACCAAGAAGATGAATCCCTGCAGTCATGAAAGCTTTAAATCGAAAGCCTCAAGATAATTTTAGGGAACGTATGAAGGCCGGCATGGCACACAATGGGGTGGGAGGCCAGCACCATGCCAGGATGCCTTTGCCACCCTGGTGGTGATGTTTAGACACCATACCAGGTACGCATTTGAGGCTGAGATGATCTAGGGCATGTCCTAGGACTGGCTCAGATAATCGTCACTGATGTTGGACATGAGAAAGAATCGAACTCGGGTCGCTAGGCTCATAGTGCAGCGCACAAACCGCTGCGCTACTGCTCCCCACTGTGGCGGAGACACACACAAAACTCTTCGGACAATTTAATTTCAATACAATTCTCCCTTCTTTCGCATCTGTGATATACAGCCACATCTCTAGATGTTTTACTATGTTTTTGTTAGATACAAATTTAGACTATTAACTAATATTCAATGTGTAAAAAAAAAGATGATAAAAAATGTGCTGTTTAACATGAACAAAAAACTCACAATTGTCAACGACACTGCCTTAAAAGAACAAACATATACAGAATTGGCACTGTTTCAGGCGGTTGCTGTTCTTCATAACACATAGCACGTGCACGTATTTGTGTGAGCGTTCAACATCCAACGTCACCCCCCCCTCCTTCTGCCCTACCCAACGTTGCCCGTATCTCCTGGCCGCATTCATTCGTCCACTCACAGCGAAGGGGTCGGCCTGCTCCCAGGAGATGGGTGCCCCCCATGAGGCCGGCCGCATCTTCTCGGGCAGCGACTCGGGCACCGCGACGAGAATGAAGGCGATGTCCAGCAGGGCCACGCCGGTAGCCAGCGCCACCACCAGCCCGTCGCCGTAGGCCGTGCTCAGGTACGCGCCGATAGCCGGGCTGGTCACCAGGCTGGCCGCGAACGTTGCCGACACCTGCTCAAACACGCGCGCGCACACGAACGCACGAGCACAAACGCACACGCACTGCTACAGCGGAGGGTCGGGTCGAGTCATCGACTTTTTCTTTGTCTTGCCAAGTAAAAATTGAGAGGCACTAGGATGGTCTCAAATATTGTGTATATAGATTGAAAACTCAAGTGCTTTTTTGTGTTTAGTTTGTTAGTTTAGTTTGTTGTTTAGATTCCCCCACGTACCCCCGATTAGCACGCTTGGCTACGTACGGTGCGAAAGAAGTTCACCACATATTGGGGGGGGGGGGGCGATTGGCACGGCTCACCAGGCCATATGCGGAGCTGCGCTCGTGCTCGGGCGTCACGTCGGCCACGTAGGCGAACACCACGGAGAAGGTGACCGAGAAGATCCCCGACACGGAGATGATGGCAAAGTACCACCTGTGCGAACACACACACACACAACGACACACGCACACACACACACGCGCACACACACACGCGCACACACACGCACGCACACACACACAACGACACACGCACACACACACAACGACACACACACACAACGACACACGCACACACGCACACACAGATACACACACACGCGTACACACACACAACGACACACACACACACACACCACACACACACACCACACACGCACACACACACAACAACACACACGCACACACACACAACGACACACACACACAACGACACACACCACACACGCACACACACACAACGACACACGCACACACAATACAATCTATACAGTGTACATAGCGTCTACATGCACCCATATCTGAAGATGCTGTGCAGAAACAGTGAACATATTTACATTAGAGTGAGACAGGCAGTTAGTTACATGTCTCCGTAAGAGTCTATGGATCTCTGTGTGAGCTTCTGAGTTTCTGTGCGAGTCTCAAGGTCTGTGTGCGAGTCTATAGGTCATCAACTGAGACATGATGGGATCGGGCACATAAGAACCCAACACAATGGATTGTGCTGCACTACTTCTCTGCTGCCTACAATTTAGCCCCGCAACCGCCTACGACATCTGTTATACACGTTGGAGTCATCCATCCGAGCACTTTCCAGGCTAAAAACCTGCTTAGCTTTTGAGCTATGATGAGATGGGGTGCATTCTGGGCGATCGGGACATTGGCAATTGTACCAATATATTTGGTTAGATCGTGATTTGAAGCTTTCGTGAATGCAGGAATCCATTCTCTTTGGTTCTTTCGGTAAAGTCACGTGGGTATTTCATTTTATTTTATACCTAAGTGACTTTACCGAAAGAACTAAAGAGTATTTGGTTATATGTTTGGCCGCATTTACATGAATATGACTATTTGTATATGTCTTCTTGGTTCTTTCGGTAAAGTCACGTAGAAGGGAAGTAATAAAATAATAAAAATAAAACATAATAATATAATTCTCATGACGTTTCGGCCACAACGCAAGCAGCCGTCTTCAGGTGACTTTACCGAAAGAACCAAGAAGATGAATCCCTGCAGTCACGAAAGCTTTAAATCGATATTTGTATATGCTCAGACAATCGTTTAGCAACTGGAAGTGTTGGCAAGCATGAGCCCTCCTCACCAGGGACTGATCCTCATGAGCGGGATGGGTGCGCAGGTGAAGAAGACAGTGAGCAGCAGGAAAGACTTGCGACCCCAGACGTCGGAGAGCGCGCCAATGAGAGGCGCGCTGAGAAACGACAGCAAGCCCTGCTCGCGTGCAAAAACCACGGGGACGAACACGCATACGCACATTTGTACACGAGTGACACGACATAATTCCACAACTCACGTCAACAAACACGCGCAAATAACAGACATTCCATGTCAACATGACAGCACCCACACGCATCACACAAACACTCGGCACCTCATGTCACAACACAGATCACAACACAGATCACAACACAGATCAATCGTTACACAACTCCCATCAACAAATATGTGCACCTACACGCACGAACATCACACCACACTTCAGCTCATTTGTAAAACCAATACAAAGATCCCCCGGATCGCCTAAACACTGTTGTTCACGAGTACCTATGAAGGTTGGTACAACACATGAGGGGGTGGTGGGTGGCCAGCACCACGCCCAACTACCTTTGTCTCCCTACCGGCTATGTTTACACATCGCAACAGGTACTCATTTTGGGTTGAGCGCACCAAGGGGAGGCCCAGAAAGGGTTCAGATCATCGTCACCGGTGTTGGCCGTGACCAGGAATCGAACTCGGGTCGCCGGGTTCTTAGTGCAGCGCGCTAACCGCTGCACGACCGCTCTTCACATGTGACAACACACGCCTTGCACACACACACATCACACGATCACTGTATATCTCATTGCATCACTGTCGTTAAAGCTGTATGAAACATATACAAATAGTTTCAATTACTCTATAGCATCAAAGCACCACCAGACAACGCTGAAAATCTTACAGGACCCTCAGCCATATTTTAATCCGCAACTTCAAGCATTCTACCACACCTGGCCTCTGTATTCTTGAGATTTGATCGCGATTAGCAGAATTATTTGTGGGACAAAAACTTGACCGATTACCCGCACGGGGCTGTGTCTAGCACCCTGGGTTCTCAATCGGACCGGCCCCAAGGTGATCCTCGCTGGATTGGACGGGACAGCGGATGCGGTGACGTGGCCTGTTGCACAGCCCCACGATTTGAGCCCAGCTGCCACCCTGGTTAATACTGTGGTGCGTATTAACGATAAAACATGCGTCATCCGTTTCATGGTGAACGTTACAGACACTTTGACGTTCTTAAAAAATAACAGTACGCAAATGCGTGCAGGCATCGCGGTCCAAATTGAATAAATTACTTGAAAAATTACTAGATATAATTGGCAATATCGCCACCTTCTGGAAGACGAATGCTCACTCGAAGGCCTATGCTGTGATCACCTTGTACAGCACAGGGCCAGCTGCCACGGTGGGGTGCTCATTTTGGCTACACTGAGGCAGAGGGCCTCAAAGCTGCGCCGCGTGAGAGGCGCGGCGTGAATATTCAGCGGTGACGATGAGCGGCTCGTACCTTGACACCCTGTATGAGGCCGTTCATGAGGAACGTGTGCTGGGGAAAGGTCTCGTGCAGCACCTGCACACCACACACAGCGAGGTCAGCACGGTCTTGGCACGCAAACCCCCCCCCCCAACCGACACCCCGAGTAGGCGTCGATACAGCGTAGTAGCTATCGCATGTGTAGCAAGTGCAACTGCACCGGAGCCCTGGGGCTCAAGAGGTTCAATTGCAGGAGGGACACAAACGCCAGGAAAAAATAGAGCCGGAAAGTTGAACACAAGGAGCGCCGTTAATTCCTTGAATCAGGGCCCATGCCAAACACGCTGCGCACCAGCATCAACTGTAGACATGCGGTGATTTACTGATACAAGAGACAATTGAAAGGTGTGTTGCCCTCACACCAAACTATGAGTGGCCTTGATGGAGCTGTATTGGGTCTCGACATCAGTGTTCTTCATTGCAAGGCCCGTGGTCCACTGGCGGCCCCTGGTGGCCTTTAGTGCGGCCCCCGACACAACACAACACGTGACAACACCACCTTGCAGGCGGTGTGGCGGCCCTCACACAGATGTCTTATTGGTGAAAATGGCCCACCTCTGAAAATGAGTGACGAACACTGCTCTACATGGTCCACATCGAGTGCAATGAACCCGGTCCATTATCATCATCAATGTGCCAAGGTTTTAATCTCCACCCAGAATAACTATTCTTCTCACCCATCAAACCACTTGCTCACAGCACAAGTGACTATAAAATTGTTATCCTGCCGTGTGATTCCATAATTGTGAAAATGTGTCGCAGTCGTGGTGGCTAGATGTTAACTTTCTCGCCTGGTGGTGGGTTCGATCCCGACCCTAACGCCTGCTGTATATTTGGAGTTTGCATATCCTCTCTCCCCCTGGTCATGTGGATTTTTCTCCGGGTCCTACAGTTTCTCCTCCACATATAGAAGCAACGTCACACGTTTAGAGTTTTGGCTGCATTACATTTCCACGCAACAAGCCACTTCGTTGAGCTATCATTTGTGGCCAGGTCGCTCCTGAAAAAGAGCTATTGATCTCAGTGGGCTTTACCTGGTAAAATACAAAAATAGTTCATAGATGCGGACAAAGTCGTAAGTTTCACATATATAAGAACGAAGTGATAATAAAGCCTAAAGCCTGCAGTGTAACCGGGCCATATGGAGGGCATGAGTATGACGATTGCTAGAATGTGATTGCGAACAAAAAGAGGAAGTGTTTCACACAGGCAGCCACAAAGAAAGCCACGGAAACCGCTTTCTCATTGAGCATGTCGCCATTAAGTGCAAGAGGGCGAAAGCGCGGGAGAAGGGTGTGTTTTGTCATTGCCCGAATAAGTCGTGGAGGAGCAGCGACGTTTCTGGGAACTGTCGCGGCCAGATGTGTTTCTCCGCTCCGTTGATTTTGACGAAGCGAAAGCGAGCGAATGACACATTTGTGTCGATGTGTACAGTGTGTCCTCGAAATAAACGCCGGGATTCTTCAAGGGCGCGGTCTCGTTTTATTAACAAAACCCCCGTTATTTCCATTATAATAAAGGAAAACCAAAAAAAATTAAAAAACCACGGGCCTGAAAATCAATGTGTGCGTACGTTTGTGTGCGTGTCAATTCCAAATTTGATTGCCGCTCATGGTCAACACCAGTGACGATTATCTGAACCAGTCCTGGGCCTCTCCTAGGTCGACTCAGCCTCATATGAGTACATATACCTGGTGTGATGTGTAAACATCGCCACTGGGGAGACAAAGGCGGCCTGTTGTGGTGCTGGCCACACACCCCCTCATGTGCTGTGCCGGCCTTCATAGTTTGCTCGCAAATAACACATGCCCCAACAGTCTGTTAAGGCTATAGGCGGATCTGTCATTCCACATGTGTGTGTTTGCGCGCACGTACGGTCAGCGTGGGTGCAGTGAGAAGCCCCCATGCGAAGAACTCGAGGAAGATGACGAAGGCTGCGTGGTAGACGCTCGGCTGGCCAATTCCACGAGGCTGCGGAAAAAATGAAGGACAACGATGCTACTCATCACCACGATGCCGTCGTGGTCGCTGTGCTTGGCACAAGCGGCACCGGCCAGCCACCGCCGTCACCGGTCAAGCAAAAGCTCACCGCTGGCAGCGTAAGATTTGCAGTTGTTTTGTAAAATACCGTACATTTCATCACTACCATCATCAGCTACAATGAACCCACGGATAGATCGAAGCGTTCACAAACCGTCGTCATCCCTCATGGTCCCACGACGCACGATTTGTGGTGGTGGTGGTGGTAGGTGAGATGTTTTTTTGGTTAAGGGTACTTGCGTGTTGAGGTGTTTACTGTGATTCCATGTTTAGTCAACAGCAGGGATGTGAACTCTATTACTGATTATAATTTCCTGTTAACATTCATGCATGTCTGTATGTATGTTGAACGTCTTTCATAACATACGTAGCCCACTGCGCTAATCGAAGGTGCGGAGGAAGGACAATGCAGTAACAGTAATATCCTGAATAGCCCACATTCACTAGCCATGATCCATTCACTGCTGGACGAATGCCTCCCCAAGCCTTTGCCATCCATCGTAGTCTCATGATCCAATAAACCACGTGCTTCCTCTGCATGCGAGTTGATTTCATTGCTCTACCTCTACGGACAACCTTTTCTCGGCGTGTTGCCTTATTTGGCTGCCACTCCCTCTTCAGTCTCCACCAGCAGCCATCAAATGCTTCCAGCGCCGTGTCCTGCGCAAGCCCACTTACTTCTCTATACTAAGCCTCTGACTTTCTTACATTTTCGATACTGGTGTTCCTCTTCCAAAGCATGCCACTCTCCATCCTTCTCTGCATATTTTTCAGTTTCTGTTCCCTATTCATCACCAGCTTCCATGTTTCATATGCACATGTCATGGTGCTTATTTTCAGCGAATACTGAATTGGGATGGCATACAACAGTGCAGCACCACTTCTGCACTCCACAAAAGCAATTCACTATTCATTGGTAATGAAGTCATTGCCGAGTCTGTGCCAGGCGTATACACAAAGGCATACATTTCCCCATTAGCCTTATAGAAGTGCTGGAGCTAGTACAGTTGGCAAGCATCTATTAAGGCTGGAATAAAGAACGAGTGGTGTGGTCAGTAGTGCACTCAGTCACCACGCCAGCTACTTGGCCCATAATGAGTACAGTGCACTTACAATTGCACCATTTCTCACTATAAACGGAAAGATACATATCCCTTGCAGAGTCTTACAAACTGTTAAGGTAAGTACTGTTAAAAAAAACAACTATTAAAGCTGGGATGGTTTATGAGAGGGTGGTGTGACCAAAACTACACCATGCCACCTTTGCGTCTCGCTTGTTGTTAACACAACACTATATAAACAAATACACGTGCTCACTTACACAAGGAAACAAAGACAAAAGTCCCCTGTATAGCCTTCACAAACTATTGGGACAAGCCCAGCACGGTAGACCTAGGGCAGGGGTCGGCAACCAAAATAACAAGAAGAGCCATTTCTTTCCAATTCGGTACAAAATTCAGTATTTCAAGAGCCGCAATGCATCTGAGTACATACTGTACATACGTACTCATCGTCAAGAAGCAGCCCGTAAAGAGCCGCATGCGGCTCCGGAGCCGTAGGTTGCCGACCCCTGACCTAGGGGGTGGGTGGCCAGCACCACGCCCGGCCTTTTTGTCTCCCTAGTGGGCGATGTTTACACATCGCACCAGGTACTCATTTAAGGCCGAGTCGACCTAGGGGAGGGCCAGGACCGGTTCAGATTATTCGTCACTGATGTTGGGCCATGAGTGGGAATCGAACTTGGGTAGCCGGGTTCGTAGCGCAGCGCGCTAACCGCTACACTACCACTCCCCCACTGCTCACACACACGCACACGCATGCGTGTAAATATCCCCTAACAACACCAAGTCATAGATACGCAAAAGTAGGTTAATATTAAGGCATCTAGATTGTTTAACAGTAAATCCACAAGGCAAATTAGTGACGCTGCTCACTGCCATAATTGACATGTTGATGTGTTGACTTTCTTTCTGTGATTATCAAGGCCACAGTGTCAGTTGACTTATGATGGCAGCATGCTGATAGCACGACTAGCATGCTACGTCTCGAAACATGACACGTGTTTGTGTGCAGACCTCAATATATGTTCGCTAACGGGACTGGCGCCAGCAGTATCCGAGGCTAAAATGAGGGGGTCTTGTTGCCTATAATAAAACATAAATTGACAGGCTCTATGTGAAAAACCAGCTAAAAGGATTACTCATTGTAATATTATCATAACAATGTTAATTCCAGCATTAACCTATCACATCAACTCATCGTGGTATGAACATCGTCTGGTCTTCATAACACAGTATCAGTTGAATTTTTTGTATGCTAAATGTACAGTATTGTATCAGCAACTTCATCAAATTCATTACAATTTTACTCCAATTTCACCACCACGTGCTATGCCTGCGAGGGTAGGATTTCACTTCTGCTCCATTTCTAATTTCCCTGTCGCTTCACAGCGATATAATCGTATATTCTGAATATCCTCACTGAGTTTCAAGACTCTTTTTCTCAGGAGGGTCCTGCATTGGGATGTTTGGGTCATTCCTTCTTTCGGAATGCTTTGAATGTGGGAGGAAAATGGGGTACACATCATGGAAACCCATCATGCTTGAGACGGGAGAACACTCATAGGGTCTACACAAACGGGTTCATCGACCCACACTTTGTTCTGGCCACCTTACAGCCCAATAGTTTTCACTCATCTGTGTGTGATCCACTAACCCTTGCCTCTACAACACTAAATCACAGGTGCGAGCCACCACACTTGGCTGTGAATAAAAAATCCATGTTGTCAATATTTCATACGAATTAACGATAACTGGATTTGGAAAAGGGTTTTCAACCGTTGATCACACTCCATTTAGAAAGGATTAATGAAATTCAAATACCCTTATTCATGGTTTTGTGGATTATGAAAATGCATTTGATTCAATGGACATCCCAGCTGTCATAAACAAGGTTTCAATAAAACATCCGTTAACTTCTGAAAACCATTTACAAATATGGGAGATAGACTTAGGTTGCATGGAGAAAGTGATACGTTACAGCAACCTTAAAATATGTTTTCTAAAAAGTGTATTGGGGCAATAAAAGCCATAAATACAAAAAGAGAATGGATTAACCATTTAAGGTTTGCTGATGACAAAATAATTAAATCAAATAATGGAAGTAAATTGTAAATTAAAGAATTAAACAATGAAGGCTGCAAAGTTAGGCTCAACATATTTAGAGCTGTACAAAAGTCACGGACAGAAAGAATAATTTATACTGGAGGGCCGCAACTGGGAATTACAGAAATGTGTAACTACGGCTCTTACCAACAGTGGCTCTGGGTCCCAATGATGACATAATAGGTGGATGATAGCAGTATGGGGTGCGTTTGTAAAAAAAAAAATCATAACTAAAATCAACATACGAATGTGCTTGAAAACCCAAAGGTTTCAATCAACAAAATAATCTCAGCACATTTGTAAAAAAGACTGCACGTAAATAAAAATATATAATAGGCGACGTTCCAGGTAATAGCCCTTCTTCATAGCAAATACATCGTGCTATGTACATGCTTGTGCACCATTGTCAATGCAACGTCACCAAATCATATATTTAGGTTACAAAACGTGTATGACATATCAATCAGTAGCACGTACACTGACATAACTAAAACTAATAAATACACAAAAACGCAAAAGTATGGATAAATTCATACTTAGAAATACACGGAGAGACAGAGAGGGCAACACATGGCTCGGATAACAAATCATTATCCGAAAAACATTAACCGCTAAGAAATGTAACTGGGATTGACGAGTGGGGCACATTAACAGATGGATTGATGGCCAAAGGACAATACAGGACTGGTGATGGAACGGCGTACAAAGGAGAAGAAGCAACAGCAATGGGGAGATGGGGTGGGAATGGTCTGTAGAGGCCTTCATCCAGCAGTGGACAGTTTGATGAAGTATGGCTGTATTTTTATTTAAAGCTTTCGTGACTGCAGGGATTCATATTCTTGGTTATTTCGGTAAAGTCACGTGACTTCACCGAAATAACCAAGAGCATGGCTGTATTGCCATAAATATAAGATCTTACCAACTACATTTTTAACGTAACAATATTTAGCAGGCTAACGTTTCAGGCAATGGTCTCTCTTCAGTTTCGATAGTGATATAGTTTCTGTTTTAACGGCAGTCGACGTTCCAAGCGCAGGAAATTGACGGGGGGATACATACAACATGTGCCACGGCTTCGCCACGCCGGATCAGCCTCGAGGATTATTTCACCAAAATTCACGCCGAGCCCGTGCGAGTTGGTGAAAGCGTTAAGCATATCTATGGGAACATAGAAGTAAAGTACAATGGGGTTTTCCCTCTTCTGCCCCAAGACCCAATTGACACGTTGTGCATGGTGGTACCCATTGCAACACTATCCAGGCACAATCCTGCTGAACGTCTGAGATCCGACGAGATCGAGCGAAATTCCGTGTGAATTGGTCAAAGGCTGATACGAAATAAATCAAGGCGAATGAGAAATATTTCACGCAATAAGGGTTCGTTCGGCTATTACTGGTTTGTTGTTCGCTATTAACAATACATGAGAATCAATAACTAAGTCCAGTACGCATCGCTCCAATAGACGAAAACATATGGAATCACAGTAAACATCTGCACATGATTATCCTTGAATCAAAACAGCACGACAACCTACCCGCCACCACAAATCACGCACGATCGCATTACACATATCCACTATTATCACCATCGCCAGACATGCTCAATCCACTGCTGGATGTTTCCCATAAGTCGTCATCTGTCACAGTGCTGCGACGCATCATATCACCGAGTAACTGCACACGAGCGGATTTCACCGCTCCATCTCCCACGGGGGGGTCACCCTCTATCACAACCACAATAAAAAAAAATCACACATTTACACAAATTTCTATCGCCCCTCGTTCCGCGACCGATGCGGCCTGGGGTTCCCTTGCCGCTCAAGTCCCACTGTCACCGGGCGGAGAATCTAGCCTAGACCGGTGTCTCTCTTGCGGCCTACTCGGCAGACCCGAACCCTCCATCGAAAACTCACCGCGCCGCCCTCCTTGATGATGAGTTTTTTGGCGAGCATCACGCTGCGATTTACCCTCTTCTTTTTCTTGCCCTGCGTCATATTATCATCATCTTCAGCGGCGGATAAAATCAATACCCGCTACACCTCCTGCCCGCCTCCGCTATTGTAAGCGAACTTCTCCGTCTGGGCCGGCGGCGTGACGTCACCCGCGCGTGTTGACGCCTCACCTCCGCGTCGGAGAAAATGACGTCATCGCCGCTGTGTTTTTGTTGTGTGACGTTATTTGCATTAAAAAAAACCCCCCGTGTTGCGGGATGACGTCACTAATCAGATCCACCAAACCGTTGACGATTATACTTCGGCGGTGACGTCATATCGCGCGAGCTGGCGTGTTGCGCGTGACGTCACGGGGGTTGCCTGCGGGTGACGTAATTCGAATGTTGCCTAGCAACGCTGGGACGCCGACCCCCCCCCGCTGCCCCCACCCCCCACAGCACGTGGCCCCGCCCCTCGCATCCAGTCGACTGCGTAAAAAGATTGGGTCGTGAGAAAGATTGGCGTTTATTATAATTGTTTTATTTGTTTAATATAACATTTGTGTGCAACTATAAAGGTTTTATTTTTGAAAGTAGCACAAGCAGGGCGAGCGGTAAAACGAAAGAGCTCATTAAAGGTAATGTTTGAACTGTTTAGCGAAATTTTCTATCTGTATTTGCCTGTCACGCATAAATATACAGTATATATTATCTGGTAATTTATATATTATCTGTTGAACTCTTGAGGTAATCTAATTGTATAATTTGTATGAGAATTACAACCCGTAATTTCGACCGTGTATTTGAATGCTTGCTTTGTACTGTGTTGTAGTTTGTCAACTGTATTGTGATAAACGCTTGGTTCTTTCGGTAAAGTCACGTATAAAGATAAAATAATAACTTAAATAATAGCATACGACGTTTCGATTGCAACACAAGCAATCATCGTCAGGTATAAATGAAATAGCAACAAAAATCTAACCAGAAAACTATAGACAGACATATGAGCAGATTGTGATAGTTTTGAGGGCTGCTGGTATAACAACATCTAACCTATAAAAGGCATTTTTTATATTTTATAAAGATATCTTACATATCTTTGTCAAACCACACGGTTTGACTCGTATTCTTGTACATGGAAAATTTAGTTTTCAGGGGCATGCGGTGTACAGTCGTTTCAATAAGAACTTTGTAGGATGAACGTTGATATTAATAAGGGCACGGGGTGACCAATACGGTTTGAATGGGTCTGTCATAAGGGGTTAACAGGTTCGGAATACGTGACTAATATTATTTTCTTGGTTCTTTCGGTAAAGTCACGTAGAAAGAAAAAAATTAAAATAATATAAATATTAAAAAAATTCTCACAACGTTTCGACTGAAAGAACCAAGAATATGAATCCCTGCAGTCACGAAAGCTTTAAATCAAAATTTAATAGTATTTTTTTCGACGCCGTCCATAAATGACGTCACGCACCTAGGGGGGGACATTTGTGACGATGTGTGACGAGGGGGGGGGGGTGAGAAATGTGACGTCACATCAAAATGCGCAACTTTAAATAAATATAGACAACACTTTCTACCTAATTAAATAGACTTTTAACAAATGTTTTCTCCTACAACATCAGAGTGCAGCGCCACATTAAATACGCACTACAATGACAATAGTTTAAAGCGATTTGAAGCATTTTGGGGGGGGGGGGGGCAGAGCTTTGTGACGTCATATTTGAGGGGGGGGTCTGACTTTTTGTGACGCCGCGTGACGAGGGGGGGGGGTCAAAAATCGTCAAAAATCGCGTGACGTCATTTATGGACGGCCCCTTACACAAATTGTCAAACGGGTTTTCTTTACAATATAAGCTTAATTCAGTGACACATTATCGGTTAAAGACCTTTTGTAAAATAGTCTTTGGTGCTGTTGATGAGCGTGATGGATGTTTCCGCAGTGGCGGTGTGCATCGTTTATTAGGACGCTCTCCCATCGGATTAAATGGGGGGCCACCACAGTTACTCTATGGCCATGTGGTTGGGTGTAAAGTGTGGGGATTCTCACACCGTGCCACGACATCTGGCCAATGACCTCCTGTCAGTGGGGCCCTGCGGCACTTCACGTGACAGCCTCGATGTGCACCTAGCCTGGCACGAAGCACCGCGGTGACGTCGGTGCCACTTAAGCAGCGAATGGTGTTGTTTGGCGTTAAATACCAGTGTCATTGTGAGCAAAATAAACACAGCAATGTGCAGGAGAGAAGAGGTAATTCCTGACAAGGAGGCTTATTGTAACTGTTAGAGGCACCATTGTATCATTGTTTTAAAGTAGCGTATCCTATTGTAATATGCCCCGTATAGACTCGTATCAGATAAAGTAAGGGGTCATCCATTTAGTAGGTACGCACAAAATCAGTCAAAACGTAACCCCTCTCCCCCTCCCTGTACGCACGCGAACTCTTTACACCCCCCCCCCCCGAATCCTACAGAACGGCCAATATTTAATCCACGCAGAAACGATCAAGGATTCATAATATTAACGTGTTTAAGCAATAATATAGTCCATCGTCGGACTATCTAACTCATTTGAAGGCCAATGTAGACAAATTATTATGGAGGCTTCACCCTCCACCGTTTCCTATGTGTACATTGTCAGTAGACCCCCCCATACGCAAGCATACGCATTTGGGTTACCCCCCTTCCCTCCATGTGTACGGACTAAATGGATGGCCCCTAATGTGTAATTTCCACCACTGGCTTGTAAACGTTGTGCCATGCAGAAGGACCATATCGTAATGCCGCATTTGATGAATAGTTTTGCTTTCAAGGCACTTATATATTCCTTCTTTCTTTCTACAAGACCGCAGCACTATGTTCTGGAGTTATATTCCAATGTTTGCATGTATATGTGTTGAACTTCTTTCGCATCGTACGTAGCCAACCGTGATAATCGGAGGTGCGTACCATCTGCGCATTGAAATCGTTGCGTTAATGTCTAAAATCACCTGTGGAAATGATGATCGGTCCATTTCAAAACGGGGTAACGGTTAATGTCTTAACAATCCTAATTTATATAGAAGTGCTGCTTATATCATAGAATGTCTTCTACATCGGGGATTACGAGCGGGTTGATTAAATATGACGGTAACTTGAATGTTAATATTTAATCATATGTATGGCCAACACATTACATCATGCTGCGTTGCATAACGAGTGATTTCCCTTGTGTGTTTTATATATATATGTGTCGTGTGCAGACTTACCAATTGTGCCTGATGTAGGAAGTCGTTAATTGGTGCATATCATCTTAAATGGCTAAGACATCCATTTATTCATCATAATTTTTTGTCTTTTTAAATCCTTTATATTAAGTTCACTTGCTTGCTTGCTTGCGCACTTACGACCGTGCAAATCTTTCGGTCGTTTTTTAACCCACTTCCCGTGATCCAATCGAGCTGACATTTTGCACACAGACTCGTTGTGCGTGCCAATTTATTTTCGTAAAATTTTTTTCCAAAATTTTACACTTTTTAGGAAAAAATAAATTATATTTAATTACGAATTGCTTAATGGTGGCAGGCAATCATCTGACCCATAGGTGGCAGCCATCTCAAGCCAGATGACGAAAGGACTCTAGCCGCCACGCATATAAAGGATTTATAGTGAAAAACTTTGTTTTTACGGGTTAATTTTTTCGCTTGCACAGAGCCCGAGCCCAACGATGGCACTGGTGAGCGGCCAGTGGATTGAGCAGGAAGTCAAAGGGTCACCACCGAGTGCCCGACACGGCCACGCCACCGCTGTCGTGGGTGACATCGCCTTCACGTTTGGAGGTTGCAGCATGGAGGTGCCTGTGTAACCGTGTCTCCAAACTATGTCTGTCCAGCCTCACACCCTTCACGAGCTGCCACTCATTGTAATGCATTCCTACGAAAGTGTGTGTAGCGCAAGGTGGCATCGGGGCCCACAGGGATTCCCCCACTGAAATGTATTTACCAACTGGAGCAAATAAGACAAAGATATCCCTTAACAAACTGTTGGGGCAATTGCTGTTAGCGAGCACCTAAGAAGGCTGGCACGGCACACGAGGAGGTGGGTGGCCAATACCACGCCCGGCCGCCTTTGTCTCCCAAGTGGCGACGTTTACACACCGCACACTCATTTGAGACCGAGTCGAGCTAGCAGAGGCCCAGGAACAAATAATCGTCACTGGTGTCCGCCCGTGAGCGGGAATCGAACTCGGGCCACCGGGTTCATAGCACCGTGCGCAAACTGCGACGCTACCGTTCCCCGACAGAGACTATAAAACCTCTCGAAGCCAGGCTCGGCTACAGAGTACAAGGTCTCCCACAAGCGGAGCACGTGATGGAACTGACTGTTGGTGACCCCATGCCCTTGGGCGTGTGTCACCTTGTTTGCTGCTCGACAAAGCGGAGACCTTGCGCTCTCTCTCTCTCGTTTTCAGACGTAATTCTTTTCGATAAATGTTTTGAAATATAATATTTTAAAAAATATATATATATTTACTCCACAAATAATGTTATTTTAAAACTGGGTGTAGTAATGAGCTGAAGGGCTCGGCGTGCCTCTCTTCTGTATGTGCATTTGCATTTCTTCGTAGTCAAAATTCTATTTTAAAAAATGCGGGATCTCTTCTTATTCGACTGCCTTGCCAGCTTTTTTCCACTTTGACAACAGTAAATCCAATCCCGCTTTTATACACGTGGCTACTCCGTGGCACAGTGTTCGTTTCAACATCAAAGAGCGTTTTTTTGGCTTTGCCACCACCGCTACTCTGCACCTTTCAGTTTTTGGCGTTAAAATGCCAACACGGAAGAGGCCGAAATATCCCAAGTTGGATTCTGTCCAGCATCTTTCAGCAATACTCACGATTCACATTTCAGTGGACATGCCTAAAACTCACAGAGTCAAATTAAGATACCCATGAGAAGAAGAATGAAAAAAATATCGAAATAATGATATGTACACATACAAGGACAGCCCTTTAGGTAATCCACTGCTGGATGATGGCCTCTCCAGGCGATATGGGTCATGTTTTTTTTTGTTTAAACATACTTCATCACGCTGATCAGTTCGGGTTGGCGAAGATGGGGAGAACAGATGGTAGGGCCATATAAGACCAGTAAAATATTTGATTCTGCTGCACTTACCTCTGCTGCCCATACCATAACGTCGTGATTGCCCATCCAAACACTATCCAGGCTCAATCCTGCTTGCCTTTCAAGATCCTACAAGATTGTGTGATTGTGTGACAGGCATAATAAGGATATATATGACACAAAGCACGAAAAGGTAAACGAAACACAATGAGACTCATTTGAAGCTTGCCTGGTTTAATTGCAGACACTTTGCTTCATTGTGACATACAGTACTCGTTATTATCTCAGAATGACTAGATAATTGGTAATTTGAATTGAAGTCGGTAGAAATGTGTCAATTCATAAATGTAGGATGATGGTGATTATTTATAATGAAACTGTCATAGTGGATACTGTACTAAGTATGCAACAATGCATTCATCCCACTAAATAACCGTTCTTTCGCTCACGATGCATACATCCGATTGTGCACTTACAAATTGATGTATGCAAATTATTTACCATTGTTACATTTGAGTGAATGGACAGATGAGAAAATAAATGAGAAAATAATAAACAAAAAATAATCTATCCCTGAATCATATTGCAACCCAAACTTGTGGCAATTCATCAAATTGCCGAGACGTGTACACCTCGTGTACTCCATATTACAGTCACACCATCTCATGAGGGTTATTGGCTCGTACTTCATCACGTTGGTAAGTATTGGTTGGTGAAGGTGGGGAGCAGACACGGAAGTACACTACAACAAGACATAGTCTTGGTTCTTTCGGTAAAGTTATGTAGAAAGGAAATTATAAAATAATAATACAAAATTCTCACGACATTTTATTATTAATATTTTATTATTTTATTATTTCCCTTCTACGTGACTTTACCGAAAGAACCAAGATTATGAATCCCTGTAGCTTTAAATCGAAATATAACAATACACTAGGCTGCCACATGCCTTTCCTACCCACAGCCCTGAGATAACTCTGGCAACCTATTAGCGCAAAGGTCGTCGGTCACCCATCCAAACACTATCCAGGCTCAACAATGAAACGTTTCTGAGATCTGATTAGATTGGATGCATTCTCAGTGCTTTGCTCACAAGTAAACTCCTGTGATTGCATTTTTATTGTGGGGCACAAATTACAGACAGCAAAATGGGACCAAAAAACAAATGCCTGGGGAAGCCCTGGCATATAATAACCATGCCGTCACGTACTACGCAACATTAATCTGGTCATTGATTTTTTTTTTTATCTCTGAACGCGTTGGCGTGTGTGTTCTGGCAGGATGGGGAGGCGATCCTCTACAACGACCTACACATGCTCGTGGGTGAGGACGTGCGCACACACGCAGCGCACCTCGGGCTCAAACTCGAGCTTGGTTGATGAACAAGTCCCGCTAATCGACTCCGATGCAATCAACAACTTGTTTCGTGAGTTACTGTTCGGGCCCCTTTATAAATTGGCGGCCTTCCCAACTTCCTGTACTGCCTCCCGAAGACAGGAAACCCCTGACGCTGCCGTTGATGCTGATGATGTCACCATACCCTGCCCATTACTCCCTTCCCAGTGGTTGAGTAATTTAACCTATCATCGGAAGAGTAATAGATTTGTTAATCAACCGGTTAGCCTAGCTCAAGAGTCCAGTGTCTAATCACAACACCCGTGCTACGCACCACCATGCCCGCCACACGAAGTTTGTTGACAATTTCAGTGACTCTTTCTCATCATTGTTCCATCCACGAATGCATTGCACAGGTACAGTTCTTTTGTGAATCCACTGCAGGATGAAGGCCGATCCCCATGCCATGTGACCAGCGAACCCGTTCATATGTCCACAGTGACCCCTACAGAACTGTCGTGGGAGGAGGTCCCTCACAGTGGACACCTGCCCTGTGCCCGATTTGGTCACTCTCTTTGGTGAGTGGCCTCCCCTTGTCTCTCGCACCCTTCCTGCATACTCCCACCTGGCCACTTCCACAATGTGAGAGGTACATTGTGTCGTGGAAGTAGCATGGCTAGATATAATATGTATGTTGAATTTCTTTCGCATCGTACGTAGCCAACCGTGCGAATCAGAGGTATGGGAGGACAACAAACTAAACACAAAAATCAGTTCTAAAGAAATGAGTTTTCTATCGGGATTTAAAAGTGCATAGCTCTAGTGGCTTCCTAATATCGGAAGGAAGAGCTTTCCAGACGGTCGTGGAAGTGCATCTGAAAGCGTGCGATTCGGTGACTGTCTTTGTTCGATGGTTATCCAAAAGCTGCTGCGAGGATGACCAGAGTTCACGTGATGATTTATGCTTCTTGATGAGATCAACAAGGTATCGTGGTTCATATGTAGCAAGCACTTTGTGTATAATGAGTGCGACCTTATTATGCATTTGTTCGGAAACCAAAAAGCATATACCGGTCCAACATGGAACATGTTTTTTGGGGAGATCCCTTTAAAAATATTCAGAAACTAGGAATTAAACTCCTGAAGCTCAAAAAATTGGACCGTGTCACATATCCACCTGTACAACTCGAACATCGCACCTCCTGGATTTCAGATTTCTTCACGAAGACACTGGTGTAACCATCAGCCACATGAGAACATTAACAGGTCGATGCGCAACATCTCCTTCATGAATAGAAAATTAAGGAAAAACCACAGCAGTGCGACTGTGACCATGCCACCAAAACTATGGACCGTGCAGTAAACCATTGTAGTCTCCGCTCCTTCAAAGGAGGAGCAAAAGCAAAAACTCGAAAAAAGATTTCCTGAAACCCTCTCGTTGTGGCGACTGGGTATTCAACTCCTGAACACATTTCCACACCATCGAGAATAGTACAGAACTATAATGCACGCAACAATATACTGCAAAGAATACATTTACGAATGTCTCTATATGACAACAGCTGCCCCTTGTACTCCTGCAATACCGTGCACAATGTTGTATTGATGCAAGGCTGTAATTATAATATATATTCAAATATGCTCAAAATGTCTCCCCCAATATATTTCTATAAATAGATTTCTGTTTATATGATTGTGGTTATGGTTGTACTTTATTAATCCCTAATCTCTGCCATTACATACAATGAAACAATAATTACACTATGAGATATTATTGTAAAAAAAAGTCCATCCTATGTGTTAGTGAATGTTTTTATATTTTAGGCAGGAAATTCGTTTTCAAATTTAGATTTTTTTTCTGGTGGGGGACCCCCAACCCCCCAGGAAGATTTTGTCCTCCCCAATGTTGACTCCATGGCTACGTCCTTGTATTGATAGATACGTGAAATGGTCAGGATACGTGAATACCTATAGCAAATGACGGTTTACACTCTGCACAAATAGGTTATAGCACCAAAAATAAAGTGCAAACTGTCGAAACGTCTGGGAAGATAAACTTATTCCGGCTGGGGAAGTATCTTCTCGACGAGCTCTTTTACTCACCTGTCATCGCTTTGATCATAAAGATGTTCTTTAGACGTATGCGAATGTATGCAAGATTAAGAATTCACTAAATACATTTCTTGAGGAAATAAGAATAGCTTTTACCCTTTATGGCAATAAAACAGGTGTTAAGATGTTCAAACACCAAATAGAAACTTTTCGCAATGATTCATGTCTGCATTAACCACACGTACTTGTGGTGAGAACATGCAAAGACAACATGCTCTTGATTATAATATATGCATTGTCTTTGAAACTGATTGTTCTACAACAGAGACAGCTTTCTTTAGGGCCTAGTCCCTAAAGACCAGAGGACCAGAGAACGCTAAAAGGCGTTCGCTGGTCTGACACTGGTGAGACGAGGAAGAAGGCTGTCTCTGGTGTAGACCAATCAGTTTTAACGACAATGCATATATTTTTAAAACAAATGTTCTGTTTGCATTGTTTGCATGTTCACCACAAGGACGTGTGGTTAATGCAGACATGATTCCTTGCAAAATGTTTCTATTTGGTGTTTGAACGTCTTAACACCTGTTTTATTGCCAGAAAAGGTAAAACCTATTCTTATTTTTTTCAAATTTTGACACTGCCAAAAAAGGTCCCATTATGTAACATACATTGCTGTACATGAAAAAGTCGGATTTTGAACATCGATCGCACACGTACAGCATTGGGTTTGGGTGGCTAACTGGTCAGGCTGGATACGTGACGGTAAGGTATGAGACGTTGTACTGCACCGTACAACCTTACTGCTTTCGAGTCCATCCCAATCCACCTCGCACCCCAACCAACCTGATCAGCCGTGACTCAGAACAGCAAGGCCCTGAGTAATTGGGATCAATACTCTTCTTACTCAACTCGCCGTTTAAACACATTCCTGCGGAGGGAGCTGGTAGGAACGTTGGGTTGCTCGGTCAATGGCCTGCAGGGTCAACGGCGGCGTGGTGTATTCTGCAAATATGCCCGACTGTGAGGGCGGGCAGAAGCCGGCGTGAGTAGGTTAAACGTTGAGTTTTATAAGGGCACCACGGGGTGACCAGCCCCTCCCCACCCAGCTCCACCCCTCCCACCCCCACCCAACCCCACCCTCCCCATCCAGCCCCTCCCCACCCTCCCCACCCACCCCCTCCCCACCCTCCCCACCCAGCCCCTCCCTCCCCACCCAGCCCCTCCCTGCACGACGGACACAATAATCCCCTGTGGTCTGGTGTAACCAGGAGGTTCCTACCAGTATCAATGCATCTCATTAGTATATGACAATATCGTGAGCCATGCCTGTGTGTGTGCGTGTCTGCATCTGTGTGCCTGGTGAGAGGTGGCACAGTGGTTAGCAAACTGCGGTACCACACCCCTGCGATCTAAACCAATCCAACTCCCAACCATGGCTGTAATTATTGCAGAGCGATATCTGAACTGGTGCTGGACATTCCCTATGTTAACTCAGGAGTCTGCTGCTGTGTGTAAGCATCGGTACTGGGGAAACAAACGTCGCCAGGTGTCGTCCTGCCCAGCAAGTAAGGCTGCTCCAGCAGCTTCTAAGGCTGAACGTGCACTCTCTGTGTGCGTGCGTGTGTGCAGTGCGGTTCGGGGTGCTCTCTACCTCTTTGGAGGCCAGGCTTCGCTAGTTGCGAGTGAAGCGCTCATCGGGGTTTTCCGCTTCCACTTGGGTGAGCACGTTCACGCATGCACACACGTCCACGCACGTGCACGCGCATGCACGATCGCGTGCACGCACCTCCGTGAAAACAAAGATCTCTGGGGAGATATTGCTAAAGTCACATCAACAAGGTCCGGATCATCACAGCCAATGACATTAATGCCACCACACTTCACTACCGCAACAGCAATGAGATCACGCAGATGAAAGGAAGCGGAGTCAACTCCTGACTTCCAATGACCCGCTCTCACAATCTCATCATTATCACCAACCATCTGGCTTTAGGTCTTCCCCTCGGTTGCCATTCACGTTCACAGCTTGACAAGCTGAAAATTAAAATGACAAAGTACCTGTGCATTGCTGTGCATAGGACGACACCCCCCGTGTTCTAGAGTGTGGCTTGCACACCGTTAGCACAGCGAGGCCGCGCTAACGCCTCCACCTCCGCCTCTTGCCCCGTGTGTCTCTTGTGAGCAGATTCCCTGAGTTGGGAGAAGGTGTGCGGGGGCGGCTTGGCCCCCCGTGCCCTCTGCCCGGCCGTGGCGGCGCTGGGAGACGACATCTACGTTATGGGAGGTGTGCGGGGAGGCCAGGCGTGCAACGACGTGTTCCAGTTCAACACGGGTACGTGTGAGTGCACGCAAGGGGGACCCCCCCCCTCGTGGTAGCTATCCCTATCTTTGCACATTAGTGAACGCAGCACTGGCCTGCAAAGGGGGGTCGGGTGTTTCCATTAGGCTTGTGCGTGTCGAGTAAAGATGATCCTTGAAGTGGCTAGTTGGCTCAGAGCACTCAGCTGGTACCGCTGAGCTCCTGGGTTCAAATCCTATAAGATTAACACCGCATTCGTAAGTGTAGCGAGGTCATTGTCTCAGCCCGGTCACTAATTACTTTACAAAAAAATTGCATAAAATTTGATTCTTCACTTACTTTGGCCAAATTCCAAGAATTAAAAATATCGGTTCGGCTGTCATGCAATGATCATTATTGTCAGTGACAGAGCGAGTGGGAAAGTCCTGTTGTCTGCGGTGGAGACGAGAGGTTGCTTGAAGGGATCTCAGCGGTAGTGCTGCGGTATCCGCTTCCTTGGGCCGCTCTCTCCCAGAAAGGAGTTGCACTGCTCTGCAACATTTCTGAATGGATACTTCGTCTCATGACATGATGCCGATAACCTAGTCGGGGTAAAAGTGTGTAAAAATACTAAAATATCAGGAAACAAAGTCAAGATTGCTAACAAACACGGGGGCCATAAGTGGAAGTATCGTTATTTATTCAGCACGGCTCATACCTTAACCGCCACTGCCCTGCCTCCCCCCCTACCCCTGTCCGCTCACCCGACGACAACTCACGACATATGGCAGTGTCTCTCACCTGGACACCCGTGCACACTTTCGGCGTCGCTCCATCCCCAAGGTAACTCCACAACAGTGAAGGCTCGAGGCACCGTGCCACCCCCTTGCCTCTCTCGCAACACCCCCGCCCAACCACCCCCCGTGTTCTTTCTCACGCAGGGTGTCACCATTGAGACGATGACAGATGCCATGCTTACAAGGCTAGGCATTGCTAGGCATCGGACGCTGCATTGGTCATTGCATCGTGCGTTTTCAGATGCGCTCCTGCAGCTATCCGGAACGCCCTTCATTCCGATATTAGGAAGCCACTGGAGCTATGCACTATTGAATATAGATTGAAAACTAATTTCTTAGGAATTGCTTTTTGTGTTTAGTTTGTTTTCCTTGTCCCGCACCTCCGATTAGCACTGTTCGCTACGTACGGTGCGAAAGAAGTTCAACATACACGCATTTATATTCTTGGTTCTTTCGGTGTGAAATCCACAGCTGATGATGATTGCTTATGTTGCAGTCGAAACGTCGTGAGAATTTTTATTGTTTTATATTTATATTATTTTATTATTTCCCTTCTATGTGACTTTACCGAAAGAACCAAGAATATGAATCCCTGCAGTCACGAAAGCTTTAAATAAAAAAGTACACACATTTCTTTTAGAACTCCTTTTGGTGTTTAGTTTGTTGTCTTTCCCTCCGCACCTCCAATGAGCACAGGTGGCTACGTAAGATGTAAACTAAGTACGTTCAATGATCAACGCCTCTCCCCTGCCACTAGCCTTCACAGATTCAGTGAATTGCCACGATTTGGCGCATGATTCCTTTGAAGAATAGATGCTTCCCTGTCTCGTTTCGCTGTCTCACGTGTATGGTCTGTCTCATTCAATCCATTTAACCTGAAGGTAGATTGGCATATACAGATAGTCCCCGAGTTATGACGGTCCGACTTAAGATATTTCGATCTTACGATGGCGATAGCGATACGACAAAATTGTAAAATATTTGAAATTTCGCACAGAAGGCAAATGCAGCAGCGTACGAGGTACGACACTGTACGTTGGGACGCTGCCAGGATTTACGCATCTCCCGCCTTTATATTAAATTTTAGTTCATATAGGTAGGCTAGGAATTTACCTTGTTTTTTACTTTACATTTGACTGTGCAATGCAGTATTGTAATTAATAAATACATGCAGTATATAGTTTATACAGTGCGGTACTGTAAATTGCTCTGTTTTGCTAAATTATCACCATTCTTTAAGACTCCTGGGTAGGCTAGGCCATCTTCGACTTACGATATTTTTGACTTACGATGGGGTCGTCGTAACGCATCTCCATCGTAAGTCGAGGACTACCTGTAGTTTGAATACGTTTCCAAAACATGTAAATAAGATCCTTACACACACGAGTGGATGATCGATTTTAAATCGATTTTTACTTGAACCTTCGTGGAAAACTGGGGTGGAAGGCCCAGTGGTTGCTGGTGAGACGCGTGCCACAGTATCGGTGATGAAACAGAAGCCTCCACTGCTTATTAATTTACATTTCAATGAACGTCTTGACAATTTTGCAATCGTAGATCACGATTATAGATCGTGTTTTCGGCTCTGAGAAATTAGAATTATGATCGTGGCTGGGATTACTGACCCAGGATGAGTTTGGGCGTGAACTTCAGCAAGTATATATGTAAAAAAAAAAGTTGGGACGGAATGAGAAACGCAGCCAAATTGTGCCTTTGCTCAACCACCTCTCCCTCGTGTCCAGTAAATTATTAATCAGCACAAGCGTTTAGAGGGGGAACGTGATAACTCAGTACATGCGCGCGCACACACAGCACCCATGCAACCACAATAGCTCGTCTCTCACAGGTCCGTTGCTATGTTCACCGAGGGCAGCGAGCGTGTTGCGACTCCTCCTCCGTGTGGCTGATGCTGATGTAGAACAGGGGGTCGGGCAACCTGCGGCTTCGGAGCCGCATGGCGGCTCTTTCAGGACTGTTTTGTGACGTTGTTCACACGCAGTAGTGGATATTTAAATATTTGGGGGGGGGGGGGGCGGTTGTTTTCTCGAATTAAAAACAAAAATGGCTTTCTTGTCATTGTGGTTGCCGACTCCTGATGCAGAGCAACAACTATTATTTTACATCGTGGGTGGTTGAGCCAGACCATTGCGACCGGAGTAGCACAATGTATCGTGCTCTGATGTCTCTTTCTCCTTCTCCATATTTCAACGTATTGGCGGCACACCGGTAGTGCGTGGCATAAAAAAAAAGGTACTTTTTCGCAACAATTATTTATTTTACCGTGATTCACAACCCCGGTCAGAAAATCTTGCGGGGTGTGCGTCAAAATCAGTTCTTATGATGTCGAAAAAGTCATAAGATGAACGTTATGAGCAGCTGAACACGAAGCTTCACAGCCTGTTGCCATATATGTTTACTGTACAATTACGACACCATACATTACTCTGCACACTGCACCATGCCAGTGAGTGGAACGCGGTCTGAAAGTCACCGTTAACGTGAACACAATCAGTTAAGATCCGAAATGGTTTATTACGTCCTTCCAATGATTGCTAAGCCAGAATCCATCTTCTCGGTTGAAATTGTCTCTGTGTTTGTATATGTGGATCGCCTCATGAACGAATCTCTCATGATAGCCAGATGGCTTGCAGAGAACCTCTGTCTTGGAGAAGTCAATGTCATGTGAGCCCACTGAATTGTAACAGTGATCTGCCACGGCTGAGGTGTTTGTCCTACCGTGTTTCAGGTCTGCCTTATGTTCACGGATGCGGTCCGAGACATGTCGTTTGGTTTCTCCAATGTAACTGCTACCACAGAGGCAACTTAGTTTGTAGACGCCAGGGTACTGTATGTCTGGAACCACATCTTTTACAGACGGGACCAGATCACGGATTTTATGTACTGTGTTGAATCGGACCTGGATCTTGCGTTTAATCAGGATTTTGGAGATCTTTTTTGTGACCCCAGCAATGTAGGGTAAGGTGATGGTCTTGAAAGGCTCCTCAACAGGATCCTTCTTGATGGTTGGAGTGATGGCTTTGCGGATTGTGTAGTCGGAGTAACCATTAGCCTTAAGAGCTTGGCGTACGTGTTTGAGTTCACTGGAAATGTGTTCATGGTGGGAGATGCATTGGGCTCTATGATATAGAGTCTTGATGAGGGAATTCTTCTGGGATGGATGGTGGTGGGAATCCGGTTTTAGATAAGCATCCGTGTGGGTGGCTTTCCTGTAGACAGAGTGGCTCATTGAACCATCAGGTCTCCTTTTGATTAGGACATCCAAAAAGGGTAGCTTACCATCATTTTCGACTTCCATGGTGAATCTGATGGCTGGGTGTATGGAATTGATGTGGTCGAGAAATTGGTCTAGAGCAGGCCGGCCATGTGGCCAGATGACAAAAGTGTCGTCTACGTACCTCTTCCATAAGGTCGGGCGTAGAGTGGCAGTCTGGATGGCGTCCGTCTCAAATTTCTCCATGAAGATGTTGGCTACAACCGGAGATAGGGGGGAGCCCATTGGGGTGCCCTCAATTTGCTTGTAGAAGGTTCCATTCCAGGTGAAGTATGTATTGGTTAAGCAGTGTCTCACCAGGGGGGGTACCCCAGCATTCAGTCCTTGATGAACCAAGTCTTCAATGATTGCGATGGTGTCAGGCACAGGCACCTTGGTGAACAAGGAAACCACATCAAAACTGACAAGCAGGTCGTCTGGGGACAGGGCAATCCCCTTGATTGTCGATACCAGGTCAGTAGAGTTTAGTACTGCAGAGGTGGTTTTTCCAGTGAAAGGCCGTAGGATTTCGGACAAAAAACGAGCCAGTTTGTAAGTGGGGGAGTTGATAGTAGAGACAATGGGACGAAGAGGTGTATCTTCTTTATGTATCTTTGGCAAGCCGTACAATCTTGGTGGCCTGGCTGCAGAAGGTTTCAACGAGAACTGTTTGGTCTGATCAATTAATGCGGTTGAAGCAGAAATTATGTTGTTGGTTTTGGAGACGAGGCTGTTGGTGGGGTCTCTTTTTATTTTTGTATAGCTGCCATCGTTGAGTAGTTCTTGAATTTTGTTGTTGTATTCTATTTTGTCCATGATGACAGTGGCATTGCCTTTGTCGGCTGAGAGGATGACAATGTCATCCCTCTTTTTTAATTGAGCTAATTCAAAACGCTCATCTTTGCTAGCTGGCATCTTAGCGTTTTTGAGGGTTACAGAGATTTCAGATCTCGAGATTTCAGCTCGAGTAGATGTAGCTCTCAAGGGCTTGAGTCACATCGCTGCAGACGTAGCAAGATCTGAAATCTCTGTAACCCTCAAAAACGCTAAGATGCCAGCTAGCAACATCAGCAAATATGAGCGTTTTGAATTAGCTCAATTAAAAAAGAGGGATGACATTGTCATCCTCTCAGCCGACAAAGGCAATGCCACTGTCATCATGGACAAAATAGAATACAACAACAAAATTCAAGAACTACTCAACGATGGCAGCTATACAAAAATAAAAAGAGACCCCACCAACAGCCTCGTCTCCAAAACCAACAACATAATTTCTGCTTCAACCGCATTAATTGATCAGACCAAACAGTTCTCGTTGAAACCTTCTGCAGCCAGGCCACCAAGATTGTACGGCTTGCCAAAGATACATAAAGAAGATACACCTCTTCGTCCCATTGTCTCTACTATCAACTCCCCCACTTACAAACTGGCTCGTTTTTTGTCCGAAATCCTACGGCCTTTCACTGGAAAAACCACCTCTGCAGTACTAAACTCTACTGACCTGGTATCGACAATCAAGGGGATTGCCCTGTCCCCAGACGACCTGCTTGTCAGTTTTGATGTGGTTTCCTTGTTCACCAAGGTGCCTGTGCCTGACACCATCGCAATCATTGAAGACTTGGTTCATCAAGGACTGAATGCTGGGGTACCCCCCCTGGTGAGACACTGCTTAACCAATACATACTTCACCTGGAATGGAACCTTCTACAAGCAAATTGAGGGCACCCCAATGGGCTCCCCCCTATCTCCGGTTGTAGCCAACATCTTCATGGAGAAATTTGAGACGGACGCCATCCAGACTGCCACTCTACGCCCGACCTTATGGAAGAGGTACGTAGACGACACTTTTGTCATCTGGCCACATGGCCGGCCTGCTCTAGACCAATTTCTCGACCACATCAATTCCATACACCCAGCCATCAGATTCACCATGGAAGTCGAAAATGATGGCAAGCTACCCTTTTTGGATGTCCTAATCAAAAGGAGACCTGATGGTTCAATGAGCCACTCTGTCTATAGGAAAGCCACCCACACGGATGCTTATCTAAAACCGGATTCCCACCACCATCCATCCCAGAAGAATTCCCTCATCAAGACTCTATATCATAGAGCCCAATGCATCTCCGACCATGAACACATTTCCAGTGAACTCAAACACGTACGCCAAGCTCTTAAGGCTAATGGTTACTCCGACTACACAATCCGCAAAGCCATCACTCCAACCATCAAGAAGGATCCTGTTGAGGAGCCTTTCAAGACCATCACCTTACCCTACATTGCTGGGGTCACAAAAAAGATCTCCAAAATCCTGATTAAACACAAGATCCAGGTCCGATTCAACACAGTACATAAAATCCGTGATCTGGTCCCGTCTGTAAAAGATGTGGTTCCAGACATACAGTACCCTGGCGTCTACAAACTAAGTTGCCTCTGTGGTAGCAGTTACATTGGAGAAACCAAACGACATGTCTCGGACCGCATCCGTGAACATAAGGCAGACCTGAAACACGGTAGGACAAACACCTCAGCCGTGGCAGATCACTGTTACAATTCAGTGGGCTCACATGACATTGACTTCTCCAAGACAGAGGTTCTCTGCAAGCCATCTGGCTATCATGAGAGATTCGTTCATGAGGCGATCCACATATACAAACACAGAGACAATTTCAACCGAGAAGATGGATTCTGGCTTAGCAATCATTGGAAGGACGTAATAAACCATTTCGGATCTTAACTGATTGTGTTCACGTTAACGGTGACTTTCAGACCGCGTTCCACTCACTGGCATGGTGCAGTGTGCAGAGTAATGTATGGTGTCGTAATTGTACAGTAAACATATAGCAGTATGATACACATTAGGGTGGGTAGAATAATACATAGTGTTATATTAAAATGGATAAGGCAGCAAGTGCAGCAGCAGCAGCAAGTGCAGCAGCAGCAGCAAGTGCAGCAGCAGCAGCAAGTGCAGCAGCAGCAGCAAGTGCAGCAGCAGCAGCAACTGCAGCAGCAGCAACTGCTGCAGCAGCAGTAACTGCAGCTTCCTTTGATGCTGTTAATCCTGCATAATGCACATGCATATGCAGTACTAATCACATTCCTGCATTTCCCATAAATATGCTAAATTCCTTTTGATATGCAAATTCCTTTGTCAATGCGCCCAGCTTATATATATGCTCCAAGCTCGTGTGCTGTTTCATTCAGACTCTGTCGCCTCGACGGACCTGGTTTTCACCTGAGGACGGCTGCTTGCGTTGTGGCCGAAACGTCGTGAGAATTGTTTTATTATGTTTTATTTTTATTATTTTATTACTTCCCTTCTACGTGACTTTACCGAAAGAACCAAGAACACAATAAATCTGTTTGCCCTCGATTTGGAGCACCTGCCCACATCCTTCATTTCGAGTGTGCAACATGTGGATGTGGGAGTTGTTACCGAGCGCCTATTAAGGCAGGCAAGGCACACGACAAGGAGGCCGTTGTGGCTGTTGTGATTTACGTCTGGCCGCCTTTGCCTCCAAAGTGCTGATGTGCACACAGCGCACCAGGAACTCGTTCAAAAGCGTAAACCTCACAGTCCACTGCTAGATGGAGGTCTCCCCACATCGCGTGGGTCGTGGGGGTTATTTGACCATACTCTACCATGTTGGAAGGGGCCTTGGGAGCATGGAACAGTTCAACAATGGATTGTGCTGCACTTCCTGCTGTTGCCCGCAGTGTAGCCACGCAGCAGCCTATAACACCCGGTGGTATGCTGAGTAGACAAAGATCCCCCAGATAGCCTTAACAGACTTGGAGCAAATGCTGTTAGCGAGTACCTATGAAGGCCAGAATGGTACACGAGGCGGTAGGTGGCCAGCACCACGCCCGACCACCTTTGTATCCCCAGTGGCGATGTTTTTACACACTGCACCAGGTACTCATTTGAGGCTGAGTCGACCTAGGGAAGGCCCACGACCATTTTAGATAATCGTTACTGGTGTTTGGCCGTGAGCTAGACTACCGCTCTCCCCGCACTCATCCACACACTTTCCAGGCTCAAGCCTGCTTAGATTATTTCGCCGATGACCAAATATAATTGAATCGCCCGTAATGCAAAGCGCCTGGTATCCTCCGACCTCACAATCTATGGATATGCTTCAGTCCATATTCACATCTCACACCACTGACTAAACCCCACCCATGACTGGTGATGGGAGACACTGGTTGATTTTTCACCATGTAATCCGACAAACGGGGACATTCGGGAACACTAGAAGCAGGTTAAATTTCGATTTAAAGCTTTTGTGACTGCAGGGATTCATCTTCTTGGTTCTTTCGGTAAAGTCACGTAGAAGGGAAGTAATAAAATAATAAAAATAAAACATAATAAAATAATTCTCACGACTTTTCGGCCACAACGCAAGCAGCCATCCTCAGGTGAAGACCAGGTCTGTCTGGGAGACAGCGTCATTCAGACAGCATCATTCAGACGCTGTCTCCCCGACAGACCTGTTCTTCACCTGAGGACGGCTGCTTGCGTTGTGGCCGAAACGTCGTGAGAATTATTTAATTATGTTTTATTTTTATTATTTTATTACTTCCCTTCTACGTGACTTTACCGAAAGAACCAAGAAGATAGAAGCAGGTTGTTTGTGTAGTGCATACCCGGTCACATGCATTGTTAATGTTGTCAACAAAATTAGTGATACATTTTTTAAAAGTAAGTCAGCGTTCACTATGAGTCGATAAAAATCATCAAGCACAACGATGACAACGACCCACTAATATCATTATCATCACCACCATCACCACTAGACTATGACTTCCCACCAAAGACCAATGCGTGACCGACTGTGAAGAGACGAAATTAACGAGTCCGAATGAAGGTGCAGACTTAAGATAATGTTAGAACGTGATTCGAGACAGCAGTGCACTGAAGATGTTCAACCTTGATAATTGGCTACATGTATATATTAAGATTTACCGAGTTCACTGATTAGCCGGCTTGGTTATAATATTGATATTGGGGGAAATTGCCCAATGCTCGCATCAACATAGTTAACATTATTTGGCGATGCAGCTGCATTGGCATTGCTGCACATTCACAATGAACTTAAAATCACAAAACAACGCAACGCATTTGTCGATAACACCGTGGCCTTAAAAGGAAAAATATATAACAGACGAAGATTCTAGCAATGCGCCTTATTCACAGCACATAAATACAGCAGCCAGAGAGATTATCCACTATGTCTCTGGCCTCTCAGTTCATGTAGTAACAAAAGAGTGTTTGGCCACTTTAGTCAAGTAGACTAAGAGGATACCTGAATTAAATCCACCGACGTATACCTGACGAATCTTCCACAAATTGTCAAAAAATCTGTAATAAGAGCGCGCAATGCACTTGTTGAATACGAGACGCTGGCCCTTAATACATTACTGTCACGAAGCAGGAGTCCTCATTAAAGCGCCGCATGAGTCTCCAGAGCCGCAAGCTTGCCGGCCACTGATTTAGACAAAGGCTGTGACCAAAGTCAACAATGCTGGCTAAATAAAACACCGGGCGGTCGCATGTGCTTGACAGGTGTGACCATGGCATGACAGCTGTCGGCACGCTACTCTACGTATTCGGAGGGATCGGAGGAAGCGACAAAGTGTCCTACAGTGACGTGCACGTCCTCGACACAGGTACGCACGCTACAAACAACACAAAGACAAAGATCTCCCATGTAGACCACATAGCCTGGTGGGGCAAGTGCTGTTTGCGAGTTATTCCTATCAAGGGCGGCACAGCGTACGAAAGGGTGGCATGGCCGTGTATCACGGCTGGCTGTCTTTATCTCCCCAGAACTGATTTTTACACGTCACACGAGGTCAGGGGCCGGCTTCGTGACGTTATTTATTAAGAACCCACCGTCTTGTATGCACATGCACTGCTGTATTGACGGTACTTTTTTTGACCGAATTCGAAGAATGTCTCTTGTTATTTTGGTTGCCGACCCCTGCACTAGGTATATTCATCTTCTTGGTTCTTTCGGTAAAGTCACGTAGAAGGGAAGTAATAAAATAATACAAATAAAACATAATAAAATAATTCTCACGACGTTTCGGCCACAACGCAAGCAGCCGTGTCATTCAGACGCTGTCTTCTCGACAGACCTGCTTCTTCACCTGAGGACGGCTGCTTGCGTTGTGGCCGAAACGTCGTGAGAATTATTTTATTATGTTTTATTTTTATTATTTTATTACTTCCCTTCTACGTCACTTTACCGAAAGAACCAAGAAGATGAATCCCTGCAGTCACGAAAGCTTTAAATCGAAATTTAGGTATATTCATTTAAGGCTGAGTCGACCTAGGGGGGGGTGGCCGAAACCAGTTCAGATAATCGCCACTGATGTTATCGATGGCTGGGACTCGAACTCAAGCGGGCGAGTTGGGAGCAAAGCGAGCCAACCACGATGGTGGGGGTGGTTGATGGGGTCAATAACCCCCTGAGCCCCATCCCTGGGTCTGCCACTGATGAGACCTCTTGCAAAGGTCATGGACCGTAATTACAACCATGGCTGAGGGTCAGCACTGCGCAACAGGCACGCTCAGTATCATTTAATTATGCTGATCTTTTAATGTGTATTTTTTAAATCTTAAGCTACGGTATAAATATATGTATTTGGTACGAACCTATTTACGAGGCGTGCAACATTGCATTTATGATACATTTATTAAAATATATGTTTTTGGCTCAGGATACACAAATTGAATTGTGTTTAATAATTATCCTTGACTTCTTTGTCATATAATTGGCCTACAATAACCCCTGAGAGCCAGTCAAGCCTTGATCCGATAGGGCAATTTCAGAGCAATTGTTGCTGGCAACGATCACCGGCAATGCATTAGCCATGAGTTACTATGGCAACTTGGGTGGGCAGCGGAATGGAATGACAGCAGGAGGTAACCAGCGTGTGGGCAGGGGGTGCGTTGGACCCCCCCCCCCTCCTGGTGGCCAAAGCTACGATTTGGGGCCCCCTTGACAACCACCGTGGTTTTTATAAAGTATACAAGTTAAAATTGCATTAGTACATCAATTCCCAAGCTCTGGGAAGGCAGTAAAAGAACAGCACAAACAGTCCCAGACCACACCAAGACAACAGACACGTCCCCTTATAAAATGGTACATTGTCAAGAATCAATGATCCAGCACTAATCTTTGTCTTGTTGTTGTTGCTGCTGCTGCTGCAGCCACGCTCTCCTGGAGTGCGTGCGAGGTGCGAGGCGAGCCCCCCTGCGGTCGAGGCTGCCACTCGTTGACATCGCACCACGACAAGGTGTGTGTGTGTGTGTGCGCGTGCATGCGTGCGCATACTCCTGTAACGTTCTTGAAGGAGACGAAGATGCTCCCTCACAGCTTGCGAACAGCGAGTAGTTATCACCACTACACTCCAGCTGACCTACAAGGTGTGTGTGTATGTGCACGTGCATGCGTGCGCATACTCCAGCTGACCTACAAGGCACTCTCAATGGGTTAGCGCTGCAATATTTCACTATTGCTTTTGGAATTTGATCAGATAAGGCCCACTGAGCTCCATAGCTATTTTTTAAGAAGCGACCTGGCCACAAATGATAGCCCAGTGAAATGGCTTATCACGTGGACATTTATAGCAGCCAAATACTCTCATCGATTGATGTTCATTTTAAATGTGGAGATAAAAACCACAAGACCCGGAGAAAAATCCGCATGACCACGGGAGAAGACACGCAAACTACAAATATACAGGCGTCAGGGTCGGAATCGAACCCATATCCTCCCGTAAACCAGGCGAGGTAGTTAACATCTCGCCACCATGGCACTCAATGGATTAGGCCCACGATACTTACAGAAATTGATACATTTTGACACTGCAACGAGCTCCCTGAGATCTCCAGATTGCCTCCTTCTAAATACTCCGAGGTCAAGGCTCTGTTCCTGGGGTGATCGGGCTGTTGCCACTGTGCAGCTGCCTTGCTAATAAGACAATCGTTAGATGTATGGTTGTGTTTAGTTTGTTGTCCTTCCCCCGCACCTCCGATTAACACGGTTGGCTACGTACGGTGCGGAAGAAGTTCAACAGACTGTACATAGAAACTATGAAAATCTTTGGGTCTCTCTGTGAGGCTATGGGTCTCTATAGGCCACAGTGGTATAGCCTGGTTGGCATGGGCCCTGGTGCAAGGGATGAAATGCTTCCTGTGGTCCGTGGGTTCTTATGGTCAGTGCCCCCCCCCCCCGTGGTTGCACTGCCTGCATACCCACGATGGACTCCACTGGCAGCAAACCTTATTATTATTGCAAAGCACCTGATTGAAATGTTAATCCATCGGTGCAGCACTTGAATTTTTCCTCCTTTATATGCGTGGGTTTTTTAAATTCTTCTTCTGTGCATTAGTGAAGAATTGAGCAAACATCAACAATGCAAAATAACCCGCCTGAAAAACACATTTCTTGATCCGAACTTTCTTTGAGCAAATAAAGTAATGCTATAGGAGGCGTTTGTTACGTGGCAATCGTAATCAAAATATTTAACAACCGTTAGATCTGGAAATACGGTTGGTTTAAGTGAAACACCAAATTTGAAAAGGTGGGCGTATTTTTTGTGTGCAGCCATGTTGTGACACGCCTGTGACCAAATAACCTGGAATGTACCCGGTCTCGTCAGATTTCACAAGATAGGGTAGTGCTAGGATGGATGACCGCCGTGCACACTGGGATGTTATCGGTGGTATTGGGGCTATGTTATGCGATGGGTAAGAGCACCGCGGAGGAAAAATCGACTTGTACTGCAATTTATATGCTCTCCGTGTTTATGATAAGCGCCTTGACCAACCAGCACCGTCGAGCACGAACTATGGTCAAAACACGGCCATGATCCGCATGGCATGGGGAGGCCCTCATACAGCAGTGAATTGATAAAAGTTATCTACTGTACACATTAGTGATAGATACGAGTCCTTGCTGCACTTAAACCCAGGATCTCAGCAGTGACATCGTATCGCCCCCTCCACCCCCCGCGCCACCCAGCTACTGCTGACGAGTCTCTACGCGACAGGCTAAAACCTCTCATCCATGAACTTTTGAACCTACGTCACGCGTTGAGTAAACCGACAAAAAATAACGCAGCGGCACAGGTCAAGAGCTTCTGTGTCCGCTTCGTTTTCCAACCACCGAGCTGCTAAGACAATTTAATTTAAAAAATTGTCACCGCGTCAGTGCACTCCGCTGCTATTATGCAGCCACCGCGTTCTACACAGACCAGTGAGTGCCTATTGTGGCGTGTAAACATCAGTGTTACGGAGACAAAGCTGGCCTGGAGTAGCGCTGACCCACAGACTCTCTGGGCTGCTCACTAACAGCCCAGTGTGGGCGAGTGATGTTACAGCAGATTCTACAGCTGGTCATGCGCACACGCCCAACAGATGGTGTCTTAAACTCGCCTGCCTGTTTCTTAGGTCAACCTAACGAGTATCCGGTGCATCGTGTTCCCGTCGGTATTCTGTTGACTCGCCACTGAATGAGTGCACACCAGGAGCGGTGGTGTAGCGGTTAGCGCTACGCTGTGCTACAAGCCCGGCCAACACCAGTGACGATTATCTGAACCGGTCCTCGGCCTCCCCTAGGTCGACTCGGCCTTAAATGAGTACCTTGTGCGATGTGTAAACATCGCCACTGGGGAGACAAAAAGGCGGGGCGTGGTGCTGGCCACCCACCCCCTAGGTCTGCCGTGCTGGGCTGTCCCAATAGTCTGTGAAGGCTATACAGGGCATTTTTGTACTTGTTGCCTTGTGTAAGTGAGCACGTGAGCCTCAATTGAGTTCCTAGTCCGATGTGTAAAAACTTTTCCACGAGGTAGACAAAGGTGGTTAGCCAACCCATCCCCTCCTGTGCTGTTCTGGCCTTCATAGGTGCTTGCTAACAACACTTGTCCCAACAGTCTGTTAATGCTATACTGGGGGGTCTTTGTCTTTGTAGTGGTGTGTGGACAATATCAGTCCCGCGGAGACCCAAGGTGACCGGGCGTGAATCCATCCACACCATTCTCGCATGTGCCGTTCTGGCCTTAATAGGTAGATACTAAGATCACTTGCCCCAACAGTCTATTTGGATTAATAAGGCAGATGGATGCGTGCCGTTCTGACCACACCACCCCGTTGCAAGTGGGGGATGCTGGTCTAGGTTTTAAAAAAACTATTAAACTAATTCTTATTAACTGTTAGTAATTTTTTGTTGTTACACTGCTATTAAACTATTTTTATTTTACCAGGTAAGGCCCACTGAGCTATGTAGCTCTTTTTCAGAAGCGACCTGGCTATTGAAAATGATAGCTCAACGAAGTGGCTTATCACGTGCAAATTTATATCAGGCAAATACTCTAAACGCATGTTTCCAAATGTTGAGGGATAAAACGGAGGACCCGGAGAAAAATCCAAGCGACCACGGGGAGAACATGCAAATTCCGAATATACAGGCATCAAGGTTGGGATGAAACCCACACCAGGTGACGTATTTCACAATTCGCCACCACGGCACCCCTTAATAGGTGCTTACCAACAGTTATAATAATAGTAAAAGTTCAATTTGTAACGCGCGCAAATTTGCAGACGTAGTGGCCGCAACTCAGAGGCCTCTAGAGTTTACGGGGTTGTACAGATGTTGTGTGTTGGTCCTTGTGCCCGCGCGTAGGATATTTACGTGTTTGGAGGAACACGTGGCACAGATGGCACATCGCTGGGTGACCTCCACAAGCTCAGCCTCGGTGAAGCCCTCATCATGATCATGAATCATCATCACCTTCATCATCCATTTGTCCATCATGTGATGATGATGATCGTCACCATTACTAAATCCCCATTAATCAATCATTTCCACCATCATCATCACCATCATCATTGATCTTTTTCATTATCAGCATCATCACATCCACATCAATAATGCATTATCATCACTAAATCGATCAAGATGATCGTTATTAATCAATAATCATCGTTTATCATTGTTTATGATCATTAATCAGTCCACTCTTATAATCATCTCTGCTTTCCTCCATTACAATAATATGACAGCATTGCCAACAATTAAGTTGGTGCACAGGCACTTGTTATGTGTAGCTCTGTCGTGGTATCTCTGTCGATGCCCGCAGCCAAGATGAAGTGGAAGGTGCCGCTGTACATGGGGCTGGCACCGGAACAGAGACACAGCCACACGGTGTTCATTCTGCATGGCCACGTGTGTATACATCCATCAGAGACCGCAACACCACCACCATCATCATCACCAGCAGTAGTAGCAGCAACAGCAGTATCACCACGACAACCACACCACTACTACCACGACTACCGCCAGAATTAGTCATCACCTGCTTCAGTTTCACCACGAGTAGCGACACCCATCACCAGCTGTAACATCGCTACTATCGTCGCCGCCACTCACCTTCACTACCAGTTGCAGCCTCACCACCTTAACCAAAGATAACTGCACTACCACCAGCAGCAACACCACAAACCACCCTCGTCACCTCCAATACCCCTAATCCACCACACTTCCATCACTGCTCATCCACGACAACCTCAATCTGATCGTAACACGTCCCGGCGACATGGCTGTGCCTCTTGTTCAACGTGCCATGCTGCGCAACGATAGCGACCGATGACAAGGGGAGCGTTTGGTTTGGGCTAACGAGGCCCCGTGTGTCCACAGCTGTACGTGTTTGGTGGGATTAACGAGCAGCGGGAGTGCAACGACGTCAAGGCCATGCGGCTCATCAACCCCTCGGACCGGCAGCCACGTGGGTGACACGACACATCACAACATACACCAAAGACAAAGATCCCCCGTATAGTCTTAGCATACTGTTGGGGCAAGTGCTGTTAGCGAGCAGCGCCTATGAAGGCCGGAACGGCACATGAGGAGGTTGGTGGCCAGCACCACGCCCGACCGCCTTTGTCTCCCTAGTGACGATGCTTACACACACTGCACTAGGTACTCATCTGAGGCTGTGTCTACCTAGATGAGGCCCAGGACCGGTTCAGATATGATCATCACTGGTATTGGCCGTGAGCGAGAATTTAACTTGGGTCGTGAGGTTCGTAGCACAGCGCGCTAACTGCTATGCTACACACACGACGCACCAAGCACCTACGATTATCCCTGTTGGCTACGTACGGCAAGAAAGAAGTTCAACATACATTGCAAACACGAATACAAAACGGACTCTTGACTCAAATCGAGAACGTTCTTCAAATCTCTGGGGAGGTGAATCGTTGAATGCAAGTGGATGAGACGAGGGCGTTTTTATAATGGTTGGGCCTCGGCAGCCAATACAGTGCGGCCGATAGAATTTGACGACTTTACTCCAATTTGGCATTTTACACGGAGGCAGGGAAAGGTTAAGCATTGACCCTTTGCACAACCTCTGTTGTGTCCTTCCTCCCTTGTGAATGCCACCCGAAGCGAATTCCTAAATCCACCTCAAATGAGGTGGATTCTGCATTTCTTTGACACTGATGAACTTAATATGTATGCCAGAACTGCTTTTTTCTTGAGAACTGCTTTTTGTGTTTAGTTTGTTGTCCTTCCCCTGCACTTAGCACGGTTGGCTACGTACGATGTGAAAGTAGTTCAACGTACTTGCAGTACATACAGCCAAGTCGTTGGTCTATGTGAATGTGGGGTTTGACTGCGACGTGGCTTGGTTCGATAAATAAGTCACACGAGCAACACGCGTGCCCCTGCCCGTGATGTGATGGCGTGTGTGCAGTGATGAAGGAAATCCTGTCGGAGATGGGGCTTCAGGAAATAAACACCAGGTGGGTTGAGATTATGATCACAGCAATGATGGTGAAGCTAAAAGATGGGGATGCTGATGGAGAAATGATAATGATAAAGGAGCTAATGGTGAGGATGATGGAGACATGATCATGAAACGGCGAGGATGATGTACGTATGTTGAACTTCTTTCGCACTGTACCTGGCCCACCGTGCTAATCGGAGGTGCGGTGATGATGGAGGTATGATGATGATGGTGGAGCTAATAGTGATGATGATGGAGGTATGATGATGGTGTAGCTAAAAGTGAGATGATAATGGAGGTAAGATGATGATGATGATGATATGTTACAGTTTCCTACCGACACGAATTCCGAGAGTAAAGTATGAGTTGAGCGAGCCACCCAAGCAGGCCAGCACGGACTCCTCCCCCACTCCTCCCGTATGCCACCAACACCGCACCACCAACACCGCACCACCAACACCGCACTACCAACACCGCACCACCAACACTACACCACCAACACCACACCGCCAACACTGCACCGCCAACACCGCACCGCCAACACTGCACCACTAACACCGCACCACCAACACCGCACCACCAACACCGCACCACCAACACCGCACCACTAACACCGCACCACCAACACCGCACCACCAACACCGCACCACTAACACCGCACCGCCAACACTGCATCGCCAACACTGCACCGCCAACACTGCACCGCCAACACTGCACCGCCAACACTGCACCGCCAACACTGCACCGCCAACACCGCACCACCAACACCACCAGCATCACACTGCTAGCCAGCTCCAGCAGCAGGGTGACGAGTGGCACAGCTGTTGAGTGTGCACAGGCGGTGTAACTGCATCAGGGCGCATGGGCCAGAGGGGCCCACATTCTGGGCTATGAATCGGTGTTAGGGGAGGGGAAATGGGACAGGCGACCCCATATCATTCATTGCGCAAGTTTCCATGCCAACCACGCTATGCCACCGTCGCCCATATACCTACATATAGACCATACTTACCATATACTTCCAAAGAGACCAGTGGTTCTTAACCTGGGGTGCACGCACTCCCTGGGGGTGCGAGATGCCCTTTCTGAGAACCAAAGGGGTGCAGGCTGCAGTTAAGGTTAAGAACCACTGATATAGACCCATAGATTCACATATATACTCCACAGCCATATGTAAAGAGCCATAAGCTGACATATATGCCAATAAACTCATATATTGGCCCACAGACTTACTTATTGACCCATAATGTCACCTATAAACCCACAGACTAGCATATAGACTCACAGCGAGGGCTCCTGGCATCTCTGTCTGTGTGTGCACGTGTAGGGGTCGTGCCCTCCAGAGCCGCCCTTCCCAGAACTGCGGGCGGAGGCGGCACAGGGCATCCGCAAGGCGCTGGACGCCCTGGACGTGAGGCACCGGCGACTCAATGCGTGAGTACCAGCACGGGGGGGGGGGGGGGGGTATGGGGTGGGGGTGTGGGGGGCAGAGTATCTGCTGCCCAATTTGTCCAGCGTTTGTCAGTTGTTGGAAAAAAAATGTGAAATGTCAGCTATTTGAATTAAATCGCAATTGATGTTTTAAACAGGTTCCTTCCATTCAGAGTTTTTGGCTACTGCTATACATTTCCACAAGCTAAGCCACTGTGTTGAGCTATCATTTGTGATTGCCAAGTAGCTTCTGAAAAAGAGCTATTGAGCTCAATGGACCTTGCCTGGTAAATAAAAAATTAACCCGTAAAAACAAAGTTTTTCACTATAAATCCTTTATATGCGTGTCAAATTAATTACAGTACGTGTTCAATGGGCCACAACCCAGCCCACATTGGTCTTTGAAATGGGCGGCTAGAGTCCTCTCGTCCTCTGGCTTGAGATGGCTGCCACCTATGGGTCAGATGATTGCCTGCCACCATTAAGCAATTGGTAATTAAATATAAAAAATTTTCCTAAAATGTTGAAAATGTTGGAAAAAAAATTTCACGAAAATAAATTGTCACGCACAACGAGTCTGTGTGCAAAATGTCAGCTCGATTAGATCACGGGAAGTGGATTAAAAAACGACCGAAAGATTTGCACGGTCGTAAGCGCGCAAGCAAGCAAGCAAGTGAACTTAATATAAAGGATTTAAAAATAGTTTAGTTTTTTTAAATGTTTTCCCCAATTTGATCCCGATTGCAAAATCGGGATCACGTCGCGAGACGCGAGTTTGGGATCTCTAGCAGAGCAGTGCCAACCTTTCATGATGGAGATCGGCCCACGGAAATGGATGTCATAGAACTACCTCCCGAGACCTCTGGTCCACACAGAGTAGATAACAACACTTTCCACACATACATATATATATACACACATCATTGACTCTTGCCTCTATCCACTGCTGAAGCAAGTGTTGTTAGCGAGCACCTATTTAAGGCCGATGAGGTGGTGTGGCCAATTCAATGCCTAGTTGCCTTTGTCTCCCCGGGGTGGTGGGGGGGGGCGGTGTGGGGAGGTGGATGAGGTGTTGGGGGGTGGAGACGGAGTGGGAGCGGTGAAATGCAGGTCTCCCTCACTTGATGATCCAGTAAATGCGGCGAACTTATTTCTACAGGGAGCGTGCGGAGTTGACCCAGGCTCGGCTCGTCCTGCAGGAGGAGAAGGCGCTGTACGCTGTCACCTACAGGCGCCAGCAGGAGGTGAGGGGCTGGGCTGTCGTACGTACGTATGTATTTGCGTCGAACTTCTTTCGCACCATACGTAGCCAACCGCGCTAATCGGCGGTGCGGAAAGAGTGCCTGTGGAAGTAGTGGGAGTTGATGCAGCCATCCAGGGTTAAGTGGATCAGGCAGAGGTTTCGATTTAAAACTTTCGTGACTGCAGGGATTCATCTTCTTGGTTATTTCGGTAAAGTCACGTAGAATGGAAATAATAAAATAATAAAAATAAAACATAATAAAATAACATTTTATTATGTTTTATTTTTATTATTTTATTATAAAGTAAAATAATATTTTACTATGTTTTATTTTTATTATTTTATTATTTCCATTCTACGTGACTTTACCAAAAGAACCAACAAGATAGGCAGAGGTTGTAGATAGTATGTAAATAAATAAATATTCTCATTGCTTGGAATTGTCTAATATTACGGTGAGTACAGTGTTAATACAGGTAGGAACAACAGGTTCCACACTGCCCACCAGGGATTATTTGTCTGTCTGTCGTGCATATCCGGAATTCCGCCCACCCATGCACCTCCCCACCGAACACCGAGCTACGCCGCGATTGGTTGACGATGTCGGGGAGGGTGGGGGGGGAAGGGTAAACACGCCCACTCATCCAACTGCCCCCCCCCCCCCCCCCCCGAACACCGCGCTGTCCAACCAAGTTCCTACCTGCCCACTCCGAAGGAAGGTGGCGAATTGAGAGTGGCACATTTGTTCCAGGAAGGCGGCACACGTTGTGTAAACGAAACTAAGGTCGACTTCACTTGAGATTGGACGCAAAAGCGACACTCCTGCAGAGGCAGGGGTTGACAATCTGGATCAGAGGTCGGCAAACCTGCAGCTCCGTAGCCGCACGCGGCTCTTCACAGACTGCCTCGTGACGTAATCCACGTATTTATATTTGTATGTATTCATAAACATTGCTGCTCTTGAAATATTGAGTTTTGTACCGAATTCGAAAAAAAAAGTAAGTCTCTTTGTTATTTTGGTTGCTGGCCCCTGGTCTGGACGAACAGATCCATGCAGCGCGTGTTCTTGCCACAAGCGTCTGGGCGAAAAGCAAATGGAAGCAGCACCCTGTTGTGCATCTCCATACGTAAATATATTTCTGAGCTCAGTCAGCCTCAAGATCCGATGCGATCGTATTTGTAGAGCCATCCGTCCCATGGGAGCGAGGCCTGAACCGGCCATAGGACGGCAGTCCAGAGGGCAAATGCACGGGAGGGCCGGTCCATTCTGAGGGCCGGTCTGTAGTGGGGAAATTGCAAATGTGATCAGAGTATTTTGTTTATTATATATATTTTTATTAACATATGCTATTACCTGTGTACGCTTCATCACTTATATTTATACTCTTGGTTGGCATTAAGTCCCCATATTCGGCAGCAACCAAAGATTATTTCTCACTGGCCAATTTATTTGTGGACCCGGTCCAAATTGTCAAAGCAGATCGCACAGCAAAATCACGCTCACACGTCGTCACATCGAAGATCTAGCGACTAGGGCTACACAGTTTGTCAACCCACAACCCATTTTAACAAAAGAAATGTCCCATAGCTCGAATTTGTGTGTTTACAAATGCCTGAGACCAATGTTTCGACTCAGTCCGTCACCGCACGGGAGCGAAGTGATAACGTAACGGTGAGCGGCGTTCCACCCACCTTGCCTCTGGCAGGAACTGCAGGAGATGCTGGAGCGACACCGCAGTCAGAACGAGGCGTGGCTCAAAGCACGCGCGGCAGAGAACGACGCCGAGCGGCGGCAGCTGTGCATCGTCAAGGTGCCCGTGTGTTTGTGTGTGTCTGTGTGTCTGTGTGTGTGTGTCTGTGTGTGTGTCTGTGTGTGTGTGTCTGTGTGTGTCCGGCAAAACAACCTCCTACCTCCTCGCGGTGCCGGACGGGCAACACTGTCGTGGGCAGTGCTGTGGGGGGAGGGCCAATGCCCATTGGCCTCTCCCCTCATGGCGTCTGTGACCACCACAGTGGCTAAACGGGGGCTCTGGACGGGTGTGAGGGGCTGGTAACCCCTCCACCTTCAATTCATTACCACTAAACCACGAATTAAACATAAACCTGTAACAAATAAGCTTGTGCCGGAGGCCCCGGGGGGTCAGGCTTTTATGACGTCTCCTGGCCAAACCCCATTTGGCGGAGCCAGGAGATTGAATTTTCACCCTCGGGGCTCCTCCAGAAACAACAAAAAACCATTGCGGATGGCCACGTGGAATGTTCGAACGCTCACTGCGGAGGAGAGGCTGCCACTCCTCTGTCGGGAGCTGGACCGGTACCGCCTGGATCTCTGTGGCATTCAGGAGGTCCGGTGGACCGGTTCTGGCTCCTGCCACCATGAGGGGTGGACAGTCCTCTACTCGGGGCAGGAGACTGCCAAACAACAGGGTGTGGCTCTTCTTCTGAACAAAAGAATGAAGGGGGCGTGGGAGCGTGGCGGTGAGGTGTGGGAAGCTGTAAGCCCCAGGATACTTTGGGCTCGCCTTCCCATCAACCAGAGGCGAGGAGTGGTGGTCGTGGTTACTTATGCCCCCACCGAAGACGAACATCCGTGGAGGGATGCAAGCAAAGCCGATGAGTCAGACGCTTTCTATGACCTCCTGTCACAGGTGCTGGCTAAAGTGGCCACTCGGGACAGAGTCATCTTGTTGGGTGACTTCAATGCCCGAGTTGGTCATGATGCTGACACCTGGTCTGGAGTGATTGGAAGGCATGGGCCAGATCAGCTCAATAATAACGGTAGGAGGCTGCTAGATTTTTGTGCAGCCCATGGGCTTGTAATTACCAACACGCTCTTCCGGCATCGGCGCATCCACACAACATCATGGATACATGCCGGGTCCAAGCAAGAACATCTGCTGGACTACATAGTGACGGACCAGCGGATGCGAACCCATGTCCTTGACACCAGGACCTACCGTGGAGCTGATCTGTCCTCTGACCATCGACTAGTCATCTGTAAGATGCGCCTGCCTTTCTTCCACTCCGGTGGTGGGTGTACACCCAGGATTTCATTCCAACCAAAAGTGGCCTGGTCTCAGTTAGCTGATGAAAGTTGCAAGCGAGAATTTCATCATCGCTTGCAGCTGGGGTTGGCATCGTCCCCCACTCCACCTGATGTCGAGGGTAAATGGGCGAGGTTTAGGACTGTGACTCATGCAGCTGCAATGGCTGCTTTGGGTACGCGGTCCAGACCTCCCCAGAAACCCTGGCTGACAGAGGAGGTGTTCAGGTTAATTGAGAAAAAGCGACAGGCCCACTCTCATCGCCTACAGCATCCCACGTCAGAGAATGAGGAGGTTTACCGCAGCCTTCGCTCGGAAGTTCGGAGAGCCGTAAGGCGTTGTAAGGATGGGTGGTGGTCGCGGGTTGCTGAGGAGATGGAGTCTGCCTCAGTGGCCCGTGATCACAAATCACTATTTAACTCCATCAAAAAAGTAACCTGCAGCGCCACACCTATTACCATCATTAGAGGAAAAAACGGTGATCCAATCTCCGACCCCCAGGAACAGGTTTGCAGATTTGCTGAGCATTTCTGTGAGGTCCTGGGGGAGGGAAATTCTCTCAGCCAGGAAAACATCATGGCACAAAGTGGGGATAACCCTGCTGAGGCTGCGGTGCCTCAAATATTGGAAGAGGTCACCCCCTGTGAGTGGCTGGCTGAGGTTCCAGCTGTTGAGGAAGTACTGAGGGCGATCCGGAGTCTGAGACCAGGGAAGGCACCGGGCAGAGATGATCTCCCAAGCGAAATGCTGAGGGAGGGTGGCGTTTGTGCACAGACTGCCCTATATGACATCATAACAACAGTCTGGACCACTGGACGGGTTCCGCAGGACTGGAAGGATGCCCTGGTGGTTCCCCTCTTTAAGAAGGGGGACCGTACCGACTGTAACAACTACAGGGGCATCTCACTCCTCAGTGTGCCGGGTAAGGTCCTGGCAAGGATTATTCAACATCGCCTTGCTAGGCACGCTGAGGAGAGGCTTGCGGAGCCCCAATGCGGTTTCAGGAAAGGGCGGTCCTGCACAGATGCCATATTTTCTGTCCGTCTGCTACAGCAGAGGTGTAGGGAATTCCAAAAAGACCTACATCTCTGCTTTATTGACCTGGTCAAGGCCTATGATACCATCAGTAGGACTGGGCTCTGGGTTGTTCTTCGTGCTTTCGGAGTCCCTGACCCTCTGCTCACGATCATTAAGGACCTTCATGATGGTGAGCGGGCCCGGGTAAAACTACGTGGCCGGGAGTCGGAGCCTTTCCCTGTACACCTTGGGGTGCGACAGGGATGTCCTCTGGCTCCCACATTATTTAACATCTATTTTGACCGCGTAGTTCGTGAAGCCTTCAATAGCTGTACCGGAGGAATTTCCATTTGGTACAGATATAATGGGAGGCTGATCGACGCCCGGGTGCGATCAAGGGATGGCTCCCTATTGGTCAACCACGTTATGTATGCCGATGATTTGGTAATAGCTGCTCATTCAGAAGAGGAGTTGGAGGCGCTGCTGCTGAGACTGGAGCGTGCCACTAAGAGGTGAGGCCTTACCATCAGCCCCACCAAAACCAAGCACCTGCCTGGGTATTTTGTACCATCGGACACTCCACCCCCACAACTCCCAATTGGTGATGGGGCAGTTGTGGAGAGAGTGGAGAGTTTCCCATACCTGGGCAGTATGCTTATGACCGGCTCCAGTCTATCAGCAGAGGTCTCACTCCGAATCAGTCGAGCGGCAATATCTTTTCATCGGTTGCGTAACGCTGTGTGGAAGCTACCTGGTCTGTCGCTCCGCACGAAGCTTCAGGTCTTCTCGGCCACGGTCATTCCCTCCCTTCTCTACGCTTGCGAGACGTGGACCCCCCTGGTGGAGCATCTTCGCCGGTTGGAAACATTTAGGCTGGCCTGCCTACGATCCATCCTGGGTTTAACCAGGCTGGATTGTGTGAGGAGCTCACAAATCCTTGAAAGATCTGGGCAAAGTCCCATCAGTGAGCTCCTCCGGCAGGCAAGGCTGCGTTGGCTGGGTCATGTAGCCCGCATGCCCAGCCACCGCATGCCTAAACAGCTTTTGTTCGGCCGGATCGAGGGGGCTAGACGGGCGCGGAACGGGCTGGAGAAGAGATGGAGTGATGTGGTACAGGAGGACGTGGAGCTGAGTGGACTTGCCGATGACTGGTACCAGCGGTGTCAAGATCGGCCTCAGTGGAGGAGGCTCGTGAAGGACGCTACTGGGCAGTTGGAGGCAGTCGCCCTCCAACAACAACGGAGGGCGGAGGAGCGACGCTCACAACAACGAGCGGAGCGCCGGGTGGCTAAAGCACAGCAAGTTGGCACAGTAGGGGGCACAGGTGGTGCATCAGCCAGTCATCTCGGTCATCTCGGTCAGTCGACCCGTGGCACCTGGGTCTGCCCCGTGACCTCCTGCCAGCGGGCTTTCGACACTTCACGTGGCCTCAAGGTGCACTTGGCCTGGCACAAGCATCGTGGTGACGTCACCGCCACTTAGTGGCGAATGGCGGTTGTTGTTGTTGTTGTGTGTGTATATACGTGGGGAGCGGTGGTGTAGCAGTTAGCACGCTTCGCTACGAACCTGGCGGCCCGAGTTCGATTCCTGCTCATGGCCGACAACGGTGACGATGATCTGAACCGGTCCTAGGCCTCCCCTAGGTCCACTCAGCCTCAAATGAGTACCTAGTGCGGTGTGTAGTAAACATCGCCACTAGGGAGACAAAGGCGGCCGAGCGTGGTGCTGGCCACCCAACCCCTCGTGTGCCGTGCCGGCCTTCATAGGTGCTCGCTAACAGCACTTGCCCCAACATTGTTAAGGCTATACAGGAGATCTTTGTCTGTCTGTGTATGTATATACATGTGTCTCTGTGTATATGTATATACACGTGTGTCTGTGTGTGTGTGGTTCGTTGCTTGCTAACAGCACTTGCCCCAAAAGTTTGTGGAGGCTATACTGGGGGATCTTTGTCTTTGTGTGTGTGTGTGTGTGGACAGGGCCGTATTATGCTACAAAAACTAAAGGGCCGACAAAAACTAAAATGTTACCATGTTTTTTGTTTGTTTGCATGTATGATAAAAAAAAATTAACCAAGATATCTTCTTCAATAAATAAATTTATATAGCAAGGATAGGCACAGTGTATGTACAACGAGGCAGAGTTCATAAGGTGAGAGAGGAATTAAAACCGGAGATTAATTTTTCGAGATTTTTTTTATTGCAAAATTAGCAGTAGCATCTTCAAGTGGTGTTTTTCACGCAATCTCATTCTCAATAGAGAGTAGTGCAAGGGGAAGACGAACGTTGTTGTCCTATGGTTGGTCGGAGACAGATTTTTTTTTTTAAATCAGCTTTAGCTTAAAAAAAATTAACCCGTAAAAACTAAGTTTTTCACTATAAATCCTTTATATGCGTGGCGGCTAGAGTCCTCTCGTCCTCTGGCTTGAGATGGCTGCCACCTATGGGTCAGATGATTGCCTGCCACTATTAAGCAATTGGTAATTAAATCGAAAAAAAAATTCCCTAAAAAGTGTATAATTTTGGAAAAAAAATTTCACGAAAATTAATTGTCACGCACAACGAGTTTGTGTGCAAAATGTCAGCTCGATTGGATCACGGGAAGTGGGTTAAAAAACGACCGAAAGATTTGCACGGTCGTAAGCGCGCAAGCAAGCAAGTGAACTTAATATAAAGGATTTAAAAAGAACGCTCCCCTTCACAATTCGAAGTCCGCGTGGAACAAGCGCAGTGACAGCGGCGGTAGTAGCATGGGGCAGCAGCAGCAGCAGTTACAACTCTAGCGAGTTATCACTGAAGGCCTACGAAACAGAAGTGCCTAGAGCCTATAAGAACCTCAATCCGGCCCTGTGTGTGGGGAGGGGGAGTGTAGCGGTTAGCGCGCTTCACTACGAACCTGGCAACCCAGGTTTGATTCCCGCTCACGTCCAACACCGGTGACAATTATCTTAACCAGTCCTGGGCCTCCCCTAGGTTGACACAGCCTCAAATGAGTGTTTGGTGTGGTGTGTACATATTGCTACTAGGGAGACAAAGACGGCCGAGTGTGGTGTTGGCCATTTACCCCCTTTTGCCGTGCCGCCTTCATGGGTACTCGCTAACAGCACTTGCCCCGACAGTCTGTTTAAGGCTATATGGGGGATCTTTGTATTTGTGTGGCCATGTGACCTGCAATATTAACTCAACTAGCTGTTCCAATTCCCAGCCTCAGCTAACATCAGTGGTCGTGAGTGACATCTGAACCGCGTCTGGAATTTCCCCAGTCTGACTAAATGGCGCACCTGGTGCGGCATACACGCATATAGAAAGGGGGAGATAAGGGCGGCCAGGTGTCGTGCTAGCCACACCACCTCTACCCCTCACACATCATCATCACCAACCACGATCAATCCACAGTTAGGAGACAGTGGATTCAGCGTTCCCATCGCAACCCCCTCAATCGGTACCGGGGCCTTCCCGAGGAAGCTAATGATCTGACCGGTGATGACCTCCAAACTCTATGAATCACGGTGTCAGACGCAGACGCTGAATTAATAAATAATCAACGTCAGGACGAAGGCCTCCCCAAGTCGACGCAATCCTCGACGATCCCCCGATGAGATGCAACAGCCCCAACTGCCGAAGTGGACGAATAACTGAAATGAAATAACTGTATCTGTACGGCGGCTCCCACAAGGCCATGCGAGAGGGCGTGTGGCACCAGTCTGGTGCCAGCTATCATAGAGCGCGGCATTCGTGTCGCTACACTTCTCTGCGGTGGGTACAATGTCTTTCAAAACAACGGCGCTACGCCGCCTTAAATACAATCAATGGCGAACCGCTTGCGTCTTCCGAGAGCTAGCAGTGAACGGAACCCGCACTCTGCAACTTACAGTCGTCTCGGAAAGGGAGATTAAAAGTCCACACGGGGGACCTTTGTGCTTGTGCAGGATGACCTGGTGGTGCAGCAAGCCCAGCTGCGGGAGCAGGAGGCGGCTCTGAACAAGCGAGCACTGCAGCTCTCGGCCATAATGCAGCAGTTCAAGGGCATGTGACGCAACACTCCCTGCATGTAGTTGGCCTGGAGGTCCTGCAGCGCAACAGGCAGCCGGATCATCACTCCCGCGATGACGCCGGGCCCCCTACGGAATTATACAATTGATTAAAGAGCAAGCAGCGAGCGAAGCAACGAGGCGAGCGGCCTGCTCATCAATTTACTCACGCCATTAACCATCCTCGGGACCAATTGCTCAATTAACCCATCCTTAAGACCGTTTACCAAATTAAACCGTGATCCTGTTACCCAATCATCAATCAAACTGGTAACTGTTCAAGCAACCAGCAATGAGCAGTTTATAAATTAACCAGCCTCATAGATGATTGCTTAATCAAGCAACGACCTTCATAAGCAATCAGAATGACAGTAAGTTTGCTAAAGTGCTAATCAACCACCCCGTGACTTTATCTGCCTCCTAACTAGGCTTCCAAGTAACAATCTACACAAGAAACTTTGCAACCAATTAACTTACCCAATTTCCAGTTACCCAGCCTGAAAACCCATCGGTTATCCAACTTGCAATGACCTTATGCAATGTGTCATTTTTTGCACCGTGACAAATTCTGCAAACTGCACCAGTCTGTACCATTTGCTGAGTGGACACTTTGTGGGCCATGCCATCTGTTAACTGGTAGGAGGTGGGTGGGGGGTGAAATAAGTTGACAGAAGGCACAGATTATATAACGCCTGGCAATTTACCTGATAACCATGCACGGTGGTACTTAAAACACGTTAATATTAGTAATTTTTTATCTGTATGAATTCAAGGAAAAATGAATGTATTTTAGGAATGTCTAAAACACGTTGAGCGATGACATTAAATGATCCGAGTGTTCCTTTCCCAAAAAAAGACAAATACCTGGTCTAAAAGTTTGTGTTGTGTGACATAAAATAAATAACGTGTGTTGCTTTCATGAATGAGCAATTGTAAAATTATGAAAATATATTTAAGGTATTACCAAGAGCAGTCACAATGTCATGACGAAACATTCCGTAGCAATACCTTGGATGGCTTAAATAAAACTAAAGCCCATCACTTTCATCGAAAACGATGTGACCGGTACTTTTGAAATTCGTTTTTTTCCGGGCGCATTTAAATCCACGTCTCCCTCGCGAACAAAAGGCAACCTCTGGACGTGTGAACGACAGAAAACGCCGCTTGACGGGATGTTTCGGAAAGAGAAGCTGCTGCTGCGGGAGAGATCTCTCCCGCAGCCCATCTCCGGCACGCGCGCCGCACCACTCCGTGACATTTCCGAATGGATTCTTTGTTTCATGAATGTGCCGATCGTGAAATGTGAACACATTTGTTGGGGGAGGGGTGATATCAAAAGATAAAACACAACACACGTAAAGTCACGTAGAAGGGAAATAATAAAATAATAAAAATAAAACATAATAAAATAATTCTCACGACGTTTCGGCCACAACGCAAGCAGCCGTCCTCAAGCGAAGAACATTTCTGTCGGAAAGACAGCGTCAGACGCTGTTTATTATTTCCCTTCTACGTGACTTTACCGAAAGAACCAAGAAGATAACACACGTAATAAATAAAATTAAATCCTGGTGTCCCCATTTTCATCTATCGGTGTCATCCTCGTAACCGAGGGTTGATGTCCATGGTAGAAGCTTTCCATCTTTCACGATCTTCAACATCTCTCACCAAGAGACCTGTCCAACTGCTCACATTGTGTATGCTCTTGCCCGATATTCTCCCTTGCAGGATTGTTAATCGTCTCCAGCTGTGGCCCACTTAGGACATCCTGCAAATGCCACCTCATGACATCAGCTTACGCGATCGATTCGTCTGCAGCTCCAACATCTCAAAACGCAATTTAGTCTTTTCATCTCGTGACCCTGCGCAAGCGTTGATATGTCATCTGCACATCCCACGAGATTCCACACACTGAAGCTCTCAGCATCTTCATCCTCGCTTGCCGCGGGTAAAATAAACAAGACCAGGCGATGATCAAAGGAGGCACACGCAGCAACAGATTCAAACACTATAATTTTCCACACCAACAAAACACTAGCACTCCCCGTGACCTCAAAAGGTCATTCGCACATTGTTATCTGTTTACATTATAAAACATCATTTACTTATTTGTTCTGCACATTTCTTATATATATGTCTTTTTTTAAAGTAATTTAATAACTTATCCCTTTTCTTAATAACAATACATCTTCATATTTATTCCGTCTGTTCACTTTTAATTGTTTCAACCAGTTAAGGTACGACATGCTGGACAGAATAAGACACAAAACGCTTATGATGAACAGCTGCAGGGCACACGCCAAGGGGAACTGGGCAGCGGAAGGAAGGAAAGACATCGCACGTAAATACGGGGCATTTCCGTCAATTTTTTGCCACCGTTTAAAAATGCCGTAACTTCTCATCCATGAAAGCTACCGTTAACCCTTTCCCGTTCCGAGATGTCTGCAAGTCGCAGGGTGTGTGGGTGTCCCGTTCACCGCCGAATCTCTGAACGCGCAAGAAGCTCAGTTAATTTTATTTAGAGAGGCATAGCGTCGTCGTTTTTAAAATACATTGTACTCAACGCAGAGAACCGAAGTGACACGACCGCACTTCTATGATAGCTGGCGTCAAAACTGCTGCCACACGCCCTCGATAAAGTTATTTAAAGTTATTTCATTATATTTTTTCTTACGGTCCCGTACCGATCACGTACACATACGTACGTCATCGGAACGAATTAAGACATGGAAAGGGTTAAGCAGTACACTCGTCATTCTTTTCATTTCACACTGCATTTGATAGCCCCGAGCTTGATATCAATCTCCGTTGCAACATGCCAGACAGCAGATTGGCACTTGTACGTATGTATGGTTGTATGTAGAAATGGTGAACTTCTTTCGCACGGCACGTAGCCAACCGCGCTAATCGGAGGTGCGAGGGAAGGACAACAAACCAAAAAAAAGTCGTGGAGCGTTTTCATCGCGTGGAGATCTCCAATCAGTACAATCACTTGTTGCTTCTATACAACAGCGCTCTCCAAGGAGAACATCCCAGGTTGCTCTACAATGACAATAATTAAAACCATTGGCCAAATAAGCCCAGCTTATGGATCAGATATCGTAATCAAATATCATCCATAAGAGGTTTTTGGGTTAAATCGCGTAAATATAAATGCATCTTATTATGTTTAATTTTTATTTTATTATTTCCATTCTACGTGACTTTACCGAAAGAACCAAGAAGATGAATCCCTGCAGTCACGAAAGCTTTAAATCGAAATATAAATGCATCATTAAAACAGCTACCACCCGACAGCCAACTATAGTAAGGTTTGTCATGTAAATAGAACATGCCAATTCGTGAAGAGTACAGCACTAACCAGTGTGTTGGAGAGTAAACCCACAACATATACAATTTGTAACGAATTGTCATGTTTTTTTTACGTGAGAAACATCACTAACTGGCTGTGTTTGGTGGTGGCGGGTTTAACGACGCATTGATATTTACGCGATCCTACCCAAGAAACTATTACGGATAATATTAGTCGCGAAATCCTACGCGTTTCAGCAATCAATATGTTTCTAAATGTCGCATAGAAGATTCGAATGTTGCCAGCATTCCTGATACGACTTGGGACGGAGTTCCAGAGGCTGGGAGCATGGCAACTACCAGCCCTGGCCTCTCCTGATTTTAAATGATTTCGAGGAACCCAAAAAAAAGTTTAACACTCTCCTAATCTCAAGGTGCAATCGACTGGGAGCATACGCTTAGCGTTTTCCAAGTAATATTATTCAAGGGTTCTCATGCGCTAAGCAGAAAGCCAATTCGTGAACTGAACTGTCTGCAATAATGTCATTGTAAAGTGATTGGAGATTCGCATTTCAATAACCACTCCAAAACTTTCACCTTTTGCTCAAGTGTCAGTCTACTGTCAAACATGTTATGGCAAGAATGACGACTAAAACTCGAAAGTGTGCCCTCTCTTTAGCACACCAGTACTTTTGGTGCTCACACCACGTCATGAAGGAGCTATGCTTCAGACGATTAAAGGCCTACGGGGCATTTCCCCACCGCTTTTCCTTGCTCGAGGTTAAAGTTTCCAAGGTTATTTGTGTAACTACGCGGGGAACTTCATCAACCGGGACATCGTCTCACCTGCGAGCATGACCCGGCTCGCTAAAATGACAAGAAGCAAATCAAGCACGGCAATGCAGCAAATAGAAATCAGAACAAAAACAACTGCGTCGCACGCTTAAATGCCCCCCCCCCCCCCCCCCCCCCGGTGCAAGTTGGTTCGGGCAGATTTTTTTGGAGGACGAACCGATGCTCGGGAAAGCCCAGGCGCTGCAGCGTCCCCCATCGGCGCCGGTCGCCCGAGAAAATTATTCACCTCGTCAAGGCGGCAGATAAATGGCAGCGACGAGCGGAGGAGGGGGGGGGAGAGCAGCGGCATTACATCAACAGGGCCCCACACTCCGTCCCCTCTGAACCACCTGCCATTGTCTGCGATCGAGCATACGGATGTCAAGATCGGTCTGCTCGGCCATATCCCAACGCACCGATGATCATCGCCGGATGTGCGAGTTGATGGGTCTCCGTTATGGGTCTTTGTGCAAGTCTGTGAGTCGCTGCGAGACTCTATGGAGGAGTGGTGGTAGCGGTTAGCGCGCTGCGCTACGAGCCCGGCGACCCGGGTCCGACTCCCGCTCACGGCTAACACCAGTGATGATTGCCTGAACCGGTCCTGAATCTCCCCAACGTCTACTTAGCCTCAAATGAGTACCTGGTGCGGTGTATAAATATCGCTACTGGGGACACAAAGGTGGTCAGACGTGCTGCTGGCCACCAACCTCCTCGTGTACCGTTCTGACCTTCACAGGTGCTCGCTAACAGCACTTCCCCCAACAGTCTGTTAAGTCTATACGGGGGATCTTTGTCTTCATCTTTGACTCTATGGGTTTCTGTGTGAACCTGTGTCCACTTTGAACGATCTCCAAAGTCGCGAGTGGGATTGCCTCATTCTGCCTGGCAGCCTCATTCTGCCTGGAAGCAGCTGCATTCATAACCCAGACACGGATTTATAGCCACCACTCAATCCCTATCCATACGAAAGGAGGATCAAAACCCTCCAGCTTAGATACAACATAATCACTTAAGTGCATTGTATGCACAGCTGTCGATTATTTGTGATTACTTTGCTTGCGAATTGCATTTGGCGCACAGCCCGCCCGTTTACATATTGGCGCGATAGTCACTCAACGTCTGTTTAATGTTTCGAACATAAATTGTGCAGCGATCAGTTTCAAAATCATCTGCCCGTGCAGACGTTGCGCTGCAGGCAAACTTATAATCAGCGATTGATGATCGTGCAACATTTTCCAGTTTCCCACGTGAGAATGTTTTGCTCGGATTTCTAAATGGCTTCACTACGATACTCTATTTTGTTCAGCGCTCGCAAGAGTGTGACCGGGGCCACCACGACGAGACTTAACCCGGTCTCTCAAGTTCTCGCCTGGTTAAACCAAATAAACTCGACAGGTTGGCAGTAGTAGTAGCTGTACATTCGGAGGCGATCTGGCCACGTTTTCTCACAATCGAGTCGTTGGCGGACAATTTTGAGTCAGTTCGTGCTGTGACGCCAGCAGAAACGCCGCAGCATCTTTAAAATCCACCGCCAAGTGTACAGCGCATATATTCCATAGTTGATACACCCGCAGTGTTAACCAGGGTGGCCACGGGGGTTCGAACCTCAAATCTCTGCACCGAGAGGGAAATGCACCAACGCACAGGCCTTCACCTTCATCGTCGTCGCATGGCTGCTGCCGCTGCTGCTGTTGATAGAGAGATGGAGAGCAAACAACCGTCACTTTACATTGAGACGGTCGATGGACTTGAGCCCGCTAATCGCCTGCGTCGTCAGGAGCTAGCGGAGGACTTAACGACGAGCGGCCGCCGTAGCTTTTACGTTTTCGAACTCGCGAACCGAAATGCCCTGTGCGCGACGAAAACAAAAAGCCCTGCGGAAATGAGCGCTTTGCTCGCAAGAAGCCGATCGGCAATGCCTGGAGGTACGGCGACGGGCAAAGGGGGCGCACGTGGCTAAGTGGTTGAACCCCTCCACTTGCAATCAGACATGGGAAATTCAAATCCAGGTCAGGGGTCAACTCCACCTATCGTCATCATCATCACCATGATTACCTCCGATTGGCATGGCTGGCTACGTAGGATGCGAAAGAAGTTCTACGTAAATACACATACCATCGTCAGCTCTCCTCTGGGGTTGATAAAAATTCGTACCATATGAGTAATAATAAACCACCCTTTGCCTCTTGACACATCTGCTCTGAAGTCCCTCGCCATCTTCAAACTTAGTTCCTCTTCACAATTGCTCTAATAATGAATCAGTCGCAGCCCGATGAAACCACTGCTGGATAACGGGCCTCCCGATGTCACGTCGGTCATGGGGGTTTGTTTGACCATACTTCACCATTCTAGTCAGGGACTTCAGTCCGATCGAGTACCAAGCAGCGTTCATGTTAGCCGAAGGGTCAGAAGTCAGTCGTGGATTGGGGCGCCGTGGTGGCCAGATGTCAACTAGCTCGCTTGGTATACAGGAGGTCGTGGATTCGATCCCGACCCTAACGTCTGTACAGTTGGCGTTTGTATGTTCTCCACGTGATGGCGTAGATTTTTCTCCCGACCCTCCGGTTTTCTCTCCACATTTAGAAACGTGGGCGTTTACAGCATTTGGCTGCTATAAATTTCCACGTGATAAGCCACTTCTCGTTGGGCGATCATTTGTGGCCAGGTCGCCTCTGAAAAAGAGCTACAGAGCTCAGTGGGGGCCTTAGCTGGTAAAATAAAAATAGGTAAAGTTTTTATTATTGATCACGGTTAAGCCTCCTGCGCTGTACAGCTCTCGTTCGAGGGCGACTTCCAGGGGAGAACAGCGTTTCCCGAGCCAGTGGCAGTGATTCCACATTCTTATGGCAGGACCCTAGTCGTCCTTTGATGAACATAATTACAACCACCAACGTCCTACTTGATGCCGTTCATATTAGAACCCTAAGATGGTTGGTGATGATAATGATGATCCAACCCTGGCTAGGAGTTGAACTCACCAACTCACGATTGGGAATGCTGCCGCGCTTCATCAACAATGCTACCATATAAACCAGACTTTGCCAATAAGCGAAATTAATTATCGATGGTAAATGTGCAGCCCTGCAATTGCTTGCTCACAGCACTGCTGTCAGGACGGTCTCTACGGGAGAGCTCGTAGAACCTCCCTCTCTCTCTATGAATGTGTGGCCTGTTCTTTCACGGTGGCCTCGGAAGAGATGGAGTGCCCACACGTTACCCCACAACACATGAGCTGGCGATCGTCTAACTACCGGTGTACGCATGTGTGTGCAGCTGGGTGGACATTGTGTTCAACTGCCGCTCCAGGAGGCTGAATCGTCGACCTCTGGATTGCAAGTCCCGTGCGCTCACCATCACAGCGTGGTAGCAGCCCAAAAAAAAAATTTTCGAACACTATGTAACAATCATCATTAATTAATTTAAACACGATCATTCAGAAGATTGTCATCTCTTGAAAGCCTTTGCGACGGCGGACGGCGCCTGTGAGCCGAGTCGGAAATTCGACTCCGTGGGCCAAACCGCCTGCAGCGTAATACTCGGCGTGCGTGCGGATGACATCGTCGACATTTATTTGAGAGGTGGTACGTCATGGAGTGGGGGATCCAAGCACCTGGTCGCGTACGAACGCTGGCGATCAACGCGACGACAAAGGCCTCCTCCTTTCTCTCGCCGACGTTACTCCGCTTTAAAACTCACTTCATCACAACGTCCACAGCAAAGCTCGCCACAATACTTCAAACTCGGTCCGCTATTTAAATAAAATAAAAAAAGCAAATGCATTTTTTTTTGGTGTTCGTTTTGTACTTTTTTTTCCTTTTCCCCATTCGGCGCCGGCCGTTGCCGCCTAGCTGACGGACGTTTGTTCTGCTTCAGATAAATAACGCGTCGGTCACAGCTTCAACACAACGCGATCAACCGGTCGAGGAGACGAGAGGGCAACTTAAGCATACGACGCTGCGCGCACGACTGCTCCGTGCGTGCGCGAGCAACACGCTGTCATTTGTGCGCGCGTGTCAGTGCGTCTGTACGGCACGCAGCGGGGAGCGTTCGAGTGATGCAGTGGTTAGCGCGCCGCGCTACAAAAAAACCAACAACCCGAGCTCGACTGTTCGACTAACGTCAGTGGAAAATATCTGAACCGGTTCTTGGCCTCGGACGAGGTTGATACTCAGCTTGATGCGAGTAGCTGGCGCGGTGCGTGAAACACCATCTCACTGGGCAGCCGGGCACTGATTACATGACCACCCCTCCCACATCCGACACCCACCCCCCCCCCCCCCTTGTGCCGTGCCGCCCTTCGTTCACGTGCTAGTTAACAGCACTTGCTCTAACAGTCGGTGCGGCTACACACGGTGGGGCTTTTGTTCTCTCTACCGTATCAATAGGAAGTGTGTGGTGTGGCAGTCGCTTAAGCAGCACCGTGCTACAAACCCCACAACTTCAACAACTTGGAACGGGGGGAGGGGCAGTGTCAAACTGCTGCTGACGACGCGCACGCAATCACAGCGGTGCCGCTTATCAAACGTGCGAGTCGTGCAACTGCAGGGAGAGGCCCATTCGCTGGAGAGGGTTACGAAGACTGGGATGGGGAGGGGGGGGGAAGTTGTGAACAGGAGTGCGGTAGGGGGGCCCCTCCACGCTACACCACTGCATCATCATCATCAGAAGCAGCAGGAGCAGCACTTGTATCTAAGCATGGCCTATCGAGCTTGACTCGCCCTTCAAATGAGCACCCGTTGAGGTGGTGCTGGGGGCGACATCGACAACGAGGAGACGCCCCCCCCTCCGGTCCCCATTCCCTGCGCCGTGCCGGCCTTAACGTGTTCTCACGAATAGCAGCACCCTTCCCAACAGCCTGCAAGGCTTCGTGGGGGGGCACGGGGAGATGTCACAGACTTGGTGTCCGTGTACGTATAGTCCCTCGTACGCGTGTGTTTTTGATCCCTGGCACGTTTGCATATGCTCGGGCAATTATATGCTGAATATGTAGTATACGCTTTATTGTAAATGCGTACGCGTGTGTGTGCGCGCGCGTGCGTTGGCGTAAGCGAGCACGCGCGTGTGCGTGCGTGTGCGTGCGCGTGTGTTGGCGCAAGCAAGCACACTTCTTGCGCGCTCTGCACCAGCGCGCAGGGTAACGCCGAGCGTCGTGGCCGGCAGACCAAAATTACGGAGTAACGAGCACACGGGACAAACTTGGTGGTGGCGGTGGTGCCCAAAGGTCAGAGTTCACAGGTTGGGTGAGAGGAGCACGGGTTGATGGGAAGAGAGGTTGAGTTTCTGTGGCAACGAACGAGTCCTTAGCCGTCAGCCATGTACTTGCCTGGGTCACACACAGACACAAGACAAAGATATTGGTGATGCTAATGATAATAATGATGGTGGTGATGATGAAAATAACAATGGTGGTGATGATGATGATAATAATGATGGTGGTGATGATGATAGTCATGGTGGTGATGATGATAATAATGATGGTGGTGGTGATGATAGTGATGGTGGTGGTGATGGTGGTGATGATAGTGATTGTGGTGATGATAGTGATGGTGGTGATGATGATAATAATGATGATGATGGTGGTGGTGATGATGATAGTGATGGTGGTGATGACGATAATAATGATGGTGGTGGTGATGATAGTGATGATGGTGATGGCATTCGCAATCACCATATCTCTCCACGATTTTCGTCCACTTATGCTCATCGTTAACTTCGGACAAAAAAAAAACGCATTTCATCGACGAATTTTCTCATCGCCGATGTCGCTAACGGAACGAACTGTAGGGGAGGGTGGGGGATGTGGGGGCGGGGGATTGGGGGTGGAGGCGGGGCGGGGGGTGTGTGGGGGTTGGGGACGCACCGGTGGCGAAGCGCTTCTTGACGAGCGAGAGGCGGTAGCCGCCCCCGACAAGCTCAAACTCGACGCCCGACAGCGACGACCCCTCGCTCACAAACTGAGCGGCGAGCGTCGCGGGCACCGTGGGGCCGTCCGCCACCGAGAAGTGCGCCTGGAGCACGCCCGAGCCTGAGCACGCACAAGGACAAGGTGCCCCCCCACCCCACCCCACCCCCCCCACGTAGCCTTGAACAGACAGTCGGGGCAAGCACTGCTAAGCGAGCAGCACCTGTGAAGGCTGACACGCCGCACCGGCAGAGGTCGCAAACAGGTTTTGATTCCTTACCCGTACCCGTACCCGGCCGCACCAGGGTCGCAAACGGGTACCCGATTGCGACCTCTGGGATGAAGCCATGTTGCAGGCGTGGGTGGGTTGATTCTAGGAACTTGAATTGTGAGAAGAGACAAGACGTTGAGAAATGAGTGACAAACGGTGACTCGCCAGTGACTCACGGCCTACCCGTACCTGTACCCGGCCGCACCAGGGTCGCAAACGGGTAGCCGTACCCGTACCCGGACGGGTACGGATAGCCAGGTATCGGGTAGGGTACGGGTATCGGGTACCCGGTTGCGACCTCTGCGCACCGTGTACTCGTTTGAGGCTCAGGACCGGTTCAGATAATCGTCACCGGTGTTGGCCGTGAGCGGGAATTGAACTCGGGTCGCCGGGTTCGTAGCCCAGCGCTCTCACCGCGACACTACCCGCTCGCACACACGTTCATGCACACGTTCATACGCGTACACGCACGCGCGCGCGTCATGTGACGCGATACTGGATGCACAACTGGAACAAATGAGGGTGATTTTTGTTAAAATATATTAATGATAAACGTGACACGACCCTCACCTCCGCCTTCTGATTTTTCGGAGATTTCTGGAATCTTCCAAAGCACCCAGTTCTGCTCAGCATTCCTGCCGACAAAGATCAGAAATTGATGGTAAAAAAAAACGAAGCAAACGGATCGGATGCGACAGTTTCACAGCGACGCACCTCCGATTAGCACGGCTGGCTACGTACAGTGGGAATGAAGATCGACACACATGCGTAGAAATTTCGATTTAAAGCTTTCGTGACTGCAGGGATTCATATTCTTGGTTCTTTCGGTAAGTCACGTAGAAGGGAGGTAATAAAATCATATAAATATAAAACAATACAAATTCTCACGATGTTTCGACTTCAACACAAGCAATCATCATCAGGTGTGAAATCCACGGCAAAAAAATTTGAAAAAAGCGGCAGTTTTCCCTAAAACCGCCACTTTTTTTCCCCTAAAACCGCCACTTTTTTCAAATTTTCTTGCTGTGGATTTCACACCTGATGATGATTGCTGCTGGTGTTGCAGTCGAAACGTCGTGAGAATTGTTATTGTTTATATTTATATTATTTTATTATTTCCCTTCTACGTGACTTTACCGAAAGAACCACGAATACACATGCGTATACTTCCACAGGAACCTCTTTCTCTGCGCTGGAGGTGGAAGTCTCGTGCTCCATCCCTGTGGGATCTGTAAAACCGTGCCCTCCGAGTGTCCAGACGGACGGGCGCTCGTCGCCACGGCTGCTCATCATCAGCATCACCGTTGACCTCCCGTCCAGCGGCACCCGTGCCAAAGGAGACGAGGAGTTCTTTCGCAATTACTTTCGTGCGATCCGATTGGTGGACCGGCGATTGATGAGTAATCCATCTAGTAAATATATTCAGATAGCCTGGCTCTACTTAACAATTGACCTGCTACAACCCCCTTAATCCATCTCTTCTCAACAAAAACCCAACTTTGTGGACATTGATCTATTGAGGGCTGTCACATTACTCAGGAACACCCCCCCTCTCATAGCTGAGCCACGCGACCACGGGGAGAGAAACACGCAAACTCAAAATATACAGGCGTCTCAGGGTCAGGATTGAACCCAAGACCTCCTGCATACCAGGCGAGGTAGTTAACATCTCGCCACCGTGGCGCGATTTGGTGGGTGGAGGAGGGGGGGGGGGAGGTGCCGTGCTGGCACGGCTCGCATGCGCCGGTGGAAAAAGATGGGAACCAGGCCGGTCCTCCACGCGGCGTTTGGGGCGGTCCGAGTCTCACCAGGTGGCGGGGGGAGTGGCCTGCATGTCTGTGGCCCCGCCCCCGACGGGGGTCACGACCTGCAGGTTGGTGATGGGGGAGGGCGAGGCCATGGCGGAGCCGTTGTAGCGGAACGCCACTCGCAGGCTCGTGCGCGCATCCTCGCAGCGCCAGCTCGGCTCCAGCAGCAGCGGAGCCGCGTCCGCTCCTCCTGCGGACACCTGGGGGGAGCAGGAGGAGGAGGGGATGAGGATGAGGAGAAGGGGAAAAGGATGGGGAAAAGAGGAGGGTGGAGAGAGGGGGAAGAGGATAGAGAGAAGGGGAGGCATGTGGAAGAGGATGAAAGGCACAGGGAAGAGCAGGAGATGCAGGGGGAGGAGATGCAGCAGTCACGAGGAGCGGCGCGTGTTGAGTACACAGGGGGGGGGGTAGGCATAGCGGTAACAAAACCACCCATCCGCAATGGCCATCCTCCAATCCGCCCGCCCCACGACTCAACTCCTGCGCCACCACCCCCTGCGCACACCTGGTACTTGAGGATGTCCACGTTGTAGTAGGTGGCGGAGGGACTCTGCTCCGACAGCTTCTTGAGGTAGGAGCACAGCGCCGGCATGTTCAGCCAGAAGTCTCGCGTCTCCGAGTCGCTCTGCGAGAGGTCGCTGCACGAGCGAAAGCACGCACGTACGCACGCACGCGGAGAAAGACCCGACAAATTTATCCTTGGGGAGAATCAATCTTGGCGAGTGCCTACTAAACCAGCACGGAACACTGGCGGATGCACCCGCCGCCTCTGTTCCCCGCTGCGCAAACTCGCTGCGTTTGAGCCACCCGGCTGCTCCGCTCCTCCGGTGTTGTTCCCTCCACGTTTATAAAACGTGCGTTTAAGAGAATCCATACTCTTTGGTTCTTTCGGTAAAGTCACGTACGCACGAGTACACACGCGTACACACACACACGCGTACGCACGAGTACACACACACGTACACACGCGTACACACGAGTACACACGAGTACACACGTGTACACACGAGTACACACACGCGTACACACGAGTACACACGCGTACACACACGTGTACACACGCGTACACACACGTGTACACACACGTACACACACACACGTGTATACACGTGTACACACACACACACGTGTACACACGTGTACACACACACACGTGTACACACGTGTACACACACACACGTGTACACATGTGTACACACACACACACACGTGTACACACGTGTACACACACACACGTGTACACACGTGTACACACACACACGTGTACACACGTGTACACACACACACGTGTACACACGCGTACACACACACGTGTACACACACGAATACACACACGTGTACACCCACACACGTGTACACACGCGTACACACACACGTGTACACACACACACGAGTACACACGAGTACACACACACACACGTACACACGAGTACACACACATGCGTGTACACACACGCGTACACACACACACGCGTACACACACACACACGTACACACACACACGTGTACACACACACGAGTACACACACACGAGTACACACACACGTACACACGAGTACACACACGAGTACACACACGAGTACACACACGAGTACACACGTGTACACACACGTGTACACACACACACACGTACACACACGCGTACGCACACACACACGCGTAGACACACACGAGATGCCATCGCGACCTTCACAACCCCAAGCCCCGGGTGGAGCTCCATTCCCTGCCCTCTTAGCGGATGCTCATTTTAGGCCGAGGCGACCTAGAGGGAGGGGGGTGGGGGTTGGCGGTGGGTATGGGGGGGGTGGGGGGGTACGGGAGTTGGTGGGGGGGGGTGGAGGGGCTACAGGGGGGGTACAGGGGGGGTACAGGGGGAGGGGGACAGGGGGGGTACAGGGGGGGGTGTACGGGGGGGGCCTCGCCTGTAGAGGAGCTGCGGGTTGGGCAGCAGCTGCTCGAGGCGTGCCGAGTTGCGCAGGCGGAAGCTGAGCACGGCTGGGGAGGGGTTCCCCGAGAACACCTTGGTGATGCCCGAGGGGAACGAGATGGTGAGCTCCCCCGTGATCTTCACCATGCACCTGGCGTGGCACGCGGAAGGGGCGGGGGGGGGAGGAGAGTTACGATGATGGCGGTGATGGCGAGGATGATGGTAATGGTGAAGGTAATAACAACTGCTGCTGCTGCAGTGGTGAGAAAAGCGATCGTGACGGTGTGAAGGCAGAAGCGATGATGGTGGCGGTGGGATTGACAATCGTCGACGGAAGGATGGCAATGACGGCGGTGGGACGATTGCAGAAGTTATGACGATGGCGGCGATCGCGATGATGGCGACGATGGCGGCGGTGGCGACGACGATGGTGACGACGATGACGATGACGGTGACGACGATGTTGACGACGTTGACGATGGTGACGATGTTGATGTTGACGATGTTGACGATGTTGACGATGTTGACGAAGGTGACGATGTTGACGAAGGTGACGATGATGTTGACGACGTTGACGATGTTGACAACATTGACGATGGTGACGACAATGACGATGTTGACGACGATGGTGACGACAATGGCGACAATGTTGACGACGGTATTGACGAAGGCGACGATGTTGACGACGATGTTGACGACGATGTTGACGACGTTGACGCTACGCACTGCTCGGCGGCGCGGAAGTAGGCGTTGACGGTCTCGGTGAAGGCAGCGGCCACGGGCAGCGTGTCGTGGGCGCCGAGCGTGAGCGGGCTGGGGCCCCGGGACGCTCCTGCTCTCCGCCGCCACCGTCACCGCCACAACCAACAACCACCATCAACAACCGCCATCAACAACCGCCACCAGCAACCGCCACCAACACCACCACAATCAACAACCGCCACCAACAACAGCCACCAACAACCGCCACCAGCAACAGCCACCAACAACAGCCACCAACAACCGCCATCAACAACCACCACCAGCAACCGCCACCAACACCACCACAACCAACAACAGCCACCAACAACAGCCACCAACAACCGCCACCAACAACCGCCACCAACAACCGCCACCAACAACCGCCACCAACAACCGCCACCAACAACCGCCACCAACAACAGCCACCAACAACCGCCACCAACAACCGCCATCAACAACAGCCACCAACAACCGCCACCAACAACCGCCACCAACAACCGCCATCAACAACAACCGCCACCAACAACAACCGCCACCAACAACCGCCACGCCACACGATGATTCAGAGATCACAACCGACTCGTTGACGCTCACGATGCAGGCACGGGCAGCAATCGATTGTTTTCAATCCCAGAAAATGGCACGTGATCACCTCCATCCTTAGTGAATGGTGGGGATGAACGAGCAAGGCGGTACGCATCGCGCAGGCAGCAGAGATGAGACCGGCAGTACCGACGAGACGGATCGCACAGCTGAGATGGTCAGCGCAGCCGGGGCAGAGCGATGAGCAGACAGTACGGATATGGTACCAGACAAGACAGTACGAACAACACAGACGATATCAGAGAGAACAAGACAGCACCAACGGGACCATACATGACAAACAAGGCCGTACGTTTAATACGCAGTTACAAACGACACAGACCATGCCAACGAGACAGAACAAGCGAGGCTACACACACACACCACGCGCGCGTGCTATTGACGTAGATGGGGTGGGTCACCTAAAGCCATGCAGAGGTCAAGCGTCGAGACTCACGCACCCATGCATCGGGGTCGCTCCTGCCTAATGCCCCCTTTACACCCCCCCCCCCCCCGTGCGTGCCCTCCCCGCCCTGACACTTACCCTCAAAGGTGAAATAAAACTTCCCCCTGTCAAACCAAACCATCTTGAGCTGATCAAAGTCTGGCAGTGGAGATCAGGGAAAGGAGGAGAAGGTGGGGGTTAGGGGAGAATGTAGGTTCAGAGGTCAACATGGGTACGGGGCGGGTGAGAAGGTGGGGGTTAGGGGAGCGTGTAGGTTCAGAGGTCAACATGGGTACGGGGCGGGTGAGAAGGTGGGGGTTAGGGGAACGTGTCGGTTCAGAGGTCAACATGGGTACAGGGTGGGTCAGAAGGTGGGGGTTAGGGGAGCGTGTAGGTTCAAAGGTCAGCGGGGGTACGGGGCGGGGGAGGTGGGGGTTAGGGGAGCGTGTAGGTTCAGAGGTCAGCGGGGGTGTGTGGCGGAGGGGCGTGGGAGCAGAAGGGGCAAGAGGGCAGCAGAGTTCAAGGGGTCACGGGATTAGAGTCAGCAGCCGAAGGTCACGGAGAGAGAAAGGCTGTTCCGGCTGGCAGCGTCACGTCCCGATGAGTACGATTCATTAATCCATCACGGTAGCCGAGCACAGGAGTGTTGTCGTTTTGCGGGTAATTCCACGGAGCCAAATTACGCTCCGTGTAATTTGGCTCCGTGACGACGATTTAAATTCGCGCGGCAACGCGGTTGCTCTGCTCCGGTGTGATTTCGATTTCCCCGCTGCGTTTCTGTTTTATTCCTCTTTTTTGCCGATTTTCGGACATGGGGTCGACTCGCGCAGAATCAAAGAGCGTGCGCCGCCCTCGCGAGCTCTCCCCTCGTCACGCAAAAAAAAACTAAACCCCCCCCTCCCACTCCCACCCCACCTCGGGTACATCTGGGAGCCGCTGCGACCCTTCGTTTCAATGAGAACCACAACGTCGGCGGGACCCGGATCGCCTCTTATGCATCCCCACGGAACGAAACTCAAGCGCGTAGGCAGCGATCTCTGGGCCTTCCCTTCCATAGCACACAGACTGTGATATTCTTTGGGCCTTCTCTCACGTGTCACACGCACTGTGGGACTATCTGGGCCTTCTCTCACGTGGCACCCGCACTGTGGGACTATCTGGGCCTTCACTCACGTGGCACCCGCACTGTGGGACTCTCTGGGCCTTCTCTCACGTGACACCCGCACTGTGGGTCTCTCTGGGCCTTCTCTCACGTGACACCCGCACTGTGGGTCTCTCTGGGCCTTCACTCACGTGGCACCCGCACTGTGGGACTATCTGGGCCTCCCTTCCCATAGCACTCGGACTGTGGGACTCTCCGCCGGAGGCTCTCAGTCTGGTTCAGATGGGAAGGACAACAAACTAAACACCCCCCCCGCCAAGCCCTACCAGACGACACGCTGCTGCTGCTGCTCTGTTGACGGCAGGGCGTGGCCCGACCTCTACCGAGGTCGTCTTCTGATGAGGAGGCTTGTGTGTACGTGCGAGTGTGTGTACGTGGATGTGTGTGTACGTGCGAGCGTGTGTACGTGCGTGTATGTACGTGTGTGTGTGCGTGAGCGTGTGTACGTGCGTGTATGTACGTGCGTGTGTGCGTGAGCGTGTGTACGTGTGTCAACGTGCGAGCGTGCGTACGTGTGTGTGTGCGTGTACGTGCGTGTGTGCGTGTACGTGCGTGTGTGCGTACGTACGAGTGTATGTACGTGCATGTGTGTACGTGCGAGTATGTGGATACGCGGGTGTGCGCGAATGAGCGCGCGCGATTGCGTGGGTTCCCGCGCGTTCGTGCGCACGTGTATTTGCGCGTGTGAGGGCATGTATGCATGTCGCGCACAACGTGTGGTGAACATGCAAGTGGGATGTATGTGTGTGTGTTTGTGACAACATGCGTGTGTAAAAACCAAAGGGAGGGGGGGTAAAATTACAAAAAAAATTAGGTGGAGTCAAAACAAAATTGCGCACGCGATGTACGAAACGAGCCCGGGGTGAAAACAACATTACTCGGCGTTCAGCGTGTTTGCGTGCCGCTCAAAGTCACCTTCGTCACTTTCTCGGTCACGCCATCTGGTTGCATTCAGCCGCCCGTTAAAACTGAAGCCCTGCGAGTTTAGAGAGAATCCCTCAATATTTTAAACTAAAAAAAACACTTTATTTTTTACTTTTCCCAGGTAAGGCAGCACCCCGCGCTGTGGGATCTTTTTTTCAGAGCCGACCCATCACAAATGATAGCGCAACGAAGTGGCTTATCGCGTGGAAATTTATATCAACCCAATATTCTAAACGCATGGGGGGGGGGGGGGCAGAGGCGGTTAGCATGCTTGTGCTACATACTGTGCGAAAAAAGTTCAACATACATAAAACTATAAACTGTATTTTTTTTTATATTTTACCAGGTAAGGCCCACTGAGCCTATTTTTCAGAAGTGACCTGGCTATCATAAATGATAGCTCAACGAAGTGGTGTCTTTCCACCATGTGGACATTTATAAATGTTGAGGGAAAAACCAGAGAACCTGGAGAAAAAGCCACGCGACCACAGGGAGAACACGCAAACTCAAAATATACAGCAGGCGTTAGGGTCGGGATCGAACCCACGGCCTCCCGGTTACCGGTTGCTCGACAGGAGTAAAAAAAGAATCATCATTACGGTCGATACGCACAAGAGTCGTGGTACAAGAATAATAATAATAATAATGATCATCACAGCTTGAATAAGCGCCTTTCGTTAAAATATTCAATGGGCTTTGCATCAATGGCAATGGGGGTGGGGTTGAGTAGAAAGTGGGCGAGTGAAAAAAATGGGAAACGCCTTCTAAAGAGGGCAACGTCTTTCGGCGAAAAAGGCATTGAAGACCCCAAACCGAAACCGGACTCCCCCTTGTCAGCCCTTCGTCGGAGAGTTCCACGATGCAGGTGCACTGCGAAATCGAAGGCCCAGAGATCGTGGGGGCAGGAAGTGTGCCGGGTGGGAGCAGGAAGTGTGCCGGGTGACAGCAGGATGTGCGTGTGTGCGTCTTCACATGTGAGTCGTCACGTGGTCAATAAGCGATCACATGGCCTCGCTGTTATTGCAGAGGTTCGAGTCCAGCGGCCGCCCTGATTATTACTGCGGTACTCACCGTGATACCGTACAACGCGCAGTCTGCGGCACTCACAGATCCCGTGACGTCATTCGCGAAGAGGAGGCCCGCCGTCGTGCGTGCCGACGTCACGATCAAAACTTGCCAAATTTGAAACTTGCCCCTAAGAACTCAGCTGCAATTGCAGTATTGTCTCTTTAGCAATTAGTACCCTCTATTGGCAGATCAATGTGACAGGGTGAAGGAGCGAGTGGGCGGGCGTGCGGGTGTGTGGGCGTGTGGGCGCGTGTGTAGGTGTATCGGCGTGTGGGCGCGTGGTCTCACCGACGGTGGGAGTGGTGGCGTTGCTGGCAGACGCGTTGGAGGAGATGGATGAGGTGCTTTCGGCCCTGGCGAGGGGTGCGAGCCCAGGGGGGGGGCTGAACGGGCGCTGCTCGCAAACACAACAGACAAAGATCCTCCGTATGACCTGAACAGACTGTTGGGGCAAGTGCTGTGAGTGGAGCAGCACCTACGAAGGCCGGTATGGCACACGAGCGGGGCGGGTGGCCAGCACCACGCTCGACCGCCTTTGTCTCCCGAGTGGCGATCTTTACACATTGCACCAGGTACTCATTTGAGGCCGAGTCGACCGGTTCAGAAAATCGTCATCGGCGTTGGCCGTGAGCGGGAAAAGAACTCGGGTCGCCGGGTTAGTAGCGCAACCCGCTCCTCATACGCACGCACAGTACATATGTAGTGACATAGGACGTCACTACTGTGTCGCCCCGTACGTGGGCTAGGGGCCCCAAGGGGGAGCCTGGGGGGTCACGTGGTAGAGGACCCGAACCTTCCCAGAGGTGGGGGAAGGGAGGCGTGGCCTGGGTGGAGCCGGCCACGCCAGAGCGGATATAAGCGGGGTGTGAACGCAGAGCGGGGCTGTTCAACCCCGAAGTGAAGACGACATCATCGGTCCTCAAGCCCCGGGTCGTCGTCCTGGACCAGGCAGCCCGTCGCCTGCCTGGTCCACTCTGTGTCGTGTTCCAGAGTGTTAGTGAGTTGAGGAAGGTGGTCACCACCTCATGTACAGTGTTATATTACTTACCATTCTAATAAATGGTGTTGCCTCCAAGCTGTGTGTGTGTGCACCTAGTTCGAACCCACTACACATACGTACACACAATCTCTAACACTGTCGCCTGTTATATATATTTTGTCCCACAGTGGTGTTGGCGAACGTGTTGAGTTCGGGGTTACGTTCTGCCCGGTTACCTTCTGAATGTCAGAGTAGAGCTTTGTGGGCGGGATCTTCTGCCTGATTGACAGGGGGAGGGGCGAGGCCGGAGCGGAGTCCGCCATTGTGGGCGGAGCCACGGGAGACTGCACCACGATCTGGGGCTCTATGCACACGCACAGACATACACACGCGTTTACATACACACACATTTACATACACACGTACACACGCGCACAGACATACACACGCGTTTACATACACACGTACACACAGGCATATACAAACACACACGTTTACATACACACGTACACACACGCACAGACATACACACGCATTTACATACACACACATTTACATACACACGTACACACACGCATTTACATACACACGTGTTTACATACACACGTACACACAGGCATATACAAACACATGCGTTTACATACACACGTACACACAGGCATATACAAACACGCGCGTTTACATACACACGCGTATACTTAGACCCGCGTATACATATGTAATGATATGATGACACCTGCTGGTTAGAAAAGGGAAGCACGGCTACAGGCACCGCTGAAACAACATCCAATCTGGGCCAAAGGTAATGGGCGGGGGGGCTGGCCGGGATGCTCCGGGAACCCGCGCGAAGGTTCCATGTTGACTACCTCACCTGCAGACCAGGTGAGGTAGACTACCTCACCTGCAGACCAGGTGAGGTAGTCAACATCCCCTAGCCATCGTGCCACCCCTCTCCCTCCCTCTCTCTCTCTCTCTCGAGCTCCGTCTAGTGGAGGACCTTCTGCCAGCAGTGGCATGAGCAGCCAATCGCAGAGCTGCTGCTCCTTCACCCCTCACTCCCAACTCATTCCTCCGTTGGCAAACTTGGCCCAGCAGCTGCGTGCACGCGCGGCCCACCGGCGGGCGTGGCCTCCGAGTCTCTCGTGGGCCCGCCCGGCTCTGCCGCCAGCGCCGGCTCTGCCGCCGCCGTTCCCTCCGCGCCGGCGGCCTCCCCGGGCGGCCGCGGTGATGCCGCTGCGGCCGTCGGGCCCTCGGGGTTCGTGGCGACGCCGCCCGCCGCCGGGGGTGTCTCCGCCTTGCCCTCCGGCTCGCTGGGTGACGCGCAAGGCTCCACCGTTGCCGTCCGCTGGGCCTCGTCGGGGGACGGGGGTTTGTCCGGGGCACCTGGTCGGGGGGGGGGGGGGGGGGGGGCAGAAAATAAAAAAAAGAGACAGATTCCCCACCTCCCCCGATAGCGTCGAAACACTCTCGGGGCAAGTGCCGTTTGGCGAGGCCGGCACGGCACACGAGGGGGGTGGGTGGCGCATGACGATGTTAGAATTGCAACATAAATCTTCCCCGCAGCTTAAGAATAAAAAAGCGGGACACAGATTATTGGTGCATATGCACGTGAGGGCCATCGTATTCACTGCGGACCCTTTCACGCTCCGAGACGTCTGCAAGTTGCAGGGTGTCCAGTTCACCGCTGAATCTCGGAACGCGCGAGCGGTTCAACCTTAATTTTATTCAGGCCTAGCGCCGTTATTTTTCAAGACATTGCACTCACCGCAGAAAACCGCACTCTACGATAGCTGGCACCAAACTGTGCCACACGCCCTCCCGCATGGCCTTGCGGGAGCCTCAGCACCTGAAGACGTACCGATACAATTATTTTACGTCAGGTCTTCACCGATTCCGTTCCGACGACGTACACGTGCGTCATGGGAATGGAAGAGGGTGAATAAAAGCAGGTTTCTCGCAGCGGCTTCTGGCTGCCCATCGAACAAAGATGGTCACCGCATCGCGCACATTCCGATTCGCTTCTGCGGCCGTCTGGAACGCTCTTCCTTCCGATATTAGGAAGCCACTGGAGCTGTGCACTTTTAAGTTGTCTAGAATGAAAACTAATTTCTTCAAAACAGCTTTTTTGCTTAGTTTGTCGTCCTTCTCTCGCACCTCCGATAAGCACGGTTGGCTACGTACGGCGCGAAAGGAGTTCAACACACACCGTACGTACAAAGACTTTTGTCAACGGGACGGGCGACGGCGGCGGACAGGAAAGACTACCGATGGAGTGGCAGCCAAAGAACAGAACGCGCCCGAGAGCGAGTCCACCGCAGACGGAGCGTCACCACGTTCGTCACCTCCGTCGGTCTCCGTCGGCGTCTCGCTCGACCTCGTCGGCGCCTCGTCCCCGCCGAGGGAGGGCGCCCCTCCCCCTGCCGCCGTGATGACGGGGGCCTCCTGGGGGCCGCCGCCCCCCACCGCCACGGGAGACGCGGGGGGGCCTTCATCCTCGGGGGGCCCCCCGTCCGGCAGCGGCGGCGGCGTCGATGCCGGCGGCCGGGGAGGGGACCCCAGCTGCGGGGGCGTTTGTGGGCTGGCCGTGCCCTCCGGGGGGGCTTGCGGAGGTCTGGCCCCCCAAATATCAGACTGGCTGTTGCCAGCTTCATCAGACAACAGGTGGACACAGGGAGGGGGTGGTGGAGGGGGGGGGGGTCACAAGACAAAAGACAATAATACACTGCAGGTGTCCCTCGCTTTACGCAGGCGAACAGGGCAAAATCGCGTAGCACGGAGGGAATCAGCCACCCAACCCACGAGACGGCCGCCTGCCGAGTAGCGCGTACACTACAAAGACAAAGCTGTCCCACGCCAGGATTTAAACTGTGTAGCGTAGCGAATTTTTGGGTAGGAATTAGGCAAGCCGCATATTGCCAGCGTGAAATCGCACAAACCGAACCCGCATAGAGCGGCGGAAACCTGTACAACAGAGATGCTGCTGTGGTCGCGCCCACTGGACTGGCAGTCCATAGGCGCATAAATAATGGCCTTCATCACTATAGGAATGGAACGAAGCCAAGCGGACGTGGACCTAGAGAGATGGAGTGACAAAATCATCAGGTGCGCAGGTGCCCGGTGGATCGCTCCATCGCAGAGTCGTGAGCGGCGGCGATGGCCTGGGGAGGCCTTCATATCCGGCAGCGGGTCGAGCGTGGCCGGCGACGGACGGCGTGTTTGGTGCGGTGCGCTCGCAGTGCTCGTCGTCACAAACCTTCCGTCGCGAAGGCTTGCGGGATCGCCTCCAGGGGCGGCCCGAACAGCGGGTCCGACGGGAAGAGCTGATTGGCCGTCACCGCGGCGACGCTGCGGCAACAGCATCGCGGGACGGAAGGGAGGGCCCAGCAGCGTGGGGGGGGGGGGGGGGCAGGCATAAGACGCGGAGGATGTAAACGTCGATTTAAAGCTTTCGTGACTGCAGGGATTCATCTTCTTGGTTCTTTCGGTAAAGTCACGTAGAATGGAAATAATAAAATAATAAAAATAAAACAATAAAACTAATAAAATAATTCTCACGACGTTTCGGCCACAACGCAAGCAGCCATCCTCAGGTGGAGAACAGGTCTGTCGAGAAGACGGAGTCTGAATGACACACCCCAGGCTTGTAGCGACTATTTAAGCTGGGATGGATGGGGGGGAAGAGCGCCTTGACAAAAGAATTTGTAAACGTCAACAAGAGCGAGACCGACGACGGGGCCCTGTCTAGGCGCTTGTTGTGGCGAGCGTCTCTGGGAGCGGCCGCGTTGCGTCGAGGAGGCCGTCCTGGCGGGACTCCCGACGCGAGAGCTGTCCGAGCGCGCGGCCTCGTCGCTTGTGACGGCGCGGCGACGGCGCTCCGCTGTTGAGGAGGTTCGCGGTTCGACTCGGGCGGCCGCCCTGGTTATCACCGCGGTGGTGTGTATTAGCCGTAACGCGCGGCCGCCTGATTCGCGTTAAAAAGATCCCGTGATGTCCCTTTTTTCCGCATGTTCCCCACCCCCCCTCCCTCCCTAAATGAAGACCACGTCAAAGATCGTTGCCCTACGTGAGTAGTGCGGTAGTGAGACCAACCACCTTTCCTATTCCTTATTTTACCAGGCAAGGTCCCATTGAGCCACACAACCCCGTTGCAAGTGGGGGATGCTGGTCTTGGTTTCAAAAACTAGTAAACCATTTTTGAAAACTACTATTAAACTATTTTAATTTTACCAGGTAAGGCCCATTGAGCCACACCCACCCCGTTGCAAGTGGGGGATGCTGGTCTTGGATTCAAAAACTATTAAACCATTTTTTTTAAACTACTATTAAACTACTTTAATTTTACCAGGTAAGGCCCATTGGAGCTATGTAGATCCGTTTCAGACGCGACCTGGCCATCGCAAATGATAGCTTAACGAAGTGGCTTATCGTCGTCACGTGGATATTTATAGCAGCCAAACACCTCAACGCGTGACGTCGATTCTATACGTGGAGGGAAAAACCGAAGGACCCGGAGAAAAATCCACTCCACTATGGGGAGAGAGACAGACGGACATACAAATTCCGAATATACAGCAGGCATAAAACCAACTGCCTCCTGCATACCAGGCGAGGTATTTAACATCTCGAATCTGCCCTCGGTTTTATTTGTTTGTTGGGATGCCTGTAACTCACCCTCCCCGTCGCTCTCGCGTTTTATACCAGGCCATTGTTTCATAATAAAAAATATATATATATCCTGCCAAGTAATTCGCAAGAGTCTGCCTGTTTGGAAAATCACACCGCAAATTACGGAGAAATGCGATTGCACATGGCAATCATGGGCCGCCCTTACTCTGAAAAAACACTTGGCAGGAGGACAGTTCTGCGAGGCTCTCTCCTGGGTGATGAGGCAAAAGAAACATACTCTTAGTTCTTTCGGTAAAGTCACGTAGGAAAAAAATGAAATAAAAATAAAACAAGAAAAATCACGACGTTTCGGAGGCAACACAAGCTTCCGTCTTCAGGTGAAACTGTCACAGCAAAATATATAGTGGTTAAGGGGGTGATTTTTATTGTTTTATTTTTATAAATTTTAATTTCATTTTTTTTCTACGTGACTTTACCGAAATAACTAAGAGTATGAATCCTTGCAGTCACGAAAGCTTCAAATCTAGAAGCAAAAGAAACAGTTTAACGCGCGGTAGGAGAGGCTTGCGCAACCAATATATATGAAAATGTTTTTTTTGTTTGGGTTCGATCACGTAAATACAATTGTCGCGTTAAACCTGCCACCCACCCGACACAGCCAATTTGTAAGGTTTGTCCCGGAAAGAAGAACGTGAGTACGAAACGTTAGGGTACTCTAATTGTAAATGTTGTAGTGGGTTTACTCTCCAACACAACCGGTTCGTGCTGAAGTAGTAACTACCGTAGTTGGCACGTACTGTTCCAGTGACAAACTTTACGAATTGGCTGTGTCGGGTGGTGGCGGGAAAAATGACACATTTAGATTTACGCGCTCTAACCCAAAAAACCTTTATGAATAGGCAAAATAAGAATAATAGCGTAAGCCCTGATTTAAAGCTTTCGTAACCGCAGGGATTAATATTCTTGGTTCTTTCGGTAAAGTCACATAGAAGGGAAATAATAAAATAATAAAAATAAAACATAATAAAATAATTCTCACGTTTCGGCCACAACGCAAGCAGCCGTCCTCAGGTGAAGAACAGGGCTGTCGGAAAGACAGCGTCTGAATCGTTGTGGCCGAAACGTCGTGAGAATAATTTTTTAGTTTTATTTTCATTATTTTATTATTTCCCTTCTACGTGACTTTACCGAAAGAACCAAGAATATAAGGTAAGCCCTGTTACCAATCCACTGCTGGATGATGGCCTCCCCATAGCGTGCGAGTCAGCCATGGGGGTTGTTCGACCATACTTCACCATGCTGGTCAGTCAGTGCCGGTTGGTGGAGTTCCTCTCAAAAGTCGGGAGCGGTGGCGTTGCGGTTAGCGCTACGCTGCGCTACGAACCCGGAAACCCGAGTTTGATTCCCGCTCACGGCCAACACCGGTGACGATTATCTGAAAACCGGTCCTGGGCCTCCCCTAGGTCGACTCAGCCTCAAATGAGTACCTGCTGCGGTGTAAACATCGACACTGGGAAGACAAAGGTGTGCCGTGCCGGCCTTCATAGGTGCTCGCTAACAGCACTTGCCCCAGCAGTCTGCTAAGGCTACACGGGGGATCTTTATCTTTGTTTGTGGTGTTCCTCTCAAATGTGAGAGCTTTACGCAACTGCGTGGGCCGTTTTTTGTCGCGACTTCCCCATTTTAACGCAGACGTTGATCTTGCGTCATTGCCCTTTCTCCACGCGAACCGACCCAACTCATCCTGCTCACGCGATTGGCCCCCCGCCGAATCACGTGACTTCGCGCGAAATAAGAACGAGCGACGAGGTCAACCGTAAACACGCGCGTGCGGCACGCGCGTTCTATTATTTGTTCTTGAAATATTTCTCCGGCCTCTTTACCCCCCCCCAAAAAACACGACGAAATCGTGCCGTAAAGCGAAAAACGTTGGACTCTGTGCCGAACGACAAGGCGGCGCGGTCCGGCAACGCGTCGGAGAGCCGTACGGCACAAGGACTTTTCCAACCGCCGATTCGGTCGACGCTGCCGCGGCGTAACAGCCGGCAAGCCGGACCAGCGACCCAGAAGTCGCCGGTGTGATTCCACGTTTCCGATGCGGCACGGCGGTCGATGGAACGGCGGCGCAAGATTTCTAAAATCCCCTCCGCCTCTGTCCACCCGGCAGCGTCAATTAGTGCCCAGTTAGCCTGCGATCGGGCGGCAGGCGACGTGCGGCGGTGGGCTAAAGTGTGACGATTCCTAAACTATAAAGATTTTTTTTATTTTACCAGGGTAAGGCCCACTGAGCAGCTATATAGCTCTTTTTCAAAAGCGACTTGGCCACAAATTAGAGCTCAATGAAGTGGCTCGTCACGTGGAAATTTATAGCAGCCAAATACTCTAAATACATGTTTCAAAATTTGAAGAAAAAAACGGAAATCCACACGACCACAGGGAGAGAGAGAGACACTCAAACTCCAAATATACAGCAGGCGTCAGGGTTGGGATCGAACCCACGACCTCCTGCATACCAGACGCGGTGCGCTGCCACGTCTGGTCGACAACATGCGTACGGTACGACCGGACGATAATGCGCCGGAGAGCGGCCGCGCAGAGGCGCAGGCGAGAGAGAGAGTCACTTACGCGAGCGGCGGTGGGGTGGGCGTGGAGCGCCTCTGCCTCACGATGTCTTCGTCTGCGAATGAAACACGCACGCGTGCGCGAGAGAGGAATCCGTCTCGTCAAAGCAGCCGGCTGGTAGCGTAGGCACGTGCGTATGTGTGCTGAACTTCTTTCGCACCATACGTAGGCGACCGCGCTCAACGGAGGTGCGGGGGGGGGGGTCAACTAAACACAAAAAGTGGTTCTAAGGAAATTAGTTTTCTATCGAGATTTAAAAGTGCATAAGCTCCAGTGGCTTCCTAATATCGGAAGCAAGCGCGTTCCAGACGGCCGCGGGAAGCACATCTGAAAGCGCGCGACGCGGTGATCGTCTTTGTTCGAAGGCTTGCCAAAAGCCGCTGCGAGGATGACCCGAATGTGCGTGGCGTTTCATGCTTCTCGACGACATCAGCAAGGTATTTTGGTTCATACGTGGCGAGCACTGTGTGTGCAACGAGTGCCACCGTATAACGGATTCGTTCGGCGACCAGCAGCCATTGCAGCTCAGCGAGCACTGGATGGACACGGTTGTAATGTGGCCAATCCAAAGCTCCCCCGTATAGCCTCGAAGAGACTGGGGCAAGTGCAAGTAACGAGTAGCAGCGCCTTGTCAATCCACTGCTGGATGAGGGCCTCGCGATGCTGTGTTGGTCACGGGGGCTGTTGGACCATACTTCACCACGCTGGTCAGTGTGGGTTGGTGAAGGGGGGGTGTGGGTGGGTGGGTCGGTGATCGCCAGGAAGGGTTCAGATTGCCACTCGCTACGGTTGTGATAACCACTGCAGGGAATCGAACTCAGGGTGGCGTATCAACACCACAGTGTGGCGTGTCAACACCACGGCACAGCGCGTGTGAGAAACACGCGTGGAAGGATTTGACGGGTGAATTCAAGTGTGAAATCCAATTTTAGTGAACGTGAAAACTTACTGTGCGCTGCCCCTTTCTTGAGTGCAATCTGCAAAGAGAATTAACACACGTTTAGGAATTCAACAAAAACTAGTTAAACTACACTAATTCTAGACTTGAAGCTTTCGTGACTGCAAGGAATCATATTCTTAGGTGTTTTCGGTAAAGTCACGTAGGTAAAACATCAAAATTAATAAAATAATAAAATAAAGATCACGACGTTTCGGAGGCAACACAAGTCTCCGTCATCAGGTGGGACCGTCACAGCCAGATTAGCTGCATCAAGTGAGGCAATGATTCAAGATGTAATCCCTTAAAAGCGAGTTGAGGGGGGAGGAGAGGGGGGGGGGGCTCATCAGAATGTGGTAGCCAATGAATGGAAAGTATCATATTCATTGGCTACCACATTCTGATGAGCCCCCCCCCCCCTCTCCTCCCCCCTTCAACTTGCTTATAAGGGATTACATCTTGAATCATTGCCTCACTTGATGCAGCTAATCTGGCTGTGACTGTCCCACCTGATGACGGAGACTTGTGTTGCCTCCGAAACGTCGTGATCTTTATTTTATTTTGTTATTTTATTAATTTTGATGTTTTACCTACGTGACTTTACCGAAAACACCTAAGAATATAAACTACACTATTTTGATTTTACCAGCTCAGGCCCACTGGGCTATATAGATCTTTTCAGAAGCAACCTGGCTATCAACAAATGATAGCTCAACGAAGTCGCTCATCATCAAGTGGACATTTACAGCAGCCAAAGACTCTCAACGCGTGGCGTTGATTCTAAATGCGGAGGGAAAAACCGGAAGACCTGGAGAAAATTCCACGCGACCACGGGGAGAGAGAGAGACACGCAAACTCCAAATATACAGCAGCAGGCGTCAGGGTCAGGATCGAACTTACGACCTCCTGCGTACCAGGCGAGGTAATCATCATCTCGCCATACAGACCGAGGCTTCTTAAGTATGGACACACAAGTACAACAACAAGAAGAATCATTGCTGACCTGCCCATACTGGACATGTGTGAAAAGAGCTTCATAGCTCATCGGATTCCTCCAGCCTAAATACAAATTCTGATTCTGAACGTTTTAAACTTGTATATCCACACCGCCACCGCACAATACTATATACTCATTCGCTCGATGTCAAACGGAGAGAGAGAGAGGATGGCTCAGAGGTGTGAGGAGAACGCCCAGACGGGCGGGGAAAACACCAGCCAGGCTAAAGTCACGTAGAAGGGAAATAATAAAATAATAAAAATAAAACAATTAAATAATTCTCACGACGTTTCGGCAACAACGCAAGCAGCGGTCCTCAGGTGAAGAACAGGTCTGTCGGAAAGACAGCGTCTGAATCGTTGTGGCCGAAACGTCGTGAGAATTATTTTATTATGTTTTATTTTTATTATTTTATTATTTCCCTTCTACGTGACTTTACCGAAAGAACCAAGAAGATGAATCCCTGCAGTCACGAAAGCTTTAAATCGAAACCAGCCAGGCTGTGAACCAGCACCAACAATTTCCCAAGCTCTGCTGTCCTCTATATACCAAGGTGTTTATCGGACAATGAATGAGTGTTCATAAATCACAATTGATGTCAGTGAACTACATCGTGGGCGAGCCTATGATCTTCTTCGTCTTTCGTACGGCGGCTGATGGAGATGCAGAACAACGACTACAATTTCACATTCAGGTGGCCAAGCCCAGATAACAGTGTTAGCAGTAGCGGAGTGGTATCGCTGTGATGTCGCCTTCGTATTTGTAGATGGGGCCATTGCGTCGTTATACGTTGTATGGCCTGTTCTGGATGGCCATAGTCGCACACTATTACTGGAGATTAAAACAAAATTCCATTTGTGCATCTACTGCCACGGTTTGTGCAGTGGAGGCGGTCATGAGCTTCGTGGCAGATCAAACCCAGGGACCAGCCTGTATGATAACCTCGGTCTCCATATCTAACGAACTGGCCTCTCTATTGACGTGCTATGAAAAAGGACCATTGCCCAAAACGTCGACTTTTATTTATTTATTTTCCATGAAAGGCCACACAGTGTGACCGAGGGACGTGTTGAGACTGCTGTACGACGACAGGATGTTTCGCGATTGCACCAATTCAATTTGTCGATCCGCGTGGATTCTTGTGCTCGCTATACATGCAATAGAATTGCACGCGTAAGAATCTTAACTTTTTAAAATTGAATGCAAAGTACATGCTAACGTTACGTGATGGAATTATGGCATCAACGAGGGTGCCACTGTGCCAAGATGTTAACTACCTCGTCTGGCATACAGTGGGTTGTGGGTTCGATCCCAACCCCGACTCCTGTATATTTGGAGTTTGTGTGTCTCTCTCTCCCCGTGATCGCGTGGATTTTTCTCCGGGTCTTCCTATTTTTCCCTCCACATTTAGAAGCATGCATTTAGAGTAATTGGCTGTTACCGATTTCCACGCGATAAGCCACTTCGTTGAGCTATCATTTGTGGCCAGGTCGCTTCTGAAAAAGAGCTGTAGAGCTTAGCGGGCCTTAGCTGGTAATATATGAATATTTTAGTATGTAACAAAGACAAAGATTCCCCTGTGGTCGTACAGACTGTCGGGGCAAGTGCTGATTCGCGAACACCTATCAAAGCCGGCACGGCACACGAGGGGGTTGGTGGCCAACACCACGCCTTTGTCTCCACAGTGGCGATGTTTACACGCCAAACCAGCCACTCATTTGAGGCCGAGTCGACCTAGGGGAGGCCCATGACTGGTTTCAGATTATTGTCACCGGTGTGTGGTGGCGGACACGCCAAGCTCGACCACCTTTGTCTCCCCAGTGCCGTTGTTCATAGACCCCGACCAGGTTGCCAATTAAGGCTAGGTGGACATAGGGGAAGCACAGTCGTTTAGCAGTACAGTAGTTTATTTTTAAATCTTTTATATTAAGTTCGCTTGCTTGCTTGCTTGCGTGCTTGCTTGCTTGCTTACGAGCGTGCAAACATTTCGGTCGTTTTGTAACCCACGTCCCGTGATCCAATCGAGCTGACATTTTGCACACAGACTCGTTGTGCGTGACAATTAATGTTCGTGAAAAAAAAAATTCCAAAATTTTACACTGTTTAGGGAAAACAAATTAAATATTTAATTACCTATTGTTTAATACTGCAGACAATCATCTGACCCATAGGTGGCAGCCATCTCAAGCCAGAGGACGAGAGGACTCTAGCCGCCACGCATATAAAGGATTTAGAGTGAAAAACTTTGTTTTTACGGGTTATACTTATTAATTACCCTGTGAGCCAAGCTCCTAAATCACCAAAAAAAACAACACCCATTCAAATATCACGTGCCTCCGACGTTAGCCGTCGCTGTAAATCGAACCCAGCTCGTGGGGGTTCCGATGGTGGCGCGCTAACCACTGTGCCACCACTCCCCACATACTGCAGTTAAATATGCACTTACGATAAAGATGCCGTGTATCGTCTTTACAGACTCTGTTGGGCAAGTGCTGCGAGCTAGCAGCAGAACCCATGAAGGCCGACACGGCACACGAGGGGGGGGGGTAAGGGGGTTGCCAGCACCAAGCTCGGCACCATACACGCAGACACACACGCAAGCAGCACACACACGCGTATACACACACACACGCGCGCGAACAAACTCACCGGGTTGCGCCTCTGTGTTTAGACAACGAGCAACATAGAACGAACAGAAAACGGAGCGTCATTATTCACCCAGCTCACGGCGGCATAGCATTTACCCACAATGCACCGAGGCAGCCGTGCAATTATCGTGTATTTTGCTTGTTTAACGGTGTTGCTGGATGGCGGGGTGGCTCAGAGGTCAGAGTTCAGAGAGCTGCCTGTGATTAAACCGGCTTCTTGAGCAGACAGCTGATGGTCTCAACCCGGCCACAAAATAACCCGGTCCCCCCCCCCCCCCCCTTAAATCTGGCTCGGCGCCTGATTTGACGACGATTTCAGATCCGAGAATGAAAGATCTCGGCTTGAACGTCACGCGGCAATCACGTAACTCTCGGCGGCAGAGCGAGTGTGAAAATTATCGTCGCTTGCGGCGTAGAACAGACTTCGCTGGAAGGGATCGCAGAGGCAGTTTTGTGATATCCATTTCTTCTGTGGCCCCGTTTTCCAACAACGAAGGGGTTTTACATCGCTCCGCGGGGAGCTCCCAATGGATTCTCCGTCTCATGTGACACGGGAAAACGCGCGAATGACGAACGTTTGTGCAAGAGTTTGACCCATCACATGAACCCCTTTGGCATTCATATGACAGGTCACACCAGTGCTGATGGGTTTTAAAAGCCAAGTCACAACTTGCACAGCGCTCGTGACTCGAGGAGTTTCTGTACCTCCTTCCCTACGTCGCGGTTTGTGCTCCGTACCAGGCTCCTATTGAAACATAATAAAAACATGAAGTCACTTCGGGCTTCTGCTGTGGGTCACGGACTAGCGCACGCCCGCGATCCACGCTTCGGAGGCGAGCGAAATCCACCCGCAGCGTGAGGGCACCCACGCTGCTGGCTCGGCTCGGATACGCCAGTGGAAAAGGATCATTAGCAACAAGTCGGTCCAGCCCTGTCACGTCACCGTTAACCCAGCACAGCCCTAGCCCCCACCCCCTACCCACCCCCCATAGCCCCCACCCCCTACCCACCCCCCTAGCCCTCACCCCCTACCAACCCCCCTAGCCCCCACTTCCATGCCCCCCCTAGCCCCCACCCCCGGGCTTACCGGACTTCTCCTCTGTGGCAGCACGAGAGACAAAAACAAAGTCGCACTTAAAATCGCGGTTATACAGATCCCTGACCCGGTGAACCCACCAGCACTCCCGCGTGGCATCAACGTGCACCTAGCCTGGCACAAGTGCCATGATGCAGTCACCGCCACTTAGTGCAAACTGACAGATGTTTGCTGTGGGAGCGTGCTTGCGTGCGTGCGTATCCCGCGCGACAGCGTGTGTGTGTGTGTATCCGGCGTGACAGCGTGCGCGCGTGCGTTGGCTCACGGCAGGCGACGGCGGCAGGGCGATGTTGCAGATGGACGCCCTCAGCTCCTGCGCTGCCGCCGTGGGGTCCGGGCCCCCCACCGCCTCCTCGGGGGGCTTGATCTCCACGTAGAGCCGTCTCCTACGGCGGCGGCCACCGCCCCCCCCGCCGCCGTCGCCGCCGCCACCGCCGCCCCCGCCGGCCTTGCCCCCCCTGGCCTCCTCCTCCGAGTCGCTCGACGAGTAGAAGCAGTTCGTCTTGGGGTGTGCCGTGGCCGTCAAGGTGGGAACCGCGCGGTTCGATCGGAATCAAATGAATTGTTTGTCACCGGGGGAGGAGTGCCATGAGCTACGAAACTTTCCGCTCGGGGTCACGGGGTCAGAACGTCACAACAAATAATACGATAGGAGTGCAAAGTCTATCAAAAGGTAAACAAATCATTCTAGATTTCAAGTTTTCGTGACTGCAAGGATTCATACTCTTTGGTTTCTTTGGTAAAGTCACGTAGGTAAAAAATAAAATAAATGAAAACTAAATAAAATCACGACGTTTCGGGCACAACCCAAGCGTCCTTCCTCAGGTAAGAACAACGTAGCGAAAGCACAACACATCACCTTAATAAAATATATACACACGAATACAACTAAACTATTATTTTATCTTACCAGGTAAAGCCCACCGAGCAATTAGCTCATCATTCACAAGCGACCTGGCCAAACACGGCCGCTCATTGAAAGCGAGGGAGATAAACCACGCACCCTCTTTGGTGGCTTGCTCTTCCTTCCGCTATTAGGAAGCCGCTGGAGCTATGCACTTTTAAATCATCTACATCGACAAACTCATTTCTGTAGTACTCTCAGGTTCTTTCGGTAAAGTCACGTAGGTAAAATAATAATAATAAATTTCGATTTAAAGCTTTCGTGACTGCAGGGATTCATCTTCTTGGTTCTTTCGGTAAAGTCACGTAGAAGGGAAGTAATAAAATAATCTAAATAAAACATAATAAAATACAATTCTCACGACGTTTCGGCCACAGGTCTGTCGGAAAGACAGCGTCTGAAGAAACAGACCTGTTCTCCACCTGAGGACGGCTGCTTGCGTTGTGGCCGAAACGTCGTGAGAATAATTTTATTATGTTTTATTTTTATTATTTTATTACTTCCCTTCTACGTGACTTTACCGAAAGAACCAAGAAGAATAATAATAAAATAAAATAATAATACATGAAAAAACTAAATTAAATCACGACGTTTCGGAAGCAACACAAGCCTCCGTCATCAGGTGTAACTGCTCCAGTAAAATGACTGTAGCGTGTGCAGAGAGCTATTCAAGACACGTGTTTTTTTTATATCGGGTGCTGGGCAGGGAGGAGCCAATGAGTCGGGGGGGGGGGGGGAATGTCGTGATTTAAATTAGTTTTTTTCATTTATGATTATTTTATTTTATTATTTTTTCATCGACGTGACTTTACCGAAAGAACCTAAGAGTATGAATCCTTGCATTCACGAAAGCTTCAAATCTAGAAACATTTCTGTAGAACCGCTTTTCATGCCGAGTTGTCCTTCGCCCGCACCTCCGACTATGTACGTACCTTCAACTTCTTTCGCACCGTACGTAGCCGACCGTTGCTCATCGGAGGTGCGGGGGGAGGACAGAAAACGAAACACGAAAACATTCATCGCCGTGAGAGGATCCTCTTCCCTGCCTGTAACGTCTGGTTCAGGCGACTGCGCTGACGAGGAGTGTAGAAACGGGTCCAAGATTTGCCTGCATTGAATGCACACCGTGTCAACCCACACGCTTTACCCCGTATTCTTGTACAGGGAAAGTGAGTTTTCAGGTCCATACGGCATACAGCCGTTTCAATACGGGCACATTTTAAAAAAAAATATTTCTTTGTGTTTCTCCCTTGTGATGGAACTTTGGAGGATGAACGCTGATATTTATAAGGGCACGGGGTGATCAGTAAGTTCTGAATTGGTCTGTAATAAGGTAGGGCACTGATAAGGGTTTGACAGGTATGCGAATGAATGCTGCTAAAATTGCGCCCTCCCAGAACGGCCGTGCGTCGGGCCGATGGGGCTGCGTCATTTGTTTGTCTACACGCAGAGACGGATTTGTGAAGGAGCTTCTCATTGATCGACTTCATCGCCGCGCTACGAGGTTTTCTCGCGCAACGAGCCGAGACGATCAACTCGCCGCGCCTTGTGAGAGCGCGGCTGAACGACGGGGGCGTGCGGGAAGGATATCGTTCAGCTCAATCTCCGGGCGGATGCTGTAGCCTTCATCGTCCACCTCCGGGGTCGTCTGCGGAGGAGGAGGACACAGGGGAGACGACACCAGTCAGCCCTGGACGAGGCCATTACAGGGGCGCTTCAAAAATAGTTTTTAATACTTTCTGAGAATTTGCAAAAATTACACAATAAATGTGGAAACCACCTGGAATGCATTTACAACGATGGCAAACAATTAGAGTCTCTCGGACTTTTTGAAGCTATTAACGTACATTTGCTATCATGTTACAGTGTATTTATCCGTTCTTTTCCCATTAAAAACGATAATCCCATTTAAGTGTTCACATGTTTTTGAAGCGCCCTGTATATCGTAATCTCTCCCCCCCCTCCCTCTGTGATTCTGTCAAAGTTGGTTCAGCTCCAATGATCCCCCCACCCGACCCCAACAATGCAGTCACATTGGAGATGGTTCAGCATGGTTTCACGAGTGATTGTCTAACCCAGACGATTCATCACCCCCCCCCCCCCGTGGATCCATGAGATGGTTGAGCCCAAGTATCTCCACTCCCCCCCGTGGTTCCATGAGAGATGGTCCAACCCATGTGTACCCCTCCACGATGCTTCCATGGGCGATACAGTCGTTCAAACTGGGTGTACCCCCCCCCCATAGTCCCATGAGAGATGGTTTAGCCCAGGTGCCCACCCCCCCATAGTCCCATGAGAGATGGTTTAGCCCAGGCAGCTATCTCCCTGTCACTCACATAACGCTGCCAGTCAATCTCGGTGTAGAAGCCGTCAGGAGCGCCGTTAGAGCGCTTCTGGGTGTCGAGCCGATGCAGCAGCAACAGAAGGAAGTGGAGAAGATGCAGCAGCAACAGCAGCAGCAGCGGGAGCAGCAGGGAGCAATGCACAGAGAAGAAAAATGCAATCATCGTTGAGAAGAGGAGAATGGGAAATTCAAATGGAAGGTGCAGGAAGAAAGCGTGCGAGGCCGTGTGCGTCCGCGTGGGTAGTGGTGGCGCAGTGGGACTGGCCAAATCACCCCCTCGTGCACCACCATGGCCTCCCTATGCAGTAACAGCACTTGTCTGTGCAGACTACATGGGGCATCTTTGTATTTGTACGGGGAAGTGGCGGTGCAGTGGTTAGCGCATTGCGCTACGAACCTGGCTACCCGAATTCGGTTCCTGCTCACAGCCAACATTAGTGACAAATATCTAAACCAGTTCTGGGTCTCCCCTAGGGCGACTCAGCCTAGTATGTAACATCGCCACGAGAGAGTGACAAAGGCGGTCGGGCGTGGTGCTGGCCACCCACCCCCTCGTGTGCCGTGTATGCGCATGCCAACTGTGCCAGTGGGGAGTGCAGGTGGTGCATCTGCCAGTGATCTCAGTCAACCCATGGCACTTGGGTCTGTCTCGTGATCTCCCGCCAACGAGCATTTGACACCTCACGTGGCCTCAACGTGCACCTAGCCTGGCACAAGCGCTGTGGTGACGTCACCACCGCTTAGTGGCGAACGGTGGCTGCTGCTGCTGTTGTTGTCGTGTGTGCAGAGCTCGCACCTGGTCGGCATCCTGAGAGCCTCTGTCGGTGGCGGAGGACAGGAAAGAAAAACACGCACGCACACACGCGCACACACGCACACACACGCGCGCACACGCGCACGCAAACACATGCACGCAAGCGCGCACGCACACACACGCACGCACGTGCAAGTGAACGGCAAACATCACCACCGCTCTAACATTCACACCGCGACTTCCAATCGGGAACATCTCAAAGCGCCCTGCCCCAGGGGACCCCCAGGGGTAGCTGCCCTTGCGTGGCACAGCGTGGACGCGGCACCAGGCCAACGAGCGGGCATCGGTCTGCCAGTAGCGGGCGACTTTGCCGTGCGGTATTTGCCCAGCGTGGCAAATCTGCCAGTCATTTGCCAGATTTGGCAAATTTGGACCTTGAGAAAAACGCCACGGAATCTTTAACGTCCACTGTGAAACGGACACCGAGTATGTTTGGTTAACGCACCCACATTGTGCGTGCGTGTGTACGCCGAATCTCTTTCGTACCGTGCGTAGGCAACCGTGCGCTAAGCGGAGGTGCATGTACAGTATATAGAGATGCAGACAAAGATCCCCCGTATAGTCTCCAACAGACTTTGGGGGGCAAGTGCTGTTCGCGAGCACACAACAAGGCCGGAACGGCACACAAGTGGATGGGTGGCCAGCACCACGCCCGACCACCTTTGTCTCCCCAGTGCTGATGTTTACACGCTGTACAGGGCAGTAATTGAAGGTTGCGTGTCTCTCACACCGTGGTCGCGTGGATTTTTCTAACACGTCCTCTGGTTTTCCCCTCCACATTTAGAATCAACATTACGCGTCTAAAGTATTCGGCTGCTGTACATTTTCACGTGGTGAGAAGCCACTTCGTTGGGCTATCATTTATGAGAGCCAGGTCGCTTCTACAAATTAAGTTATATAGCTCAGTGGGCCTTACCTGGTCAAATAAAACATTGTTTTATCATGGGGCCTTTTTTGGCAGGATCTAAGTGTGACACTCCTGAGACTAGGCCATCTCTGGTGTAGACCAATCAGTTTCAAAGGGAACGCCACATTATCAGGGCATGTTTGTTTGCATGTTCACCGCAAGTACTGTGTGGTTAATGCAAAAACCTGATTCCATGCGTAAGGTTTCGATTTGGTGTTGGAACATCTTAACACCTCCTGTTTTATTGCCAGAAAGGGTAAAACGTATTCCTATTTTTCATGTTTAGTTTCAGTTGACATGATCCGGCAACCCCCGGCCTCCAAACTTCTGGGGATCGGCGGCATACGCCGCTACCACTGCCCGGGCAGGCCCCGCTCGCTCGCTACGGAGGGCTATGTAAGGCCCTGTTCGCTACGGAGGGCCCGACTCGCTACGGGGGGCCTCGCTCGCTACGGAGGGCCCCACTCGCTACGGAGGGCCCCACTCGCTACGCAGGGTCCCACTCACTAAGGAGGGCCCCACTCGCTACGGAGGGCCCCACTCGCTACGGAGGGTCCCACTCGCTACGCAGGGTCCCACTCGCTACGGAGGGCCCCACTCGCTAAGGAGGGCCCCACTCGCTAAGGAGGGCCCCACTCGCTACGGAGGGCCCCACTCGCTACGGAGGGCCCCACTCACTAAGGAGGGTCCCACTCGCTACGGAGGGCTCCACTCACTAAGGAGGGTCCCACTCGCTACGGAGGGCCCCACTCGCTACGGAGGGCTCCACTCACTAAGGAGGGTCCCACTCGCTACGGAGGGTCCCACTCGCTATGGAGGGCTCCACTCACTACGCAGGGTCCCACTCGCTACGGAGGGCCCCACTCACTAAGGAGGGCCCCACTCGCTAAGGAGGGCCCCACTCGCTACGGAGGGCTCCACTCACTACGCAGGGTCCCACTCACTACGGAGGGCCCCACTCGCTAAGGAGGGCTCCACTCGCTAAGGAGGGCCCCACTCGCTACGGAGGGCCCCACTCACTAAGGAGGGTCCCACCGCTACGGAGGGCTCCACTCACTGAGGGTCCCACTCGCTACGGAGGGCCCCACTCGCTACGGAGGGCTCCACTCACTACGCAGGGCCCCACTCGCTACGGAGGGTCCCACTCGCTACGGAGGGTCCCACTCACTAAGGAGGGCCCCACTCGCTACGGAGGGCCCCACTCGCTACGGAGGGCCCCACTCGCTACGGAGGGTCCCACTCGCTACGGAGGGCCCCACTCGCTACGGAGGGCCCCACTCGCTACGGAGGGCCCCACTCGCTACGGAGGGCCCCACTCGCTACGGAGAGCCCCACTCACTACGGGGGACCTCGCTCGCTACGGGGGGCCGCGCTTGGTGCAGCGTCGTCGTCGTCATCACGGCGGCTCTCCATCCATCGGGATCCCAATGTCGCCGGCGATCGACTCACGTGGACTCGGAGTCTTTGTCTTTCCTCTTAATCCCAAACGTGAGCTTAGTCCGTTTTTTCAGTCCTGGGACGACACACACGACAACAACACAAACATAGATCCCCCCCCCCTCGTGTAGCATCAGCAGACTTGTTTGTGGCTGTCAGCGAGAAGCTATGATGAAGGCCGGTACGGCACACGAGGGGCTGGGTGGCTAGCACCACTCCCGGCTGCAACTGTCTCCCTTGTGTCGATGTTTACACATCGCACCAGGTACTAATTTGAGGCTGAGTCCACCTAGGAGAGGCTCAGGAACGGTTCAGATAATTGTCACCGGTGTTGGCGGTGAGCGGGAATCGAACTCGGGTCGCCGGGTTCGTAACAGCACGCTAACCACTACACTACCGCTCCAACAACAACCGCCATTCGCCAATAAGTGGCGGTGACGTCACCACGACGCTTGTGCCAGGCCATGTGCACCTTGAGGCCACGTGAAGTGTCGAACGTCCACTGGCAGGAGGTCATGGGGCAGACCCAGGTGCCATGGGTCGACTGACTGAGATGACCGAGACGACTGGCTGATGCACCACCTGTGCCCCCTACTGTACCAACTTGCTGTGCTTTAGCCACCCGGCGCTCCGCTCGCTCCCCACACACACACACACACACGTGTACACACCCCACACGTGTACACACCCCACACGTGTACACACCCCACACGTGTACACACCCCACACGTGTACACACCCCACACGTGTACACACCCCACACGTGTACACACCCCACACGTGTACACACCCCACACACGTGTACACACACCACACGTGTACACACCCCACACGTGTACATGGATGAGGACCTTCTTTTGCCGTGCGGGTCGCCTATGTGACCAAACTTCACCACGCTGGTGAAAGTAGGGAGCACAGAAGTATGCCAAGTCCTTGCTGAATGACAACAATTTGGACACAGAACTACTACCAACTTGGTCCAAACCACAAGCAAATGTGGCGCTCACCTCCCGCTCTTGTGACTACCAAGTGTGGCTGTCCTGCGGTCGTGTGTTTTTTTTTAAATCCTTTATATTAAGTTCGCTTGCTTGCGTGCTTGCGTGCTTGCTTGCTTGCTTACGGCCGTGCAAACCTTTCGGTCGTTTTTTTAACCCACTTCCCGTGATCCAATCGAGCTGACATTTTGCACACAGACTCGTTGTGCGAGACAATTAATGTTCGTGAAATTTGTTTTCCAAAATTTTACACTGGTTAGGGAAAACAAATTAAATATTTAATTACCAATTGTTTAATACTGCAGCCAATTATCTGACCCATAGGTGGCAGCCATCTCAAGCCAGAGGACGAGAGGACTCCAGCCGTCACGCATATAAAGGATTTAGAGTGAAAAACTTTGTTTTTACGGGTTATACTTATACTCCAGGGAACACGGCACCCTCCTGGGGTTACGTCTTCTCAATTCTAACGTGAGGAATATACTCAACCCAACAACAACAACAACAATCCCACCCCCCACACGCACTTTGATAAAACGTGACCGGTAGGATTGTACTTACATTATGAGACCTCTTTTGCAAGTGGCAAGATATAGTAATAATGTAAATGCTTAACCTCGAGCTCTCATACTCTGATGGTGCGTTGTCTTTGAGTTGTGCGCCTCTTGGCGTCATCTGGTCCAACACCATGTGAGACTAGGCTCTAAAGAAAGCTGTCTCGGGTGTGGACCAATCAATTTCAAGGACAGTGCATATCATTATCAGAGTTATGTTTTTTGTTTGCATTTTGACCGCAAGTGTTGTGGTTAATGCAAACATGATCCCTTGTAAAAAGGTGTCAGTTTTGTTGCCAGATAAAGGGTAAAACCATATTACTACGGTAGGATTGTTATGCTTGCAGCGAGGTATCAAACGGTGGCCGAGTGTAAGACGACGCCTCAACGTCACCGACGCGCGCGGGCCATACACCCCCCGAACGCAGATCCGTGCCAGAGCGTTTTATTCCAGACCAATACTCTCAAAACATTAGAGGTCCCCCCCCCCCTGCTCCTCCCCTCAGTAAAGTGTCCTGGACCTCGGGCGAAATGCGTCCGGTTCCGTTTTCACTTTCCTATTCACTTTCCTGTTTGTGTTCAGATTCATTTTCCTATTCACGTTCCTGTTCGCGTTCCTATTCACGTTCCTATCCATTTTCTTATTCACTTTCCTATTCGTTTTCCTATTCGTTCTCCTATTCACTTTCACATTCATTCTGCTATTCACTTTCCTATTCACGTTCCTATTCACTTTCACATTCATTTTCCTATTCACTTTCACATTAATTTTCCTATTCACTTTCACATTCATTTTCCTATTCACTTTCACATAAATTTTCCTATTCATTTTCACATTCATTCTCCTATTCATTTTCACATTCATTTTCCTATTCACTTCCACATTCATTTCCTATTAACTTTCACATTCATTCTCCTATTCACTTTCACATTCATTCTCCTATTCACTTTCCTATTCACGTTCCTATTCCCTACCCTATTCGCTTCGCTTTCCTATTCGCTTCTCCTCCCCACTGTCCCCATTCATTCGTTCTATTCAGTTTCTGTAAACGCCCCGAGTATTTGGGGGGGGGGGGGGGGGGGGCTCGTCGCTTCGAGGGCTCTCCCCGCTGCAGCTCCATCTGGCTGCCAGCCCGTGGCCGCTTTGCACGCGACGGCTCCGGCACTTGCAAATGTAGCGGACGCACGCAACACAGCGCTGCGTCGATACTATATACATGTGTATATTTTATATATATAACAAAAGATTTAAGCTCAAGAAAACGTATCGCGGAATCTAGATACTCGTTGCACGGCGAGGTGAACGAGCTAGGACACTTACAGAAAAAATAGAAATATATTTTAAAATATATATGTAAAATATATATAAAATATATGTCTTAACTAATTTTCTTGAGCTTAATTTTACTTTTGAACGTATTTTTAAGTAATTTGGTTGAGATGCGTGGTGAGGGGTTGACAGCGTGTGTGGTGAGGGTGGTGTGGTGAGGGGTTGGTAGGGTGTGGTGAGGGTGGTGTGGTGAGGGTGGCGTGGTGAGGGTGGTGTGGTGAGGGTGGCGTGGTGAGGGTGGCGTGGTGAGGGGTTGGTAGGGTGTGGTGAGGGTGGTGTGAGGGTGGCGTGGTGAGGGTGGCGTGGTGAGGGTGGCGTGGTGAGGGTGGCGTGGTGAGGGTGGCGTGGTGAGGGTGGCGTGGTGAGGGGTTGGTAGGGTGTGGTGAGGGTGGTGTGAGGGTGGTGTGGTGAGGGTGGCGTGGTGAGGGTGGCGTGGTGAGGGTTGGTAGGGCGTGGTGAGGGTGGTGTGAGGGTGGCGTGGTGAGGGTGGCGTGGTGAGGGTGGCGTGGTGAGGGGTTGGTAGGGTGTGGTGAGGGTGGTGTGAGGGTGGCGTGGTGAGGGTGGCGTGGTGAGGGGTTGGTAGGGCGTGGTGAGGGTGGTGTGAGGGTGGTGTGGTGAGGGTGGCGTGGTGAGGGTGGCGTGGTGAGGGTGGCGTGGTGAGGGTGGCGTGGTGAGGGTGGCGTGGTGAGGGGTTGGTAGGGTGTGGTGAGGGTGGTGTGAGGGTGGTGTGGTGAGGGTGGCGTGGTGAGGGTGGCGTGGTGAGGGTGGCGTGGTGAGGGGTTGGTAGGGTGTGGTGAGGGTGGTGTGAGGGTGGTGTGGTGAGGGTTGGTAGGGTGTGGTGAGGGTGGTGTGAGGGTGGTGTGGTGAGGGTGGCGTGGTGAGGGTGGCGTGGTGAGGGTGGCGTGGTGAGGGTGGCGTGGTGAGGGGTTGGTAGGGTGTGGTGAGGGTGGTGTGAGGGTGGTGTGGTGAGGGTGGCGTGGTGAGGGTGGCGTGGTGAGGGTGGCGTGGTGAGGGTGGCGTGGTGAGGGTGGCGTGGTGAGGGTGGCGTGGTGAGGGTGGCGTGGTGAGGGGTTGGTAGGGTGTGGTGAGGGTGGTGTGAGGGTGGTGTGGTGAGGGTGGCGTGGTGAGGGTGGCGTGGTGAGGGGTTGGTAGGGCGTGGTGAGGGTGGTGTGAGGGTGGCGTGGTGAGGGTGGCGTGGTGAGGGTGGCGTGGTGAGGGGTGGGTGGGGTGTGGTGAGGGTGGTGTGAGGGTGGCGTGGTGAGGGTGGCGTGGTTGAGGGGTTGGTAGGGCGTGGTGAGGGGTGGGTGTGAGGGTGGTGTGGTGAGGGTCGGCGTGGTGAGGGTGGCGTGGTGAGGGTGGCGTGGTGAGGGTGGCGTGGTGAGGGTGGCGTGGTGAGGGGTTGGTAGGGTGTGGTGAGGGTGGTGTGAGGGTGGTGTGGTGAGGGTGGCGTGGTGAGGGT